ACATGCTTCAAGAAAATCAGCTACAGACAGCAAGATATACCAGGGGCAATAGGCATTTAGAAAGCATTACGGTAAGAATTAGTGGCAAAAAGCAATTGATCCACCTTGTAATGTTACGCAATTGTGCTCACATTGCTTTGTCGTAGAGCCCTGCATGTTCCTATATACCAGTCAACGATATCTCTCACGAATATATTCCCACTACAGATGTTTGGTAAGTTAATGTCCAGGTAATGATAGACCCCATGAATAAGGAAAAGAAAAAAAGAAAAAGAAAAAAAAATTATATACAAGACACGAGTTGCAAGGCAAATGCTGCAAAAAAAAAAAGGCAACTCGAGAACAAAAAAAAGAACTACAAAAAGCAGCACCTAGAGCAAGCTTATGGCAAATTATGATACAAGGTCAATACGTTTCGTAAGATACGAATGCACTTGTATCAATTCCGGGCTGAAGACAAACAATTGCATTCAAGACAAACATCGAAACAACGATAGGCATTACCTATACAAGTGGACCAATTATGGAAAAGTGATTTTAACTGTAAGTACAAAACACATGATGATATGTTGCCATCAATTTCATCGGTAGCTAACGTCACAAAGTTCATGTTATGTTTTCAATATTTCAAACAACAGTAACGAAATCAAGATTCTCGAGTTTTGTAATCGCAAACAACTTATCCATACCTCTAATCAAAAATGACGTCCGTGATCCACAAGAAGAGATGACGAGATCATCATACAACGGATGTAGCTGATGAGTGATACAACAACAATACCGTTATACAAAAGCAAAAAATTACGAAGGATAACCATAAAGTACAACGAGCAACTGCAGCACAGCCTTGGCATTTATAGCAGAAACTTAGACTAGAAGCAAAAGAATAAGGGGCTATCATTACCACGGACGTAAACTTACTAACATTTGGTAGAATAAACATATCTTTCTTATCAGCTCAGAATAACACTTACTTTTGCTAGAGGAAATTGCTCAAGATAAGGGATTGTTGCATATAACCATTTTCGTAGAATATATCATTTATTTATACAGTAGTGAGATCTAATGTTATCATAATGAACCAGTTTGTAATTCCTTCCGGGTCTCGTTGACTTATTTTGTCTCTTTAGGTTTATTTGATAATACAGTGACTCAAAAAGCCAGGTAAGTGTTGCCTTTATCATACGTTGATCATCAATCTAACCTACAAACGCATTTTTAAGAATATGTACATATTCGGATACTCGCTTCAATAAGAGCAGCTGAATTATTAGCAGTGCATAATAGCATGCTACGATTGAGCTATGTACATATGATACTGCATGTACATGTCTTAAAAGATATGCGATGACGAATTGTATCAATTATGTTTTGCTCCTCTTGTTGCAGATCTGATTGATAATACTACTACATGTATATAGCAAGGTTTTAAACAATCGTGTCTACTGAATTCCTTGCATGTAGGTAGTTGCTGCTTGCTTGATTGAAAGTTACCCATCGTACGAAACCAAAAGCTTCTACAAAAGTGAGCAGAAGGCACGCACTGCATTTAATTCAAACAGTAGCGAAAACATTGTGTATTTGATTGACCGCAATTATCACGGTAATTGAACCAACCTTAGATTACCATCCATGGCAAAGAACGACAATAGGCACGACAACGAACCCGGAAAAACAGATTCAGAAGAGGCAAATAAAAACAGATAAGATAAGGACGAGCAAGTCAAAAAAGAAAGCATTGCTTTCTGTTAAAATGTGAAAGGCAACGTAAAACCTGCTGGCCAAGTTATAGAAAAAGACACCGCCGTCGACGATGGTATGGTGTACTTCATCTATAACCGCCAATGTTTCAATTTTGAGATTTCAAATGCCGCTTCTTTATTTGGTAATATTCAAATAATAGTAGGGAAATCGTCACGACGGTGTGAGCTGTAAGTTCGGGAAGTATACCTTTCCACAAGAGTGATAGCTTCGGGAGTTGGTAGTTCTTGGGAATAAGCGTCTATAAAACGCCACACCCTTCCATAAAATCGTCTAATTAGTGTAGGTACTTCGTCTGGGGGCGAAACAGTATCCAGGAACTTTGGTAAGTTTTCTTTCAAAGCTTTAAAACTGTAATCACAATTGATTCGTGCATGGTACTTTGCTTGGCCCCAATATCGTTCGATCCAATTGCACTCGCATTGGAATTTTGGATATAGCACAAAAATGTGACCCGCGTTCACCACAGCTTCACAAAGGGCTGTCTTTTGATCTCGAAAGTCGGGCTGAGCACCAAGAAAATGTCTAGCACAACACTTGCTATCGTCCGCTTCTTCTTTTTTGCAATCCATTCGCCAAACTTTTCCAGGTCTATACGGGTCTTCCTCAAACCAAAGTCCACGCTCATTCAAAATGATTTTTATCCCCTTGAAATGGCATACTTGCTGTTTGTCGGCCGTGACTATCGTGACACCTCGCTTGCGTTTCTTAATGTTTTCTTCGATGTTCATGTACATCCTTTGTGTTTTCTTTTCTTTGGTTGCTTCATCGATAAAGTAGCTGTCCCGATACACGTGCATGCTGCAGTCATGCTCTGCGTTATCCACTCCACACCGCTTTGGATCCTTGCACATAGTTCTCGCCAGTAATGCATCACTTGGGTAAGCGTTATGATTACTACTTTGATCGAATATAAATAATGCTTGACAACCAGGGTGCAAAAGGTCAAATAGTGGGATCGCATCTTCTTCTAACTGCTTAACCATGTCTTTGCTGGTCCAATACTGTTCTCGGTTAGCCCCTGCATAGAAGTATGTACGCGAGGTCCATATTCCAGATCGCATTGTGCCATGACACGCGCATTGGAACTCGGATATCATAATGGATTGTCCAGGGCTTTTGTTGCGTAGGATACTCTCGCCGTCTGCCAGCCATAGCTTTTGTTTACCGTCGTTTGCATAGAAGGTTGACTCATCATGGGTAACCATAACAATTTTCTTTTGATCAGGCGCTAAAGATGGCTCAATGATGATTTCTGCACGTTGTCCTTCGTACGAGTCCATCCGCTTCTTGTACTCCACCATTCGTTTAGCCCATTTTAATCGGTATGCTACCACGTCATCTCGTTCGTGCCCGTCGTAATATATATCCTTGCTGTTTTTGCGGTATCGATAACCCCACTCAGACATATATCGCCATAATGTCGTCTGTGATACTGAGCCTGGAACACCAAGTATCTCAGGGATGATACTTTCATTGATAACTTTAACAAAAGCAGGGAGGTTACGCAGTTCGAGTTTTTGACCGCCTATCAATAGACGGATTCGTTCTTCCACGGACTCGTCACTGAGGAGTGATTCTCTTTTTACATGCTTCCCTTGTTGATGTGTTGAGATGGACCCAGAATCACGGAATTCGCGCGCCCAGTAGCGGATGGCCTTTGCCCTGTACTCTTTTGATGGGGTGGTCCAGATATCGACAGCAGCTCTTTGAGAACTATCAATCCCTGTGACCGATAGTGATAGTACCGGTATACAGCTTGTGTTTTTGCCATTTGAAAAGCACCCATAGTATTGAGCGTGCTTCCTTTGTTCGCTACCGGCTTTATAAGTGCTTTTAAAGATGCCGCACACCAACTAACACCGGCTTCAACAAGGAAGTGACCCGAATACATAATATAACGTCCTCTACACGAGTTCTGATACATCCCAATCGATCCTCAAAGTACTTAGCTTATTCACAAACCGGATGAACAGGCATAACGTCTTAAATAGCTCCAAGATACTAGTATTCTCTGTTCCCCTGCATTTAAAAACTTTATCAAACCTGGTTAATACTGTAAACAATGCAAATTTTAATCCCATTCAAAAAAAAATAGGGGTAAAAACCGGAGCACATTATCGAACAATTGAATTTTGATCTAGTTGAGTGAGAGCAAATCAGCATGGATCGTTTAGCATACATTATAAATGTATATAACGAAATTATGGCAGATGGCTCTTATATGATATCTAATAGGGCCAGTGAGGGAGTAGCATTTGAGATATGAAGAGCTATGAGATGATAGAGAATAGACGGAACGACTCGTGACGTATGACCGTTATCACGCAAGAAGTGGATTGAAGACGTTCGCACACAGGCCACACGCAGGCTACACAACAGGCGAAAGTACTAGCCGGGTTTGGTTCCGGACGGATGTGTGCTTTGATAAACATGAGCAAGACAAACAACAATATTGACTTAAAGAAGCAACTTGTAAGGATTGAAGAGTATATGATGATGAAATAGTGATCGCTTGCGTGCTATTGTTGTCATCCATGTTGGTTTTGGATTCGGTTCTAGGATGATTCGTGCGGCGATCACTTTTATTTTGGTAGGCAGCGATTATTGTTGTATCTTGTACCTGGGGCTTGTGTACTCAGAAAAAATGAAAGCTATAATCATGTAGATGCGAGGCATACAAGTAAGTGCTTGTTTAATAACCCATTGTTTGCTTATTGCATAACTCTTTTCCCATGAAAGAGAAAATCACAAGCTGAGCGAGTGGCTTCGTTGTTAAAGTATAGCGACAGTCAAAAAATCTCTCATTTACTAACATTCACTGTTACAACCACACATATTTAACTGCTATTTTTAAAGGTTGACGCAGTGCCACCTCCTCGTGGTATAATAGTTTTTGGAAACATTATTGAAGTGGATGATACCAGCATTGCAATAAGATTCTACTACTGTTGGATCTTTCTCTACGTGATATATTCCCAAGAAAATTGACGTTGCTGTCTTCTTGATTGTATTAAGTATAGTTCTTAGCAACCGCCTCGGTACTTCGAGCAGCCATCGTATTGCTCTTATATATTAAAAGCCATTAGATCGATCCTAATAACGTCATTCCACTTTAGCTAGCGGTTGACATGCTCAGTGGAACGTATCTTTTACTTACAGGAGCTGGCATCTTATCAAAATAAGCGGCTACGCTCTCAGAGCATAGCATATACACAACTTGCATAGTAGAACATATGTTAGTGCAGGGTGACACGTCTCCTTGAGGACGACGGTGTCTCCCAACGTTCATCCGGTAAGAGCTCGGATATCCAGTTATGCTCATATAAACCTAGTGGGATACTGGGCCTATGTTCTGTTGCTGTTAATTCAAGATGGGTGATCACATAGGTCTCAAAATTTCGGATCTTGCCCTGACCACGATAACACACGGTGTTCATATGATACATTACTCCTCAATGTCTGGAGCGCTGAATCGACGGCCTTCGCAAAAAAAAAATCAGCATAATTTACCCTTGTCAACTTCTATTGACTAGACTTCGAATGGTCATGGCAAAATCATTTTCACGGACATCGCGTGGCTCTTCTGCTCCAAGATAAACGCGTGGTGTATTGACAAAGATTCCTGGTGGTTTTTGCAGCAAACGCGTTTCAGTGGCTACCATCTTCTTGGTAGATGGTTGTTGTGACGCTTGCTGTTTGAGTCCTCGATGTCGTTTCATTCTTCGTGTCGTTTGGCGAGGCTTAACCATGTACTTGGTGTCGTCAACGTCATTGTCATCGTCATTTTCACCGTCTTCATCAGTTGATATGTGTGGTCATCAGCACCATTCATAATATCGACGGTAGCAGCAGAAGGTTATTGCTCACACTTCCATGGTTTTCTTCCTTGTGTTCGTGAGCGGGGAGTTGCCGGCGAAGTTCGAAAATCCATTTTATTGGTGTATTTTACATAGCGGTCGTTTATGTTTTGACATCTACGATGTGCATGCAAGGCGTAAAAAAATGAACATTTCAAAAGACAGTGTAGTCTTGTCCAATATATCTATCTCATTGGGCGTATGTATTATATAGCATATATGCTGCAAGTAAACCTACTTGACAACTAAATGCATCTTGACATTCTACTTACTGTACATGTTCATGTAGAGCGCAAATAAAAGTTTTCTCCATGCATGAAAACGCAAGTAGGATATACGCGATGATAAATCCCTCGCTTTGCCACAAGCTTCTAGCTGTTGCATACTATAAAATTTTAAAGCAACTCAATTTGAGAGTATTCTGCAGAAACTATCAAAGAGAGATGAAAAACAACACTTCCCGTTACGAGTGTCAAGCATGCATAATCTTAGCCTTGCTTCTGAGCACATGTGCTCGTCTTGCGTGTTCTCTCGTGTTTCTATGTAAGTCCATTATTCACTGAAAGTTGTGCCAACGATGTTTCAGGTTAATTAAGGGGGGGTGGTAGGGGGCATTGCAAGCGAAACATACCACTGAACCGGTTCTCTCAGCTTAGAACAGCTTGCCTGGGCGCCGTTGCTGCCTGGTGTGCACACAGCACACCAGCTCTAAACTCAGCACACACATACACGCTCGCCGCCCCGCTCGCCGCGCTCGACCAAATTATTCAGAGAGAGTGTGTATGAGTGTGAGTACTGTGGTATATACGAGAGGTGTACTTGCTGTATTGTGTGTGAAAACTTTAAAGGCGTTTTTTGCTTCTTCTCCCTGTCAATACTATACCCTCTTCCAAACTGTAAGGCACGCGTGGTAGCTGTTACTCATCCAGAACCATTGAGGGGGGCTGGAAGAGAAACAACAACAAAAAAGAGGTCGCTTTTTATTTTTCATAATATTATTTTTATTTTCACTCTACACTCATATATATACCTAACCCCCCTTCCCTCTCTTTTTTTCTCTTTTTTATTTTCGCTCTCACCTTTTTTCTTGTCTTGTTTGAATCCGTGTACCCTGCAATTTAAAAAAAATAAATAAAGGGAAGCAAAAAACCACCAAACTTAATATATGCCATTGAAGACACGAGGTGGACGTAAAGGTACCGGCCGTCGTGGTCGACCCAAAAAGTATCCGCGTCCAGGTGAAGGAGAAACAGAACAGTTGCAGCAACCACTCCAACCGTTGCACGAAGACCATCGTCAATACCGTGAAAATCGACAAGAACACCAGCATCACCAACACCCTACACAAAAGCAGAGGCTACCTAGCTTATCGTTAAACACTAGCCATCACGACGCCAACGGACACACTGCTGTACGGCCAAGGGAAGAACGATCATATAAGGACTATTATCCCAACCTCAATCTAAAGGAACCCTTGCGAATTGTAAGAGTGTCAAAGTCAGATCGTCCCGCTACTCAAGATCTTACTGTTGACGCGAGAACCACCAACACCAGTAAAAACAACGATGACAATAACGTTGACAGCGATGCCAACGGCGGTAGCGGAAGTACGCCGTTGTCAACAGTAGCAAGTGTAGCAAAAGCTAACAAAGACGACAACGATCGAAATGATAATGGCAAAGAACGTCAGGTGCCTGAACTACCACCAGACGAAAGTTTAGAAGACTCTGGACTGTCTTCTATGAGTCTTAACGATTCGCCAAAAGGGGACGGTTCGACGACAACAGCAGCGGAACAAAAAGTCAACAAAGGAGAATATAAGAACGTCAATAGCAACAATAACGGCAGCAACCCGTCACCACTTGAGCCAGAAGACGAAAAAAACGATATCTCTGACGAGCCAGCAAATGACGAAAAAAGCATCACTAGTACGGATAGCGAATCCTCTGATGATAGTATGGTCACAGCAGACGAAGGGGAAGACATGGAACTGGACGAGAAGGCAAGCAACAAAAGTGGCAGCAATAGTGAAGAGGTGCTGTCATTATCAGCAACACCTGGAGAAAAGGACGAAGATGACGACGCCGACGATGGAGGACGACAGCGAAACGGAGACCCGTTGGTTGATCATCAAAAAGAAGGCGACTTGTATCAAGCATTATCCACTCGTCCACAGCAACAGCAACTACAGAAAGAACAACAGCCATTGGAAACCGTCAACGATATCAATATGGGTGTCAATTTGGATGCATTGCCCAAACCTTCGTTCCGTTTAGTCACGGAAGAACCTAAACAAGTTAGCATGAGTGATGATCGACAGAAGGAGAACGGTAAAGAGGTCACAGCAGCAAGTACTGCACTAACAACAGTGGAAGACGAAGGAGCAAGTAGCCAACAGCAACGATTTCAGCGTCCTGAGAATCATTATATTCGATATATTGGTATGAGAGCGCTCACACTTTTTTTTATCATGTGTGTCTGTTTATTAATTTAAAATTTCCTTTACTTGTATTCTAGAACCATCTGAAGCTGATTTAATGGATACGGTAGAATATGACATGGATGAGCATGGTAAGATTGTAGTTGGAATTTGATAATAAAGGGAAGGAGAAAGATAACGACAAAAAACGGAAAATGCGGTCAGAGGATTGTTATTAATCGATAATGTTAGACGATGCTTGGCTACAAATGCTAAATGAAGAGCGCCGCAAGGAGGATTTGGGAGAAGTCTCTGGCGATTTATTTGAAGCTGTCATGGATCAGCTTGAGAAGGAATGGTTTGATCTGGTAAGGTGTATAACGTGACACAGGATTTGGATTGGTTTTCATTAACATACCATGTGGGTGGTAGTAGCGGATGATTATTGACAAGCTTTAAAAAAAATATGTTTTATTTGCTGGACGACCTGCTAGATCAAAAACCTGCCAAAACAAGTAGCCGAGGAACCATCCCTTCCAGAAGATTCTGCATGCGCCATTTGTGATGATACAGAATGTGAAAATAGCAATGCTATTGTGTTTTGCGATGGTTGCAATTTGGCTGTTCATCAGGGTAAGTGGCATGATGCTATTTGAAGCTGAATCATGAGGGTGGACGCTCACACACACGTTCGATATTTACAGATTGCTACGGTATTCCATATATCCCTGAAGGCCAATGGCTTTGCCGTAAATGTCTTGTGTCTCCCGAGAATCCAGTTTCGTGCATATTTTGTCCGAACGAAGGGGGTGCCTTTAAGCAAACCAATACCAACAAATGGGGCCACTTGCTGTGTGCCATTTGGATTCCCGAAGTCGGTCTCAGCAATAGCGTGTACATGGAGCCCATTGACAATATCGAAAACATACCCAAGAGCCGGTGGAAACTGACGTGTTATATTTGCCGAAGACGACAAGGTGCATGTATTCAGTGCGACAGTAAGCACTGTTTTGTTGCATTCCATGTGACCTGTGCGCGATGGGCACGTCTTTGCATGCGCATGAAATCACACGGATCGCACTATGATGGTGTGGTGTTCAAGGCCTATTGTGACAAGCATACGCCGCGTGATTATACAGAGCAGGTCAATGTGGAACAAACGGTTGCAGCGGCACAGGCATTCTTTTCTAGCTCCCATCGACGCAGCAACAAGACAAGTAACAACAACAACAACAGCCATCGGATACCTCGACAACGTTATGTTGATGATGAAGTCATGATGAATGATAGCAATAACGTTGCGGCTATTGGCGACGGCGACAGTAACAACAACAATGACGATGAAGAGGATGGAGTGGATGGACAGGATGATGGGCGGAAGAAGAAAAAGAAGAAGCACAAGAAGAAAGGGCACATGGATAACGATAATTCGGCAGTAACACAGATGTTGCCCAGTTCCAAGGCGGCACGTGCACACCAGCATCATTATTCGGCTGGCGCACCAATCGCTCCAGAGTTTATCATTAGCAAGCTCGAGAATATGAGGTGTGTACGGCAGGCTACCAACTTACGTCGCAAACCACAGTTGATTGTCAGCATATGTCGATATTGGTCCCTCAAACGTGAGTCCAGACGAGGCGCACCATTGCTCAAGCGTTTGCACTTGGAGGTAAGAATGAGAAAATCGTGCCCGTGGCGACATAACTAATAGCTCTTTATCTTCAGCCTTGGACCGCATCGTCGTCGCAACACAAGCAGACTGAGGTAGAAAAGGCACACCGTGCAGCGGTAAGTTTTTTGAGCGAAAAAGAAAAAGTGCCGCTGACAAGTTAAGGAACATCATTGATGCAGACTCACACACTTGCACTGTTAGGCAATGATAAATTTGAGAGCCGATTTGGAACGCGTACGCATGTTATCGGAACAAGTGCAGAAGCGCGAAAAACAAAAGCTGGAACGGATACGGAAACAAAAGGCATATCTGGAAATGATACTTTTCCCAGTGGAGTATATCACCAAACCATTGGTTGATCAGCTTATAGAGTAAGTCGGCATTTTTGGACGAGGAGTGTGTTAATTATCGAATACGGCATATAGAAATCGAAAGAAAGGAGGTGACTGACAACATTTTCTTATAGTGCGGATAAGAAAGAGCTTTTCAGATTCCCCGTGACACCTGATGTTGCGCCCGACTACTCTGAAATCATCGATACTCCCATGTCCTTTGCTGAAATTCTCGAAAAGTTCTCAGCACACGAGTATACAAGCTTAGAACAAGTGGAGGTAACGTTAGCATCTAGTTTTAGCTGTACCTGTATAGAGGGCTAGTTGGATGGCTGACGTGAACTTTGTATCCCAATCTCCTTATATAGAGCGACATCATGTTGATTTGGAAGAACTGTAAAACATACAACAAGCCAGAGACACTCTATTACCGCACTGCAGAACGACTTGAAAAACTGTCGCTTGACCTTTTAGCACAAGCACGAAAAGATTACGAGGAACTGGAGATCAAGAAAGAGACGGGTATTTTGGCTATTGATATCCATCCCGAGATCTTTACATACAATACTGTCCACGTGCCATCTCCTGAAGAACTTGCAGCAGAACAAGAACGTTTGGAAGCAGAAGAAAGAGCAAAAGCTGAAGAAAGAAAGCGGCAACAGTTAGCTGCTGAAAAAGCTGAGGCGAAAAAACAGGCAGATGCAGAACGACGAAGAGCCAAGGCAGCTCAAGCTGAAGCAAAACGACAGAAACAATTGGAGTATGCAGCCAAACGTGGACGGTTGCGTGCTGAAGCAGCGGCAGCAAAGGCGGCGGCGGCAGCAGCTGCTGCTGCAGCAGCAGAAGAAGAAGAAAATGAAATGAAACAAGAAGGCGAAGATCAAGTTGTTGCGAATGGGACTCAAGGCGGAGACGACGACGACAGCAACCACAATGTGCCTGAAAACAAGAATAGCAGGGTCGCTACAAGATCATCCAAAGCAGCGGAAGCAGCAGCCAGTACCGCCACACAAGGAGAAGAAAGCAAAGGTAATACGAACGCGAGTAGCAACAGCAGCAGCAAGGTTCTACGTCGACGAACGCGGAGTATGGGATCAGACGGTTTGGTGGCTCCTACCGCCCAAGAACTTGAGAAGCGAACATCATCAGAAGCACGCAATTTACTATGGCACTCGGATCATGTTACAGAAGAAGACCACCCTCTCGTCAGACCTGACCGTAAGCGAAAGGCACCCCCTGGGTGGCTTTATGTGGAAGGAACAGACACGGGCAACAGTGGTAGCGATACCGATGGATTATCTCCAACACCCTCGCCACGCAAGAAGTCACGCTCTGAATCCCGTCAAACAAAACCAAAGCCAGAACCTATTACCGATGTTAAACCTGAAATGATTGTATGGGCTCGTGTTAAAGGTTTTCCGCCTCATCCTGCCAGGGTAAAAACTCCCTTTATGTATATCCTTCAAAGTGGGGGGATGGTGGAGGAGTATATCAAGTCTTTGTTAACCAAAATTACATTGATAGATTGTCGATCCGAATAAAGAGGATATCGGAAAGCATGTATTGACATCCAAACATGGTGAAGACGATGTACTCGTTGAATTCTACGAAGTGCCCGATCATCACAAATGGTAAGTTTTAGTAGGAAGAAGGAGACAAATCCAAGACCGACAGAGGCTAACTAGTAATCTTGGATGTTCAGGGGCTGGGTCAGTCGAACGGATATCTATGCTCTAGGCGATCCGAGCCATGATGCAGATATGTTGTTGGTAGCGCGTAAAAAGAAGAATGCACGCAGAATCAAGGAATCCAGGACCGGCTATGCATATGCTTGTGAAGTATTGGGACTGGATCCTGCACCCGCGTTGACTGATTCTTCTGGACTAAGAAAATAACAACACCCTATATTATACTGCTACTACTACTACTACTATAGTACAACCAAAACAAAGCATCCCCTCCATTTTACAATCCTAACTTCATACCCTATTGCTCTCGAAATCACACACATTTAAAGCCTTTTTTTTGTCAACACATTCTCTCTCCTTCTGCTGTATATATGACGAGCCTTTTATCTCTTTCTTTCCTTCACTGTGCTTTTTTCTATCTGCTATTTGCATTAAATTTAAAAAATAAATCCTTGCTTATTACTCTGTAATTTATGTATGATCTAAAAGAAACTGACTAAATCAGTCGTGTTATCATATGCGTTGCTATGTATAGTTATGATTCTAGTGGCTCTTTTGGTTACCAAGTACATACTATGATACATGCCACTCGTGCTGTCGTAACAACATGTAGACAACAACGAAGGTTTGGAAGCTGATGAGCAAGACATCAAGTCGCAAAAAAGGCTTATTTGCGAAACTGACGACATACTCTGTGTACTGTACAACCGTAGCACAGCTGTTAAGCCAGTGAAAAACCTGTTTATATAGAGGCTTCACAATTGCCGAGTTACGAGGGCGGCCATATGATGATTGTTCGAACTTGTTCCGTGAAACAAGACCAAAACAATCGAATATTGGAAGGATCATCTGTTGTGTACATATCGGATGTTGTTAATAACTCCTGTGATCTATTCGGACTCGTAGATTTGAAGACACATGTTGTTTCTCTATTCTGCATCGGTTGTATGTGTTCAATGAAATAGAGTAAAAGTAAGACGTCATGATGTATAAATTTCATTCCTTTGAATAAATCTGTAGACATGCCTTAGGACTTTATCGACGAGGTTGGCGATATTGCATTCATGTAACAGTTCGAACTTGGGTATACGAAACCCGTTTTTGGGCATTTTAAACCTCATTTTGGTAGTAACAAGAGAAAAAGCCGTCCGTTCTTTTCCTATCCGAATTTTAAAAGGAAAATGGTTGTTTGATCTGATGATTGATTGGATAGAGATCCTTCAACTGAAAAATGTGCATACGCACACTGATTGTTTGATTTTGGAGCAGCAGAAAGCAGTACGTATTATGTCGAAAACACCCTGTGTCTGATGTATATATTGTGTGTATTACAGAAAATGTGCTGGTAGTCATTCTTTTATTTTCTGTATGGGCGATACTACACTGTCATACGAACCGAGGAGCTTTGTATGAAATTTTATACAGTACTGTAGCTTTCTTTTGCTGTGATACAAATCGAGAAATATACCCACACACATATTAGTTTACATGAAAGTAAGGAGTCGGTGTAGGTGGTCTAATGACAACAACCATGCAGGACGGATGGGATTAGAAGCAGGGTATAGTTCGTAGACTTGGAAACTGGAAAGTTACCATGGAAATGTCAATATACTATGGGAACAGACCCGTCAGCTCGTAGCGTCCGTATGTATACTGTATAATCTCTCTTAGGTCCCAAGCAGTGACGCAATTGACTTACGCTACAATGTTCTGTGAGTTGATGTAACAACGCATGCTGTAGTCCAAATAGCCATCCGCCGTCTTGTTTGTTGTTGGTCACCATCGTGGTGCTCGGATAATCCTTTACAGTACAGGGGCCACAAACAACACAAAATGTACGCATGAGGATAAGGTCACTCGACTTTACTGTTTTCATCATAAGTATCGCACTACGGCGCTAGCACAAATAAAGAATATGTGTTTTACAATAAGAAAAATGAGTTTTATTTCTTTTCTCCAAATGGAGTAAATAAAATAGTTTCTCGCTTATTTTTTATATATAAGAAAGATAACTCGAAAAGGACTAGTACAGAAAAATGAAAAAAAATTATGTACATCTGACTCTAGGATGTAAGAAAACAGAAAAGCGAGAGAGAGAGAGAGAGAGGTAGGTAAGCAGAGTTTTGTAAGCCGAAGGAAAAATACATTATAATGAAAGAAAAGAAGGAGGAAAAAAAGTAAATATAGAATTTTGATAGTGGTTATATCCTCTTTAATGCTGAGGGACATTTCCGCTCAATACTTGAGCTGCTTGATTGGTCTAATGATGGAGAGATGCGATAAAGCGTGTGAGTCATAGGCTTTGCACTATGTGTATCATCCAGATTGCCTTTCTTTTATTTACCTGAACAGAAGAGAAGCGGCGCATTTCATTGGGATCCATGGACAGCTTCTTGTCAAGGCCGAGCAAGCGACGGCCAAAGTTTCTTGGGCGTTCCAATGCACGCAACGAGCGAGTGCGGTTAGCATAGTAACGTGCCGACGCCGATCCAGAAACAACAGACGAGCGACGCGATGTGGCGCCACCAGGACCTCCAGGCAAGGAAGCAACGTTCTTGGGTCGCCACAGACGCTGCATGCCAAACTTGAGCAAGTCCAATGGAGGGAACCACACAAAATTCCAGACCCATGCAATGCCAGCCCACGTCCAGCCACAGCCCTCTATGTAAGTGAATGGCCAGTCGGCATAGACGGCAATGCAGGTAGCAACGACCTGGGCCACCACAAAGGCAGACAAGAGCAACGTCGAAGGCCGTTCCATGAAGAAGAAGCCATGGGAACGCGTGACAAAAATCAAGCCCTGGGAAATGGAGGCCACTTGCAGGTAGATGACGGAATGCAGCTTCCAGTCATTGACGTCGGTGATAGGGTCCACACCAAACTTGTCCTGGAAAAAAGTGGTCTTGATGCAAACCGCGTAAAAGACAATGGTCGAAGCAGCCAAGTACAAGCCATAGACGATGGCATACGAAAAGATCTCCTTGAGGTTCCAACTATCTGGGAACGGCGACGGTCGTACACGGTCCTTGGATATCGTCATGATGGTGCCGTCGTTGATCACCGCAATAATAAGAACAAGGAAGGGCGGGAAATCAAACTGGAAGGCAAAGCACATGATGGCAAAGCCTACGACAACACGAATGGTGACAGAGCAGGTGTAGATCGAGTAGTTGCGCATACGCTGAAAGATACGACGCGAATGGATGAAGGCTTCGATAATGACGGACAAACCAGGCTCAGTCAGGACAATATCTGCTGCAGAGCGGGCAGCATCGGACGCATCAGCAACGGCCACACCCACATTAGCTTTGGAAAGGGCCGGGGCATCATTGACACCATCGCCCGTCATAGCCGTCATGTGACCCATGGCTTGCAGACGCTCGACAATCTCGTACTTGTGTTCGGGATACACACCAGCGAAACCATCCGATTGCAATACCATTTCGTCGACGTGCGAGTAGCCTGAGCCTGCAGGAGGGCCTTCCTTCAATGCTTTGGACAAGTACATGTTGTCACCCATGCCGAGACGGCGGCCAGTTTCCTTGGCAATGGCCAGCTGGTCACCCGTGATCATCTTGACCTGGACACCCAGGGCAATGGCGCGGTCAATCGTTTCCTTTGTATCAGAACGTGGAGGATCGTAAATGGGGAGCAAACCAATCAAGCGGAATCCTAGGCCTTCACCTTCAGCATCGCCACTGGGGACTTCGTCGACGGCCACGGCGAGCGAACGCAGACCACGGCGAGCAAACTCATCGACATCTTCATCAAGCTGTTTGATCTGCTCGTCGGTCTTGTCGCGCGTGCATAGATCCATGATGAAGGCAGACATACCCTTGGTTGCACGGAACACCTTACCATCCGACTTGCGCTTGTAGGTGATCTCGGTACGCTTGATAACAGGGTTGAACGGCTTAAAGTCGAGCTCCTCAATGCCGTCGCGGGCCATCTTGACATCGGGCAACGAGTTGACAATGCAAAAGTCGATGGCATCTTGGTTTTCTGTGCGTGAGGCATAGGATGATATAAGCATGATATCGTCGCTGTCCTGCTCAGCATAGGTTTTGACGGTTGGCTTGTCGACAATCAGCTTGTTCAAGGTCAAGGTACCGGTCTTGTCCGAGCAAAGGATGGTGACGGCAGCCATTTCCTCAATAGCAGTAATACGGGTGACGATAGCCTTGTGTTCAGCCAACTGCTTAGCACCAATAGCCAAGGTGACGGACAGAACGGTAGGCATAGCAATGGGGATACCACCAATGAGCAAGACCAGGATGTTATCGATACCACGTCGATATGAATAACGGAAGGCAGCATACTGGACAAGGATTTCCAGCACCAAGAAGATGCCGATGCTGCATAGGCAAAAGTTACCAATGTGAGCCAATATGACTTGCAAGTGGCCCATGTCGTCGCCAGCTTCGCCAACCAACTTGGCAGCACGACCAAAGAATGTGTTCAAACCAGTGCCAATGACTATGGCCTCGGCTTCACCTTGCTTGACGGTGGAGCCGGAAAAGACTTCGTCGCCAGTCTCTTTGCCGACAGGCAACGATTCACCAGTGAGGGCAGCTTGATCAATCGAGACGGCACCGTGGGCAGTAATTAAACGACCATCTGCAGGTACGACATCACCAAGCTTGATACTGATCACATCGCCTGGCACCAAAGCGGCAGCTTCCATCGTCTTCCATTCGCCATCACGCTTGACTTTGCACTCGGGAGCAAGGGCATCCATCAGGGCCTTGACGGCGTTGCCGGCTTGTCGTTCTTCCCAGAAACCAATCAACGAGTTGGCCAAGAGCAAGAGCATGATACCGACGAAATCAGGCCAATCTGGTGGACGACCTTCGCCGTTCGACAGGGCGATAGCTACAATAGCAGCCATTTCCATGACCCATGACAACGGGTTCCACATGAAGCCAAGGAACTGCAAGAAGGGGTTCTGCTCCTTGGACTCAATCTTGTTGTAGCCAAATTTCTCGACACGCGCGGCAGCTTCTTCGGAAGTCAAGCCACCTGCACTCGTTCTGTCATTGGTAATATGATAGATTCAGTATTACAGCAGGAGATTGGTTGATTACAAACAGTAGTTGATTAATTTAAAATGAGCCGCACTTACTGGAGGAGTGTAAAGACGTCGCCAGGTTCCATGGTGGACATGTCGTACTTTTCCTTGTCATAGAGCTCTTCGACGGTCAAGGACTTCATGTCCGGAATGGGCTGCTTGGACTGCTGCTCATGCTTCTCCTGCTGCTGCTGCTCCTTGAACTCCTTGACCTCGACGACTTCAGTGACCACTCTCTTCTCGTCCGCTTTCGGATCGCCGGATGCCATTGTTCAACAAGCGGGGTGAGACGGTCTTTGTTTATTTGCTAGGTGCTAGTAACTGGGATCAAGAATAAGAAAACGAGACTTGGCTTTCGTTTTGAGAGAGGAAAAGAAGGAGAAAAGGTTAGAGAAATGGAATCCACGTAACAGAAACGCAAAGGAAGTGCCTCTTATATATGCGTTTAGTACGAGAGCTTAGATGGGAAAACCCATACCGATCACACAAAATTAAAAACTTTTCCCGTTCATTTGAATATGTACTGTGTCTCTTTTTTGACTTAGCTCGTAGAAGAATCTGCCTCCCCCATTTTCCCTTCTCTCTCAATCCCGCACACACTGCATCCCCCCCAGTTTCAGAGGATCAGCGCAACAGTCAACAAACGGACAAGAAGGCAGTGTGCGCATATTTTTCCCAAAAAGGCTTATTTTACTACTGAGATGGCCAGTTGTGCAACATACCATATGCCCTCTGATTGTGAAACAGTCGGCTGGTGGGTGGCCCTCCCACCTGATCAAACACACGTGCGCGACACACCGTCAGAAAGAGACCGCGTTTACCTTACAAAGAGCCCGGCAGCAGCTCTTGTTTTTCCCATCCCACCTTCTGCTACTGTTTTGACTGAGATGTAAAGAAGGCCAGCAATAAGCAGATACACAAATATTATCATTGTCCGCTGCTGCTGTTGATGCTGTTGTCTCTGTCGCCATAATATCATCGACAGCAACAAGGTCTTCTCATGTGAGCGCAAAGATCTGTCCATACATAAGCCGCCTCCTTTTCCTCTTTCGCTCTCGCCCACCTGCATTGTATGTTGTCCGTAACGCACACATTAGATATCTCTTTCTCTATGATTATGTATAGATTGGAGGGAAGAACTATGCATATGATAATGCAACAATCGTACTATCTAGCGTCATTGATATCAACGGTTGAGGTATCAACGCACATACTATGTGCTAATTCTACTACTATTACTACTTATTTAGATTGACCAGACGACTATGATAACGATAATTACGTGCCAAGATTAAAAGCAAATCAATCTGTGAGGAAACATGTCCACCAGTAATATCTCCCCCACTTCTACCCCGCTTATCGTGAATGCATGTCATTCATGATAAAACAAAGAGGGCGTCATATCAGTGCATAAAATTCCCATTTCTTCAATGTTTTATGCTCCATTTTTGCCGTAGACTATACGTAACCTGCTATCATTCCATTTAAACTAATAATATATGCACACGCTGTAACAGCAGTATAATATTCACAAAACATTGGAGACACGAAGGGAAAGAAATTAGGCTCCGCACAAACCTGCAGCTGCTGGCAACATTAGCACGCGTGAGCCCAGCCTGCGTTTGTGCTTGTACGAGAGATCTCCATACATATTAATATTATTCCGTTCCTTCCGATGGATGACGATATCATTGACATTGACGACGACCAAACGGAACAACAAGCCATTGTCCCTGACACCTTCATTCCGTGAGTTCCGCTTCTCCTTGTTTTTGATCTACCCCAATGGCATATTACCCTATAATGGGAGGGATAAATCCAACTCACGCAATGATCCATAAAAAGCGAATCTGCTCCAACTACGATAACAGCAGCAGAAACTACAACAACTACACCGCCACCATCCCACCCTATCGCTTCCGATTATGAAAATTCAGCAGCGACGCCATGGACAGCCGATCATGATCCAGTAAATATGTGTATTACTTTGAAAAGGAGCGATCAAGAAAACGGGATCTTTATATATAGTAATCGCCAGAAAAAATACTTGACGATCTAGGACATGGACGAGGAATCGCGAGCATTGATTGAACAAATGCTAGCTGAAGAGCAATATTATTATGGTACAGACACTATATCCACGTTACCAAATACTTTAAAGACCACGAAATCCAAGACAACGACGAATAAACGAAAAGCTTCAACAACCAATGCCTCAAAGAAACTAAAGACTGAACGTAAGCATATGTAGTTGCTGCTGATTTATGGAATAAGAGATAGGCGATGGGTATGCCAGTTGTGTATAAAAAGACATGTGAGATTTCTAAAAGAAATGACAATAATGCAGCATCGATATCGTCGGCATCATTACCGTCACACAAGACACGTTGGACGCCGGCAGAAGACAATATATTACGAACTGCTATAGTAAATATCTAAAAAAGCATTGCCATCATCATCCGAAGGTTTGGGGGGCGGGGGTGGGGGAAGGGAAAGGGGGAGAAAGGATCAAGGTGGAAATACAACGGGAATCCAACCAATGCTATAACATTCTTGGCTATACATCTCTTCTTCTAAAGGAACTACATGGATATGGCAATTGGAAAGCTATTGCGACACAAGTCAAAACACGGAATTCTCTCCAGTGCAAAAACCGCGCACGCCACTGGGTCTTGTCCGATAAGGTAATGTGATAATTATTTTCTTTTCTCTCTCTCTCTCTACGATTTCTTATGTCGTATGAACAGTACCACGATGTGCGTGTTTATATAATGTGTGTGGCGCTCTTCTGATCTATATCATGCTTTTTTTTTAGCTTGAAAAGCAATCAGTATCACCAACTTCATCATCAACAAATGCGCCATCATCACCATCACAGCAGCAACATGTTACAATCAAAGAGGAAGCTCAAGATGAAGAAGACGATGAAGAGGACGAAACAAGCAAAGCGATGGTGCAGCCCACTAAGACAGAGGAATATCAATATGACGATGAAGATGACGAAGAAATTTCGGTTGAGGACAGTGACACGCCGCCGCTATTATCCATGGAATTACCTATTCTAAGTCCTGATAAAGATAACGAAGAAGAAGAGGACATGCATGAACAGAGAAAAGAGCACCAGGAAACGCTTGATCAGGATATGGATGATGGGGAGGATGATGAGGTTGGGGATGATGATAATAACAGCAATTACAACGACGACAAAACTCAACAACAGATGATTCCAATGGAACAAGCATATGATGTGTTTTCTGCTGATCACACCATCCAGGAAACAGTAGCAACAACAACGAATGACGAGCCAGACAACCTTAAATTAGCCAAGGCTGAAGAGGACAACGTGACACAAAAACCGGAAGATCCCGCAATTCAGGGACCACCGCCCGATCCACAAGTACACGCATCATCGCCATTATCATCTTCTACTTCGGATGCAGCAGTCCCCTCATCACCGGTAACAGTAGCGCCAGCTACGACAGAAACAGTGGTGAAGCCAGAGATGGAAACAGCAGGAGCAGAGACAGAAGCGACAATACCCCAAACGGATACGAGTACATTGGTATGCGAACAGAACGTTCTTCTGCCTTGTGGTAGATCGTAAAATCTATGTATTGATCGACTGTGCTGCGAACGATAATGACGATGATCTATAACACTACATTAGTTTGACAAACACACGATCTCTGAGGAGGAGCAACAAAGCAATCCCGAATGGTTCAGCAACAAGCATAGCAAGACGCCCGACCGGTACCTCAAGATCCGGAACCATATTCTTCAGTGTTGGCGGGAATGTCAGCCACGCTACTTGACTAAAACAAGCGCACGGAAAGGACTTTCCAATTGTGGTGATGTGAATGCCATCGGTCGCGTGCATGCTTATTTAGAAAACGTCGGCGCCATCAACGTGGGTTGTGTTAACAATGCACCCCGACAGCCGCCGAAACGGACGCCTCGTGAAGCACCCGCACCAGGAACAGCAGCAGCAGCAGGAGCCGCCCATGACGAAACACTCAACGACGATATGTTCGCTGCTGCAGATCTGGTCATTGGATACGACGGGTAACTATCATTCCCTTGCTTTTTCATCAAAAACATATCATTAGATGAGCTTAGAAGGATAATAGTAGTAACAATATGTGAATATTGTACAGACCCAGGAAGCGAAAAGTACGAAACGAACTTGGCGAATGGCAAGTGTTTATCATATTTTGTTTCCATGCACCCATCATCTGCGAGACTTATTAACATATGTGGGTGCTTTAGGGTGGATCCCAAAGAGTTGGAAGGTCGCGTCATTGAGCATGGGAAGAAGGGTAAAGTGTATATCATTTTGCATATAATTTTCGAGGAAAGCGCGGGCGGGAGGGGGGGTAACAGCAACAGTAAAGGTTATTGTGTTTCAGGGTGCAACGTGCAGGTACTCAAGCGTTTCAGATCAGCAGAAATTACACCACCTTCGAGGCCTAAACGAGTCATCAAGCGACCACACCATCATTTCGATGGCAGCGGCTATGATCCATTTCGGCTGGTTCCACTGGAATACTATGATGATGAATACCCGGCTCCATTTATCGTTGACATCACGAGTGATGCCTTGGTAAGTGAGAATCTTTAAATGATCCAGGGGATAGGACGACTATCGCGAAAATGATGTCTGTCAAGACAACAAACCATTTTATTTACTAATTCCTTCATTTAATATGGTTTGTTTGCTTTTGTCAGCTTATCATGGACTTTCATTCTCATTTGGCACACACGGAAATCATTGGCTTGTTGGGTGGTAACTTCGTGGATAACGAGCAAGGAGGTAATAGCAGTGGTGGTGGCAACCAAAAGGTCCTTAAAGTACAAAGTGTATTTCCATGTAAAAGTACAAGTACTGGTATCCAGGTAACGTCTCGCAAATCCCTTCAGCAAGATCACATAATTTATTATATAATACGTTAAATTAATGACTTGGATTGCTATGAATCACATATGATTTTCTTTCCCCTGCATGTAGTGTGAAATGGATCCTGCTTCCGAGATGAAGGCGCGTGAGGTCTTTGCAGAAAAAGGGTATAGTGTCGTCGGTTGGTACCATTCCCATCCTACATTTGAACCGCATCCAAGTATACGGGATATCGAAAACCAAACATCATACCAGGTATATACAGCGGACCATTCAAAGAAAACGCGTGTGTGTTTACGTATATACAACTTTATTACCGATAGACTCTATTCCGTCATGAAAATACGGGCGATGAACCATTTATCGGCGTCATTGTCACTCCTTACGACACTGAGACTGTTAGCGACCACTCCATAATACAGTACATTCATATCAGTCCGCGATGGAATGAATCTGCCCCATTCCGTACGTCGTCATCTGAAACAGGGAGAGACCTTAGTCGTGTATTATATGCTAACTGGTTCCATATGTAGGCGTTCCGTACGCATGTAAAAGAATGGTTTATCAAAGCGGGCAGGTCTCGCCACAGGTATTTCAAGAATTTTTAAAACTGGTTGGAGAATTCAAGGATTATGAACAGTAAGCTTTTCTTTTTCTTTTTCTTTCCCTCTCTCTTTTCGCTCGTCCGTATCCAATTACATACTTACATTTACATTTAAACAACCTGTTTGTTTGGTTTTTTTAATGCAACAGTAAAGTAAACATGCTACACCCATTTACTGGGTCACGAACACGATTGGACAAGTTGTTGGATTCTATACGAGCCAACCTATTTTTACCGGCTGATCAAGTGACAGAGTACCTGGAGCGGGTACGGCAGCTGATGCTGAGTCAATTTGTTACCGATACCATCAAATCAAGCAGTTTATCACCGATTAATGATGACGGTCATAGCAATGATAACAACATCCTTAATGATCATGAAACTTCCACGACTACCGCTGCTGTTATAGCTGAAGCTGCAAATCCCTCACCATTACTATCGTCATCATTACCGTTACCCGAAACGAATAATAACAGTGCTGCTAGTAGTAATAGTAGTAATAGTAGCAGTAGTAGTAATAGTAATGAAACGCATACTCCTGCATGATTTTGAGGAGAAATATCTTTGCCAGTTCATCACAGGTTACATGAAAGCGTGGTATCTTTTACATTGTAACCTTATCACACATCATATTCATTATTACTTACAATGTGTCACAATTCTTTTCCGCGTACAACAAACCTAGGAAAAGCTGGTCACCAACATTTAAATGTGTATAAAAACTACATGGTATCACACATATAGTATAGGCAATTAAATAGATACAGTAATAAGGAAAGCAAGATAAAAAAAGCAAGAGAGCCCGGATCATTCAAATGATGTATGTATGAACATACAGTATATCATATGGAGTGTCCGTGTGTTCTTTATTAGAATGTATTTGTGAATCGTTGTGAATCGTATGGCAAGCAAGGGGAAATACTGCTGTGCAAGGGGAGGATTTCAAAATGAAGTCGATACAGTAATCTTTAATGGATGTTGTTGTGTTTCTAACATCTTTCTACATTGATCATGTAATGCAACAGTATACAGTACAAAAAATAAAATATCTGTATTAGAAAGATACTAGATAATACTAACTAGATGGAATTTAGAACATGCTCGCTCAAAAGGCTAGTCGCAGGGAGAGGAAGGGCCTTAAAATTAAGGAAGACAATGGATAAGCAATATGTGTAGGAATGGGGGGGCTGTCTATGTGTAAAATGCATGATAATTCCAACCTTCCTTTCCTCCTGTCGATCATATAAACAGTGGAGTTTAAGGAGAAACGGGTTTAACATGCTATAGGGTTACACGAACGACGCAATGTTGTACTGTATGATAGCAACGCATGGCACTCGTGGCATTTTGCAGGTGTGAGCCGATGATAATAATAGCGTGATGTTGATAGGGGTGCATATGTATTGACCACCTTTTTTTCGTTTTGTATAATGTAACATAAGTTGATGCTCATAAAATTGTGGAGATGTGTTTATTTGATTTGCAACATTAAAGGGGAAAGTTGTTCTTTATGTATATAGTGAGGAAAGGAAAGCCTTAGCATTTTTTAAGCACGTAAACGATAGTGAGCAGGAGCAGCATGTTACGGTACAACTATATAGGACTCATTAAGTTTTCTACAGTAAGTATATAGCACAACGTGCACTAGTGGCAATTATTGGTACATTTGAGCATGTTAACTAATTATATCACCACACAGCCTATGCCATTCACTTGTGCTCGATAGAGCAATTCAAAATCTGAATTTTGAGACAAGAAGGTAACGATTAGTGGACAATCATCTTTCTGATTTCTAGACGCCTAACACTCGTTGTCGATTGTTTGTTACTTCTGCAGAGACCACACATCTGTAGCTGTCACCGTCAGTGATAATAGCGACCGGGGTATCAACGGCAAGGCAGCAATTGATTTCAAGCGTTCTTCTGCACGACCAGATCTGGTGTTGTATCGCAATGGTATCGAGTATGGTGCTGCTGAGGGTGGAAACATCAACGATGATGGCATGAGCAAGATAGAAATTGTAGAGTCGCATTTACACTGCCCTAAAGTTCTAAAGAACATGCTTGATCATGCTGCTGCAAAAGCTGGCGAGAACAACGAGCAATTAGTACGACCACTACGGGTTATTGGCTTCTATCAATTTCGTAAGTCATGAACGGAGAAAGTGTCAAACAAATACGCTAATTACTCCACTGCCGTGTATGTTAGACATGCGCATACGTGTCTCCGTGTTGGATTGTCCAGCTGGCTACACATGTCGATTACGATCCACAACCAAGTATGAAATATCCGCCTGCCCTACATTGATGGCTTTAGGATTAACACCCATATTGGTATTATTTATATCACTGACTTTTTTCACTTCTTTTTATGTCTAGTTAAACTTTATTCATGTCCAATCAGTCTTTTATTTATGAATCTGTACAATTATGATCCATTCCACCATGAATTTGTTGTCTATATACCCCGTCCACTCCTTCACCTGAACTCACAAAAACAAAATAAAACATACATCAGACAACTATTCTATTGATTGACACTTTGTGGTGGATTTATGTCGTTAGCAACCAACGCAAGAAAGCGGAAGTGCAAAATTATAATGATCTATTACATCAAAAGACGAGTAAAGTAAACTCATAGACAAAGTGAGCCAAGTGTAATAAGTTGATAAACAAAATTCCGAATTAAAAAGATAGCATCTTTATAAGTGTTTGTTTTTGCTTCTATCGCTTCTATTTCCGTATCACTACTTGTATGTTCATCCGATGCAAACAACTTTCTCAAGAAAAGTTGCAGAAGATACAGTATTGAACGTGCACGAGGAAATAGTTTGTAGAAGATATCTGCATGCTTATCACTCCGCCGGCCCAAAGATTGGCCGCTGGAAGCTTCTGTCCTTGTCGTATTACGTACATTGCAACAGTACCATTCTAATCTTATAAGCGGGTACCCGTACCATTCTTCGCCCATGTCCTTGCCAATAAGAAATATCGTCACTTTGGCTCAAAATTCGGCCCCTTTGATGGTTTGTTGACACATCCACGACGGTAACGTTCAATCAGTTGCTGTAATTTTTTCTACTAACTCGAAAATATTTTACAGGAAATTTTAACTAGGACAGCTGCACATCCACCTAATTCTACCGTGGGCTCTATTATCGTATATATATGTATATTTTCTCAGAGAAAAGAAATGATTATCCACACGTATATGCCTACTACAATATTGTCTGAGACGTGCTAACGCAGGAATATGCTGCTATATACCTTCAATGAAATAAGAAGATGTATGTTCTAACTATTGGTAATTTTAGGGAAGCTCTACTTGTCTGCTTGTTGAATTTACCACCACTATAAATACAGCACCCATCTGGTAGCTTTATTAGCTGCCTTGAAGTAATTAAAATCTTCGTCATCAAGTCTCGTAATCATTGCTGTACCCACACACACAAATGATATCTATTTCGACAATACATAGTACATATTATGTTGTAAGCAGCGATGCAACTAGTTGACGCTTAATCTTTGTAACAGCATAACGGGTATCTGAGAGTATATTGGAAAACCATGTCTTGCGCAAGTTCTATTGAAACAAGACGAAAACAGCAAAGGCCCTTCGGCAGCGCACCCGCGCATCCCTTAACTATTTTGTACTGACACAATCAAAAAGTAATATGATCTTTTATCCGAGTAGCTTTTGTAAAGCAGACAAACATACAGTACATATCACATTTCGCTCTTGGCAAAAACACCTTTTCTGAATGGATTGCTGAAAATAAACCCTTAGTGTATTAATGACAAGTGTTTGTGAAACTGTGGTGAGTGTACACGACAACAAGAAAGTTCAATCGGTCAACTACTTATCGTTTCTACTCCACTCATTCACATTTTGGTGTTGGGCACCTTGCGAGAATAAATTGCAGCGAAACATACGCAAACAAGATTTGCTGGCAATGTTGATGTTGAGCATATCGATAGTTGCATTTTTTACTTGAGTGCTGTAGAAGTTTACGGGGAAAGCTTTTCCAGCTTTTAATTAAAGGGCGCTTCTGTACTTAGAACGGAAGACTTTCTCTGATCCGCTGATTGAAGCAGCACGCGAGTCATGCAAAGGACTTTTGTTTTTCCGAAATCTCCATGGCAGTATGCCGTTAGACACTACGTCACCACCTGTACTCACTGCACTGTAATGATATACGAGCTTTTGAATTCGGGACAGCTGTCAAAACATGTTAAGCCCTTCTTATGATGACTGAATACACTAGGTGACGAAGTATAGTGTTGAGAAGCGTCTTTTCAAAGTATAGATCGGAGAAAGAGACTTCAAAATCATCATATGGGCAGCACGAGCTACTCTCTTGAATGCACATTTAGCAAAATGAGTTAAATACGTGCTAGGATGAGTTTTCTCGCGGGCACATATAATAGTAGAAAAGAAATTGTGACTCAGAGAAGGACCAAAATCAATATAATGTTGGATCTGCCAAGGGCTTAGTGAGAAATCACACAGACTGAGATAAAATAATACGGATGTGGGATTGCGTACTTAGTATTGCTTCTGCTGCATCTCCTTAAAAAAGTACTCGCAATGCCGGCAAATTATTCTACTTCTAAGGCGTTATTGTCATCATGCATACGAAGTCCTTTGAGGACCTCTTGTACCAGCATCCTCCCTTTCCACCTCCCATTGTGGTGGTGCTTAATGTCTTGATCAAATAATGTAATCAAAAGGGTCCTAACAAATTACTTGTGTCACATTTTTCGTGTGGCAATCCATGACCGGAGCTTTCGGAACCCGAGGTTCCGCCGATCAAAACCCTTTATACAAACCCCCACCCACCCCCTTTTCGGATGTTAATTTAACGCGGTTGATGCAGAATTACATCCATACTAAACTAATGTCCACCGGATATACATTTACGTATGATCTGCTGCAATAGATCAAAGAATTAGACGCGCCCCTTTGCATTGGAGAAAAAAATATATAAACCCGTCGACTTCCTCTTATTATTCAATTATAAACGATAAATACTGCATCTTTCATATACTCGTTTGCATTTTCTACTTTGATTATATCATCCATCTCACCTTTTTGTAACTCATCATCAACAACAGCAATATGACCGTCGAAACATTTGATTATAGCCATTTGTACTCTTTCATCAACCTATTTGAACAGCAAGTTCAACGCTACGCTGACAACACGTTTGTGCGCTACCAATTACCAAACACCCAGGAATTCAAGACCATGACCTACTGTCAAATCGACCGCATCGCAAATAATTTGGCAAACAAATGGGCACCGGCTGTGCAAGGCGTCGATTCGATTGGTTTGGTGGCTGACCATTCCATCTACTACATGATTTCCATGCTCGCTATATTTAAGCTTCAGCCTGCTCTGTTGGCTCTATCGCCGCGCAATTCTGTCGCTGCCAACGTGGATCTCCTGACGAAGACTGGCTCCCATTTTCTCGTCGCAAGCAAGAAATACAGCGCATTGGTCAAGGAGTGTGCTGAACAAGTCCCCGGTGGATGTGGAGTCAGTATTCTGTCACCTTTGGATTTGGAACACCTTAATTCATACACATCGGATTTCAAGCGCGCACCCTCCACCAAGGACGACATTGAAAAGATCGCATTGATCATCCACAGTTCCGGCTCAACGTCGTTCCCGAAACCCATTAGACTTAGCAACCGCTATTTGTATTGGTTAGTCCAAGTGTTGTCATTCCAAATGCAGCAAGACGCGCCTTTCATGAATTCCTCCGATGTTATGCTGTCTTCTATGCCATTGTTCCACGTCTTTGGCGTATTTACAAACTTCATGCCTATTCTGTTTGGTGCCAGCTGCATGATCTTTGGTCGTTTACCGCCTACTCCTCGTGAGCTTGCTGGTGCCATTGACAAGTACGGTGTTACTATGATGGGATTGCCTCCCATGATTCTGGAACAAGTCGCTGAGTATATCGAGGACACCCAGAATGATTCGTTTAGCCGTATCAAGTTCTGTTTATACGGTGGTGCGGCACTCAGAAAGCCTGCCGGTGACTTTTTGAACGCCCGAGGCATGAACGTACGAAGTGTTTATGGCACGACAGGTAAATTGATTATTTTGAACTGCTAGAAAATAATATCTGATAATCAACTCTTAATGATTATTAGAAATCAATGCCATGGCAGTTTCCAACATCACTCAGGGCTACGAACAATGGTATGCTTTTCGACCAGCATTACCCTTAATTCCTTACTGTATTTGGGAACCTCATGATGAAGCCAAGGGTATCTATCATCTTGTTATCAAGGCCGATTGCCCTGCTCTGGCCACAAATGCTGGCAACCGACCTAACGGCGATTATGCCACCAACGACCTGTTCATGGAGGATCCACCCAAGTCGGGCTACTGGCGCCATCTTGGCCGTAATGATGATACACTTGTCATGTAAGCCATATATAAAGAAATATGAAAGGAGCGTTTATGGTATGATAATTAATGACGATAACATTAACTTTGCTACGAATTGTAGGGAGAACGGTGAAAAGACCAACCCTGTACCCATGGAACATCGAATCAGTAGTGCTAAGGTAGTTCGATGCTGTACAGTTATCGGCGAAAACAAACAATGTACTGCTGCTTTGGTCGAACTTGATCAAGAGCACGCACACAATTACACACCTGAAGAAACGATTGCTCAAGGTAACTAACTCAGATAGCGTCCCTCTTTCCTTCAGTGAGATATTAAAATTGTTTGATGATTGATTAGTGCGTGAAGCCGTCGAACGTGCCAACAATGTCGCACCCAGCCACAGCACGATTTTGCCCCAAATGATCTATATTTTACCACTGAGCCGACAATTGCCAACCACACTCAAAGGCAATGTAGTGCGCAAGCGAGCCATCATTGAGTTCCAAGAACAAATTGATAAGATGTACAATGACTTTTTCCAAGGACCCGCTACTACCGCTACTGGTGCAGCTGATGGAGACGCACAGCTCGATATTGACGCTTTCCTTGCCCAAGCTGCTGTTCAAGTTCTCCGCAAGAGCCCCATTGACGCCAATGCATCCTTGTTCGACTACGGTTTGAACTCCTTGCTTGCCATTCAACTACGCAATCGTCTTGCCACCCGCTTTGAAAATGTGCCCAGCAACTTTCTGTTTGAACATCCTACCTTAGCTTCGATGAAGGAGGCCCTCACTGCTGGCGAGCCTCAAGACCAGGATGCTCAACGTGAAGCAAGATATCAAGACACCCAAGCTCTTCTCGATGATTATATCAAGCGTGCTGATGCCGATTTCCCTGTGGCCCCCAAACCAATTAAGAATGCCCGATCAAAGGAACAACAAACAGTCTTGTTATCCGGAGCAACAGGCTCACTGGGCGCGTTTATGTTGCGCGATTTGATCTTATCGCCCAACGTGAAAAAGATTTACTGCTTGGTCCGTGGCAACAACCTGATGCAACGCTTGCACAAGTCGTTCCAAGATCGTTTGCTAGATACATCATTGCTTGAAAAAGATAACAAGGTGGAAGCATTGACCATGCAACTCGACAAGCCGTATCTGGGTTGGGAGGAAGCAACGTACAACAAACTCAAGAAGGAGGTGACCATTATCCAACATTGTGCCTGGCTTTTGGATTTCAACCAGCCTGTCCAACACTTTGATCGCGAGTGCATCCGAGGCTTGTACAACCTGCTCCAGTTTGCCTATCGCAAAGAAGATCCCATACATGTCCATGTTGTATCTAGTATTAGTGCTACTGCTGCCTACGGTAAAGACACCGTGCCCGAATTGCCTTCTCCCAAGGATCCTCACGTTGCCATGCCGATGGGTTATGCCCAATCCAAGTATATTGTTGAGCACCTGTTTCACTATTTGACCCAGCAAAAGAATTTCCCTTGTATTGTCGAGCGTATGGGTCAAGTTTGCGGTGATACCGAGCACGGCGTCTGGAACACTTCGGAACAATATCCTTTATTGATGGTTGGTGGTACGCAACTTGGATTGATGCCCAACTTGGCATCGGTCACTGTCGACTGGCTGCCCGTTGACTTTGCTGCCACGAGCATTGTTACTATTATGCTCAAACTAGGCGCATCAAACCAGTTTGGCGAAGGCGTCTATCATATTGTGAATCCAAGCAGAGTCGGATGGTCTGACGTGCTAAAGGCTATGCAAGCAAGTGGTATGAAATTTGACGTCGTTGAGCCTGAACAGTGGGTCGAAGCGTTGAGCAAGCACCAGGACAATCCCGCATACCGACTAATGTCGTTCTTTGAAGCCAACTTTCAATCGTCCTCTTCCAGTGAAGAAACTGCCACAATGCCCGTGTGGGAAACTGAAAAGACGGCCGAGTTGGCACCTGTTTTAGCACAAGCACCCGCTTTTGGCGAGACCTTGCTAAAGAAACATCTTGCATTCTGGCGCAATGTAGGATTCTATAACCCCACCACTTTGTAAAATAATAACTTGTAGAAAAAAAAATAAAAGTAAAAAAGCTTACATACATTTATTTCACATGGCTGTGTATTAAATAATCAAACTACGTAACGTGAGACCCCTTTCGGTCGTTTCCCCACAGTTCAGAAATATCGTATAAAAGGGGCCTGAAGCCATGATGAGAACCGTGACAACCACTAGAACAATGTCGACAATCGTGTCCCAGGCAATCGCAAAAGAAATTCGACCTTCCTCAACGTAAAAAGAGCATCGTATATTATTGCTTTTCTTCTTTCCTGGCTACACACGTTTTTTCGCTAATATGTATATGTTGTTATTATACATGTAATAATTCTGTGTATAACAGACTCATTGTGGTGGCTCCCACTAGCCAAACAGCCACAGGACACAATTACCAGCTGCTAATGATGAAGAGGTATATACTTGCTAAATTGAGAAAGTCTCTTTCTACTACTGACTCCTACATACGAACAGAAATTGAAATTGACTCTTGAAGGTGTATTCTCGGAATAGAAATGCAAAGAGCAGCTTCATCAATGCACACGTTTTTCCAGGCGGTGTCGTAGATAAGCAAGATGAGGCATGGAAATTCGATAGCGTTTCAGAGTAAATATTGGCTACTGCTTTTTGACGACGACCTGTTCGGCTTACTAACCAATAGCTGGATGTCCTTTCTAACCACTGTGCCATAATAAATCTCATTTAATTAGACTTACAAGCAAAATTTGTGCGATTCGAGAAACGTTTGAAGAATCGGGCCTTTTGTTGACACATCCGCCTGCACATACTGTGTTTAAAGATGCAGCTGCTAGAGAAGCATGGCGTGAACGTGTCCACAACGACGCTTCGCAGTTCAAAGTCCTGTGCGAAACATACAAACTGGTACCTGCAGTTGATACACTGATTCCATTTGCAAATTGGATAACTCCTGCGGTCGAACGTCGGCGTTACAACACACAATTCTTTCTCACGGTGCTCGATCCCTCGATCGCTGTTCAAGAAACAACTGTGGCTGATGGCAAGGAATTAGTCCAGCTTGATTGGTTCACACCCGAAGAAGGTATGATCTCTGTGAAGATAACTTTCGTAGGAGTGCTTGTGCCCGGGTGCCGTCATATTAAGGATCGTCATAGCAATCAAGTAATCCTAATATTTTGGTATGTAGCATTGTCGGTATGGCGTGAGCATAAAATCGTCCTGTTCCCACCTCAATGGTATTGTCTTCACACCATGGCATCTTTTAAGGACTACAATAATATTGCCAACAAAGCCGGTGTGGGTGCATTGAGAACAAGCGATGGACGTATCTCGACTGTGATGCCACAGCAGGGTAAAGTTAAAGAAACTGATACTGCTAGAGCAAAGGAGGGCTACCATTCTTTCTTGGCATATCCTGGCGATGAGACCTACCTAGACATTTGGACGGGCAAGCCGTCTGGTCAAGCCGGTGATCGTCATCGCATTTATATCCGTGGTCGTATGCAAGACTTTGATTTGGAGAAGAACGTCAATGTACCTGAACCAAAGGCTAAACTTTAGATAGTTTTATAATCGCGTATTATACCTCTTTCTCCTCCTTTCTTCTTGTTCATATTGTACTGATATACGAAAAGATATAAATGTTTTAAAACAACAATGTTTGAGAGGAAAGAAAGTTTTTCGTTAACGCAACTATTCAATTACAAGTTCTCGTTCGATTTCAATCCACTTTAGAGGCACGGTTTTCCACAAAATGCATAAACCGATAAATCTATAGTGTTTATCATCCCCATCAACATGTTTTGTAGTAATAGCGACGACTGGTAATGCTTTAAAGCTGTTGTTGGATGTCTCAAACACGAGGTCGGAAAGGATAAGACACTCGGTACAGTCATCATCTGTGAGCGAGAGACATCCACCATTATAACCCGATTTGGTTGGCGAGCAGTTAACCCAAAGATCGCCATCTTCCCGAAGCGGGAGCCAGCAGGAGACGTGTAAACCATGGACAGAAGCAATGATATGTGAATTACTAAATTGCTCCGGATACGTCTTGACCGAGCAAGAGAGGAACGTCAGAGATTTATCGGTGACAGGTTTTCCTTGTTCTCCTTGGCGAAAGTAAAGGTCCTCTGGTACGACTCGACTACTAGTATCTTTGTTGATGGAAACCGAGATGCATTTGCATTTTATATGCATCAACGTCCCGGAAATGTCAATATTTTGTACTTGGCGGGGAATAAATTCCATATCTCGATATCGACATCCTTTGTAAATATCACCCATCCAAGACACGAGTACTGCCCGCTCATCACCGTGATGCTTTTCGTCGATAAAAGTAGCAGCTGCGGTGGTAGCGGAGGTGGGTTCCCCAATACAGAGTAACGAAGCGTCGTATTGCACGAGTAGTCCATAAAACCGAAGCATCAGCTCGTCGACCGACTGATCATAACGAATCAAGTCGTTCATCTCGGGGATTACACAGTTGAAAATGTTGGCTAGTGCAAAGACTGAATCACATGTGCTGTAGGTGTTTTGCTTGCTACGAAAATGTTGCAAAATAGCCCTAGTGCTCCATGGCGACGATATAGCTGTTTTTGATACGGAGGATGAGCAAAGTGAATAAACAAACATCTTGGTAGTGCGAGTCATATCCATTGTGGTGCTTCTTCTTGGATCCCCAATGCTAGCTGACCACGTGTGCGTATTGCGGCCCACAATAAGTAAATTTCTTGATATGAATGCTTCTGCAAATGGCCATGTTTGGTTACACAACTCGGAATTGGCCACCTTCGTGCACATTCGCTTCGCATTCTGCCAGTTGTCTGCTCCAATAACGTCCTCTTTAGGATCGTATGTCAGCTCCGGGATGAGAACTACTGTATAATGCGCATTGCGATAAATCTGGTGCATGTCTTTGATTCCTTCGTTTTCTTGCTCGGTTTGATGAACGTCACACAATTGGTCATACCAGATGTACCGAATTCCGAAATCTTGGCATATTCGTTGAATAAGTTTTTGAAAAGTAACTCTGTGAGTTGTCGAATTCGCTACAGCATCTGCCACTGCATATGTCTGTGCTGCTCTCGCGGTCCTTGTTTTTGTCGATTTTATCGCTAGTATTTTATGGATGTCGTCTTCAACGTATGTGATGATTTTATGCTGTTGATTATCGGTATCCGGGTCTGATTTTTGAGCTCTGTTGCTTCGGGCATAAGAGAGTGCGCAATATCTTTCTGTCACTGTTGAGCCTTGCACAACTTGCATGTCGGAAACGCGAACAAGACGAGTAGGCATATATGCTGTCCGGATTCGTGAAGACGCTATAATTCGGCCGTGTATCGGGGCAGGATTTGCTGGAGAAATATAAGGGCCAGGAAGCCACCCACCACTACATCCTTCGCTAAATTGAAACGTGTCGTATGTTACACGCGTCATTTTGCTTGATATTGGTACAAACGTATTTTTGCAAGAAATCATACAAAATCGTTGATTATATTAGTCTTCAATTACTATCCACAGAGGAACAACGGCATTATGCAGAATTTTTGAAATTGTAGTAGAATGTACATACAGAAAAAGATAGAGCCGAAAACCAGACAACAATGGGAAATGCTAAACCAAAGTGTCCAACGCAGCAGGAAAAGAATACAAATGCAGAAAAGAACATGTGAGGGTATGCGTAATATTATATAGGTTTGAAATGTCTCGCAGCAGAAGCAGTCATAATGCATGTACGACAGCGAAGCGTCACCAAGCTGGTACTACTCGTGTGCTAATCATGACTCAGAACCTTGATGTTGACGGTAGTAATTCAGGAAGGAGAGAACTTCTTTATTTCATAACGTGTGTAGGAAGCTCCACAAAATTACTCACTACTACAAGTGCCAAAAATCACAACTGTAATTAAGTTACATATTTATTTGAAGGAATACTATAACGCGATACAGGCTAGAATCAAACAGCAATGAGTGGGTCTACAGTATGCACTTTGTTACACCAAGAACTTATTTCTCTGGCGGCTTTGAAGGTAGTTAAGGTATGCAGCACTAACCACTTCTCGCTCATGACATTAATTATTATGCTTTCAGTATGTATTGTTCTATATTGATTATGAAACATAAGATGTCACAAGGCTTGCATAATCGAGACATATTTGAGTTCGCAGAGCTGTATAAAAGTTGCAGCAACAGTAATTGACAATCCTGTTTTCAATTCGTTAATATTGTCCAGGCACTTCTTTTAAGGGCACTTCTTTTAAGGGCACTTCATTTCAGTGGAGCAGGGTACTAAGGTGCTGTGATAAATACACGTTAAGAATACGACCTTAAGTAATAGCAGTTTATTTTATGTATCTTTTTTGTGTACGACAGTGGTCTTCTGTTGCTCGAATATACTGTTTACATATGATATCATATAAATTTACATTATCATTCAAAAACAGCCAAGATGTATATCAACAGCAGAGTTTCTTTCTGTTACACTCACCACCGGCTACATAACAAACGGGCTTTCTTCAGCTGTGGTATCCCATATTCTGCCCCTGAATGTAGCGCAAGGAATCGGCCGATTACGCAAGGTCACTGAGTCCCATATGCATTTGAACTATTCGAACTCAAGTGATTTAATTCAACTTCCTACGCTACAAGCAATTTAAGGAGGGGTTTAAAAGTTTTGGCTATTGCTTACATTCTTTTCATAATTTCCTCCTCCCTTTGGCAGCTAATATGACAGGAACATCATCGTTCAACTACAGGGACTTTGACCAGGGCTACGACGAATACCAGAGTTTGAATGATGACAAGCGCTTACGTCCTTACGAAGAGCAATACGCCAGCGATTCAAGCACAGCTTATCCTCCAGCTGTAGCAAGCGCTTTACACCATGTGTCTCAAGAAACCCTACGTGAATTTCCCCACTCGTGCATTATGATGGTACCCGAAACGCAGCGCAAATTACTTTTTCATTTGGTGAAGCTCTTAAACTCTCAGAATATCCTGGAGATTGGAACGTTTACTGGTGCTACTGCGATTGCCATAGCGACCGCTCTTCCAGAGAACGGCAAGCTGATCACGCTCGATATTGACGCAAAGGCATTGGATGTTGCTCGTAAGTACATAAAGGTACTAAAGCTGGAAGACCGAGTAGACTTTCGGCTTGGTGCTGCTATGGAAAGGTAAAAAGAGAAAGATTATATTTTACGGTACATATTGTAACCGTCGTGTGTCATTGCATTTCTATGCTTACCAACAATTTCGTGGGGTGTGGATCAAAACCAAATCAACAGTCTCGAAGCACTCGTAAAGGAAGATCCACAGCGTCAGTTCGATATGATTTCTATCGGTAAATAAAGCTTATAAGCTATCTTTGTTTACGAAGGAAGAAGCGTTGTATACGAAACTGATCGTTTTCTTTTCTGAATTAGATGCGGATAAGACAGGATACACTTCTTATTATGATTTTATTATGGACAACGATCTGTTATCCGACCGCGGGGTAATCATTGTCGACGATGGTACGTAATAGGCTAGATTGTACTAACAGTAAGGGGCCACAACAAATGTTGATTTGGTTATGCACGTGCCTGTATGAAAGGAGAACTTACAGAGAATATCCTCGTGCGCCAATTAGTTCTTTTCCACGGTCATGTACATCGATTCGCCGGATATGAGGAGTTGAGGCCTATAAAAAGTACAGCTTTAATGAATGCTGAAGAGGTGGAGAAATGGAGCAGAGCTGGTGTTGCATTTAACAAGCACGTCCTGGAAGATCCACGCGTAAGAGTAACGGTTTTGCCCTGTTTCGATGGGTTCTCCTTGATCACCAAGGCATGATGATTAGCTATCTAGCAGTATTAGTAACATACAATTATAAAATATATCATATTTACTCAGTGTACTAACGATTACATGGAATATGTGAAACGGGGCTTTCTTCTGACTGTCGAGAGAGAATAATTAGCCCAGTAAGGCGCAGCAGTGGAACATTGCGTAGTAGCACACGGCACTTTGTGGATCTTCACAACTCATGAGCGGCACATCAGCAGGTTACTGTATGTATCACAGAACGCCACATGAGCACTCCAATCCTAGGATGCAACTAGCTTGATTAACGAACTTCTCGCTATCTTTACCGATGCGATGAATTAAAATACAGAGAAACCGTGTAGTATCAACAGACTTTGATTAAAAGCCGTATCAACAACTTTCATGTCATTCTACAAAGAAGTACATTGGTATAACGACTTGTGGAAAGAGCAACCAACGCGATCCTGTGTGTATTCTCAATAAACGTACTTGCATATACCATTCGTCCAACTTGTTAAATAAAGGCAAGTTCTTTGTCAACATTGCTCATATAGGTCATAACACTTTGATCGATTAAAGTACGGATACTTTTAGCTATCAGTAGGTGCACCTCACGCAACAAAATGGCGCCATACCACACAAAAAGTGCTCTTAACAGACTAATGCTCTTCATATCTATATATGATATTATTGAGTAAAACAATACTTTGGCCTCTCCGGACGTAAGCTCCGAATCATACGATTATCCCGAAACGCACGCAAACTATGCTGATTGCCACAGCTATGAAGATATAATCGATGTGTCGATACAGTCAACCCCCGTTAACGTCAACCCCGATATAGACACCTTTCGATCTTGACAAGGTTTTCGGACGTGCGTTATCCTCTGTGTGTTAACTCTCTCTGCGGCGGAAAACATAGCTTTACTTTCCCAAAGTTACAAAATTACATGTCTAAAGTCGAACTAAATCTTTCGATCTTTTGAGCTCCAAATAGGGAAGGATATTGACTTTGTTGGTCTACCGTGCTCATCCACCTGAACTATCTCTGGCGCAACCAGGTGAGTTCTCTTGGAATGATGGGTAGAATAGACTCAAGCCCCGCGTAGGGACAGACCCCCAGAGAGTTTAGTTGAATCAATAGCACTACTCGAGTCTTTCAAGTGTCACTCCTTACTGATTACTCGATAGCGCTATAAAAAAGGCCACTCCGCCTTAGTCGCGATAGTGAACGGCGTATTGAAAGGGACAGGATTACCCCTGAGGCATGGGACTTACTGTCTGTCAAAAAAAGGGTCTACCTCGTTGTCGTCATAATTATACGAATCAAATTTTCTTGTTTGATTAATAACATTGATACCTTGCAGAGCTACAGAACTAGAGGGTACGACAGAAGACAAAGGATTTTTTAAAAATATAACATAATACCAGCACGTAACGCACTGTTACACCATTAGAAAAGACAATATCATACAGTTGCTATGGAGACCGAGATAGGCACTTAGAAAACTCCCTGAAGAGTTGGCGTCCCAAAGTGCCTATTGAAGACTGCGCTTGTAGCCATCCCAAAAGCGATTTTTCAATTGCAAGATAAATGTGTGTAATCCGTCGTTAAACTTCACGGCACTTGAGGATCGTTCTTTACCGTGAGTAGAAAATAGAGGAAAAGAGTAATTTACTGTATAAAACGCAGCTGTCATAGATCGGTATTACTGACAAACCCACACACGGTCTCACTTATTATCTCTTTTGTTCTATTACTATTTTATTTATGATTCCTTCAAAGCGAAAAAAGTGAATGTGGGAGGTGTGTTTTGCGTGGAATATAGTATAAATGGGATGTTGACGTTTACCTCAGAAAGAGAAAGGAAAAGAGGGAGGGAGGAAAGGAGACTATATTTACAACTCATCGTGACCATAAAGAGGCTCATCCTCTTCAGCATCATAACCGGCACCGCCAGGAGCGCCACCATCAGCGTAAAGCTTGGCTGTAATAGGGTTGACCACGGACTCGAGCTCTTCACGCTTCTCGTCAAAGTCCTCCTTTTCAGCCGACTGGTTCTCATCCAACCAATCCATCTTTTCACGGATGGCGTCTTCAAGGGCATCACGGTCATCGTCATCGATCTTGCTGAAAGCACCAGAATCGTCGCTCAACTGAGACTTGAGAGTGTAGACGTAGTTCTCGAGCTGGTTCTTGGACTCGGTACGTTCACGGACCTGCTTGTCCTCCTCTGCGAATTCCTCGGCTTCACGGACCATGCGGTCGATTTCTTCTTGGGAAAGACGACCCTTGTCGTTGGTGATGGTGATAGATTCAGACTTGCCAGAGGCCTTGTCAGCAGCGCTGACCTTCAAGATACCGTTGGCATCGACTTCGAATGAAACTTCAATCTGGGGAACACCGCGGGGTGCAGGGGCAATACCGTTTAACTCGAACTTGCCAAGCTTGTTGTTGTCCTTAGTCATGGCACGTTCACCTTCAAACACCTGGATCAACACAGTGGGCTGGTTGTCGGCGGCAGTAGAGAAGATCTGCGATTTCTTGGTGGGAATGACAGTGTTACGGGGAATGAGCTTGGTCATGACACCACCGGTAGTCTATAATGAGATTTTTTTGTTAGCTTCTCACTCTTCATTGCTTCTCTTAGTAGCATAGTGAAACAGACAATTACCTCGATACCAAGAGTCAATGGGTTAACATCCAAAAGGAGAACCTTGTCGGAACCTTCTTCGCCAGAAAGGATACCGCCTTGAACAGCAGCACCATAAGCGACGGCCTCGTCAGGGTTGATGCCCTTGGAAGGCTTCTTGCCGTTAAAGTAATCTTCGAGAAGCTTCTGGACCTTGGGGATACGAGTGGAACCACCGACCAAGACAATATCGTCGACCTGATCCTTGGTGAAACCGGCATCCTTGAGGACCTGTTCAACAGGCTTCAAAGTCTTGCGGAACAAATCGTTGTTCAATTCTTCGAACTTGGCACGGGTCAAAGTTTCGGAGAAGTCTCTGCCCTTGTGGAACGATTCGACTTCAATACGGACGGACATCTGAGAGGACAAAGCACGCTTTGCCTTTTCGACTTCACGCTTGAGCTTGCCCATGGTCTTCAAGTCCTTGGTGATATCCTCGCTGTACTTCTTCTTCCAGACCTTGATGAAGTGGTCCATGACACGCGAATCGAAATCTTCACCACCCAAGTGAGTGTCACCAGCAGTAGCAAGGACTTCGAAGATACCGTCATCAATCGACAAGAGCGAGACATCAAAGGTACCACCGCCCAAATCGTAAACCAACACATTCTTTTCACCGCCAGTCTTGTCCAAGCCATATGCAATTGCAGCGGCCGTGGGTTCGTTGATGATACGCAAAATATTCAAACCAGCAATCGTACCAGCGTCCTTGGTTGCCTGGCGCTGAGCGTCATTGAAGTAGGCAGGAACTGTGACAACGGCGTGGGTGACGGGCTTGCCCAAATAGGCTTCAGCAGTCTCCTTCATCTTGGTCAAAACCATGCCAGAGATTTCTTCAGGTGTGAAGACCTTGTCGTCATTCTTGACTGCAACCTTGATGTTGGGAGCACCATTCTTGTTGACCAATTTGAAGGGGAAATGCTTCACGTCGTTCTGGACATCCTTGTCATTGTAACGGCGGCCAATCAGACGCTTGGCATCAAAGACAGTACGTGTGGGATTGGCGGCATATTGGTTCTTGGCAGCATCACCAATCAGACGTTCGTCATCAGTGAATGCAACGTACGAGGGGGTGATACGGTGACCTTGGTCGTTGGCGATAATTTCAACGCGTCCGTTCTTTTGGACACCAACACAAGAGTAGGTAGTACCCAGATCAATACCAATCACTATATAATATGTGATGGTTGTAATAATGTTTTTATATTAGTCCAAGTTAGAACGATGTGGTGCGTGTCTGCCTCTCTCTCTGCTCCTTTTTTCCAACTGAGGATCTTCTACACTCCAGCGTCTTTTGTCGATTACGCGTCGTCTGACAAACTTACCAGTTCCATATGCTTCTTTGTCGTCTGCGAAAACAGTCTTTGTGCCAACAAACAAGGCACATACGATGGCAAGAAGGGCCAATAAGGTGGCCTTTCGATGCATGATTGCGTATATGTAAATATGTACAGAAAAAAGAGAGAAAGAGAAAAGGAAAAGATGGGTGGAGAGGTGAGTTTATGGATTCTCGTTCCGTTTATATAGTTCAAACCGACCATTTACATGGCGAGCCATGTTGCAAATTGTGATTGGACGCGGTTTGCGAAATTCACATGTGCTACGTGGCAGATTGACTTTTGACAGCAGCCTCCTTTCTCTCACTTTCGGGCTAGATTGTATACGTGGCCGGCGCTTGCTTGCTTGATTAAAGCGAATATACGTGGCGTTATAGCATTACACACCAAACTTTTATATAATGTACCACACCGATTATCCACAGCGATGCCTCGATGATATACTGTATTTGTGAAACTTATCCAACCTGGGTTCTCCTCCTCCAGGGCGAGCTCGAGCTTCCGAGATCTTTCACCGACTAATGGTGACAAAAAGCGTGGAAGCACAACAAACATGTACGTTCTCGCCGTAAATAATCTGACCGCTTAGCTAGCCATTGACGATAACACATGCGCAATATACGGGGAACTTGATTCAGAGCGGAGTAAAATGGATTTTCTAGCTCATTCCCGGGTTTCCAATGTAATCTGGCGAGTGTGTTCTTCCCACCCATTCAAACATCATGCAGCACATTGCGGCTGCTTCGTGATTGAGACGTTGTATACATATCAACTACCCAACACCTACATAAAGTCCTAGCATTCATTGATTACAGCTCATCACCACACTTTAAATTGGCATCACTAACGATAACGTGTGTGCGCTGCTGTCGCTATCGCAGATTGTATTAGTAGTTTGTGTGAATGAGAGTAATAAAAGTCTCTGCGGAACAATGTTGCTGAACAGGGAAGTTAAACCAAACGCGTGTATAACATCAAATTTTTTATTGTATTGTCATTGTTAGTGTTACCGTTTTTGTTACCGTGAGTGATTAATGGTTAAATGAAACTGGCATGTGGTAGCATGGCTTGTTGCTAGTCCGCTGCTGGAGAACGTGATGTCTTTACTGAGCTCCATAAACGAGCGTAGAAGCTCGAACTTATAGATAAAGTGTTTTTGATCATCGTCGACAGAAGAAGCAGCACGGCTCAACGCAACTGGATCAAAGCTCTTTCGCTTAGAGACAATAATGATTTTAAAGCAGACTGCTGATGCTCGGTCATCAGCTTTTTATGCTCAGTTGTGTCACAACATAATTTGCTTCGCCTTGCAAATGCATTTTTCCCCTAACATTTTCAGAAACATAAAGAAGATAAGCCTACGCTCGCTGTACCAGAATACCACGAACATCAGGATATACGTTACTTCCAACTTGAACCAAAGTCATCCACTCTAATTTCATCTCTTTGCCCTGGTTTCCATGTAAGAATAAAATCTGATCAAAATTTATCTTCAACCATAATCGACCCTATTAGAATTCTTTTTCAAATATCCCTTGCAAAAGATGCTGACTTATTTTAAATAGGATCGGTATATAAGCATAGATGTCATTCACTTAGAGATACATACATGCTCGAAGACTAAAACTGAAATAAAGACAGTTTTAGGTAACTTTGGTATATTGTGTCTTGATCCAGCTCCCAACTGAGCGGATCTATATCTAAGAGATGCCTGCAATCACTTTTACTGACCCTTGATTCTTTTGATTGGTAAGCATATACTTGAGTTAAGTAGCTTTGTAGCTTTGTATTTCTCTATGTCGCTCATGTTGTTAGCTGACCATGCCTTAGTACGCAAAACCATCTAGAATGTTGAGAGCTCCAATTATAAATTGATGAGATCGTAACTTACCCGCGCGTCTAGAATGTCCTCTCGCGCTATAAATTAAACTACAAGAGCTCAACGAACGCGAAAGATGCTCTTACATGTGCCATATTGATGCTTCACATGATGGATTCCTTGCTGATAATTCAGAGAACTGTAATCGATTGAGCGATCGATTATCGGACCTAGTTCATACACACATGGTTAGGCGCGTTTCGAGAGAAAAAATGCAATGAACATTGAGCACATTTAAGAAACAAGCCGCCAAAAGCATACATACACGGTATAATCATCAGGCATTGACTTTGTTTCTTATCTGTCATTGTAGCTCTGGATTAACTGCTGACTCGTTTCAAGAAGTTTTGCAGTTATGCTAAAGCCGCTTATCTTTCACTAAAAACTGAAGAGTTATAGTATACTAAGACAAAGTATACCATGGCAGCAGTTGGTTTTTTTAAGTAAAATTCCACTATCAGCAGCAAAAATTGTATGCACCCCATCATCGCCTCCACAGTAGACAGTGTAGTTTTTTTTGTGTTATCAGCGGTTATTATCAGGACTGCCTAACAGATTTCCTTTGTCTTCATCGGTCCCACAATCGCCATTGAAGCCGCTTCTATGATATTGCCCTTGCCTTCTTTGAACTGGCTGTTGATCATCTACAAAAGCAGAAAAGGAAAGTCCATTTAGTCGATGCGATGGGGTGTGTCCTCCCCTGTACTTATTTTTTTTTTTGCTATCTTGTTTCCAGAGGTTTGCGGCGCATCCAACACTTTGGGACAGTTATCAAATCAAAGTAGACAGAAAAAGCCTGAAAGTCGGTTCAGGTATGTACACACAAAAAGTATAATCGAAATCTTCAAACGCTTGCTGATAAACCATGTGATTGCTGAAAGGACTCTACGGCTGGATTACTAAACTGTTGACATGCTGATAACGATGGTTTTGAAAAGACATTCCAGCCTGAAGAAGGCTGTGCACGGACAGCATCAATAGTTTAATCTAAGTTCCCCAACATCCGGGGTGGTTCCTGTCAGAGCCGCCTTGCGGTATTCTTGGGTCGCAACAGTTCATCCCCGGGTTTCAGCTTGGTTTGTCGGATACCTTCCTCCAAACTAATCAAAATCATCATGTGTCATCATGTTGACAGGTGCGATGCGGCTGCTGTATGTCTGGTTGGTGAAATGCACACCAGTTACTGTATCCGACATCTACATAGCGCCTACGAGCGTGCATTTCTACATACATATCATACTTTACGGACCAGCAATTATAAATAATAATGAAAATGTCGGTGAGCTGTAATACTCTGATATTTGTTTGTATTCGTTTCTTGTAAAAACGTATATAAATATAAATGTATATATATATAATTAGTATATATTATATATTAAACAAAAATAACTATAATATATACTATAAACAGGCTTAAATAATAATAAAAAATATGAACGGCATACATACATTACGTATAGAGGGAATCAGGGATATAATAAAATGAATGGGTGGGCATATAAGTTCCAGACGGTATATAAAGGAGTAATTTTTATAGGGGTGGGGTAATATAGAAGAAATGAGTGGTATGTTTTAAGAAGAAAAGCAAGTAGTACGAATAAACAATGTTGGCAGTAAGAATGTGTGTTGTTGTTTGCGTGTTTGTATGGCGATAATGATGATGACTGTGATGATGATTATTTTGTTTGTTTGTTTGTTTGTTTGTTGTGTTGTTTATCTAATTGCTGTTGTTGATGAGAGTTAGAAAAGGGTTGGCGAGACAATGTTGATAAGAAAGTTAAACGTAACGCATGTATGACGTCATTTTTTTGTTATTGTTTGTAAGCGGTTGACGGTTAGATGGGGCTGGTAGGTGGTGTGTCTTGTTGCTGTTGTGCTGCTGGGGACGACGTTGTCGTTACCGAGCTCCATAAACGACCGTAGAAGCTCGAACGTTTAGGCAAGATGTTGCTACTGTAATTGTTGGCAGAAGAAGCCGAAGCAGCACGACTCAATGCAATCGGATCAAAGCTCCTTCGCTTATTCTTCTTGCTGCTGCCGGAGGAAATTGATGATGTGGGGCCAAAGGTTTCCAGTTCGGCAATCTGCAACTTGGCATCAGCCAACAATTGCTCCAATTCCAGACATCTCGATTCCGCTGCCACGCTGTTGTCCTTGGTAACGAATACGGATTGAGGTCGTACTCGAGGTGCTTTTCTGTTATTGTTGTTATTCATACTAGGTCTAGGTGTAGCTGGTGGTGTAATTACTTGATCCCGTTGTTCCTTGACCGTCTCGAGATCGTCAAGCAATCGCAGCTTTTCAAACTGGAGTTCATGCGCCGTCTTTTCAGCGTCTTTTAATTTCTGCTCCAACGGCCGCTGATTGCTCTGCAATGCGTCGCGTTCCTTGGTCACCTTGATATGATCAACTTCAAGTTGTTCCATCTTGTTCTTCATATTGACGAGCTTTTCAATCAAGCCTTCTTGGGCTTGCTTGGCCATTTCATTCTGGTGTCGCAATTCTTCGTTTTGTTGTTGTAGCTCAAAGTTTGAAGCCTGTGCTTGTTGGAGCTCGCTCTTCATGTTGCGAATGTTTTGTCGTTGCTGTTGGGCCGCTGGTTCATCGGGCCGCATGTCCAGCATGGTCATTTTCAATGCGTCGCGCTCGGCTTCAACATCCATCTTGTCCATGCGAACCTGGCCTAACTCTTGCTTTAATTGAATGTGGTCTTTTTGACTTTGAGACAAGGCAAGCAACAAGTCCTCGATCTGCTGATGAAGGGTAGCGACATCCTGCTGGGGCGGTTGTTGTTGTGAAGATGATGTAGATGCCATCGATGGTGCTGTCATAGATGTTGGTGTACTGGGCTGCTTTTCAGATGCTTCATCGCTGCTAGACGTTGATGATCGCTTGCTCAACCATCCACTCGACTCGCGCTTCTTTTTCTTGTTGTTGTTATTATCTTGCTTAGACCAAAAGTTGAATCGGACGGCCAAGACTTGTTCCGTCTGCTTCTTTTCTTGTTCCAATTCACGAACATACGAGTCGGCCAAATGATCCATTTTTTCACGAGTAATCAGACCGCTCAACTCCATGGCATCATTGATCATAAGGCCTGCATCGTCCTCGTACGCCAGATGCAGCTTAGATGTAACGTGGTCCAGCATGTCTTCGAACTCGGTCATCTCCAATAGTTCCTCTTGTGCGTGCTTCAGCATGGCAATGGCAACGCGCATAATGGTTTCGGCTGCGCCTTCAGCAAAGATGATATCGTAGATACGCATCACTAAAGGAATAGGGAAGGCATAGGCGAACAGGGTTAAGAACCATTGTGAGGCGTACATGGGCGGATGCACGGCATGTTCGGCAAGGTGATCTGAAAGTTCCGGCAGGATTTGCGACAACAGGCTGGTAAACTGGTATAGGCGCAACTGCAGGCCTTCCATGTTGAGGGTGAACATGGTTCGCATTTCGTATGTCTCCATAAGTCTGAATATTTAAAGTGATTTTCATTCAATTGCCCCAGATTCAATAGCGGGTTAGTACGCATCTCGTTATACAAAAGGTCCCAGCTCCAAAATTAATATAAAGCTCAGGTAAAGCGACTAACCTGACAAAGACACAAAACGCTTGCTGTTCTGGCATCTATTCATCCGTTGTGGAATGCATCGTTAGCACACAGATCAGTCTCTATGCGTGGTTCTCTCTTTAGTTGCAAACAGAAATGCCTTACATTCATGAGCAGAGGACCGACCAGAAATGCCAGGCCCTGGCAGTAACCGACATGAGCGTCATAGAGCGAATATGCTTTCAAGACTCGTTCAAGGGCTTGTTGGCCGTCACCACCCTCTTGCTTGAACATATCGACATTGGGAAAAGTGCGAGCCAGATCACGAGCAATGATACGCTCGTACGGCGAATGCTCGACCACCAACTGGCCGTACAGCGTCTCCAGGTTCAATGAGGCACTTTGTGTCATGGCTTGCCAGATCACGCCTCGCACCTTCTCTGGAATACCCGCTTTCAATTTGGCGGACAATAGGTGGGGTAATTTGAGCGCGACCGCACCAAAATCTTCGGTGAGGGCAGTCCAAAACTCCCAATCAATGTCGTCTTCTTGTTTGTCGTTGTTGCCACTATCGACCGTTTGCTGCTGCTGCTCGGCTACAAGGGTCTGCATCGTCGACAGATGAGCTTTTAACTCATTAGACTGAATGCATACCGATTTGGGATCTTCATCGAGAAGTGCATTTTGTCGCTCGATTTGAGCTAGGATAAAATCAATCGAGTCCTAAAAATTATATTATTTTCGTGATTCGGTGTGTCAGTTCCTTTGTAATCTTTCTAGGACAATACAAAAGAATTTTTTTTTCAGACAAGGAGAGGAAAGGCTCGAATGGGACTACGGTACCTGAGGAGGCAAATTGGCATTTTCTTCTTCCAAACGAGGCAGCAATTGGACATCAGGTTTATTATTGCTGCTGTTGTTATTGGCATTGCTGTCCAAGTGACCTGCGCCCGACGCGGTGCGACGACGATGATGAAGCGTCATGCTGGGAGCTCGAGTAGGCGTAGGACCTATGCCGAAACTGGTTGTACGAATTCGTCTATGGGGCTGGAAGGGTGTGCTCTTGGACGAAGCAATCGTATTGTACTTTTGTTTGTGTTGCTGCTGGACAGCGGTTGTTGCTGCCTGCTGCTCACTTTTGTGTAAAGCGTGGACCAGTTTCGACGGCGAAGTGGGTTGCTGCGGTGTATCGTTAGGTGGTGGCATCGTGGTTACTCTCTTCTCTCGGACAGAAAGAGAGCTCATATACGGAAGAGAGAGAGAGAAAGAGAAGAAGAAGAGGAAAAAGAAAAAGAAAAAAAAAGAGGTGAGTGTTGTCGTTGGTTGTTGTGTTGCTCTGCTGTGTAATGCGTGCGCATGGATATATTCTAGTACTGGCGTACTTTATAAAAGGAATCGAATGTCATGAATCCAAATAAGGTCATCGCCTTTATTTTGTTCTGCGTAACATCGTTTTTTTTTTCTTTCTCCTCTCTGGCTCGATCTCTCTCTCTCTCTTTGTCCGTCTGGCCTGTCTCTACTAACTGACTCTACTAACAGCTCTTTTCTTACTTGACTCATCCCTCCCCCAAGCTTCTCCCTCTATCCTCTCGGCTCTCCCTTTTAGTCCTCGCTCCCCCGAATTACATGCGCTGCAGACGACAATAAAGACTTTGGGTGCGGATGTCGTGGAACTGTAGGAGCTTATTGCTGTTCGATACCCACACTACACCCACGCTTCTTTTTCTTGGTCTTCTTAGCTCTTGCTCCTGCTGATGTCAAAACCAGATACACACACCTTTTCGTGAGGAGGCTACATAGCGGGTCACATAAAGTAGCCAGGGGGGGATTTCCTGTTAGGTTTCGAGAGAAGATGATCGTCTGTCAATTGAAACTTGTTTCTTTTTGTGTTCATGTTATAGTTTGTATGTGCTCCTTTCTCTCTCGATTGAGTTAGGTCTTGCTCTCCTTCTCGTTGTCTTTCGAATTCAGTCGATCAACTGTATTGCATTGTTACTTTATCATTATAACACTTTTGACCAGACCTCAAGGTAACTTTGGAGAAGAAGGGAATATGATTATTATTATTATTATTAGCTTAGAGATATATATGCTGCTTTTTCACGTATGCAACCAGTAAAGTAAAATAAGAATGATACAAGTAGATATAACGCCGGCCATGATCAATGTGTCTCGCTTTCTCCTCGTGTTGATGCGGCTGATTAGGTTGTTGATTCCCGGTATACGTCCTTTTTTTTGGTTGAAATTCAGTAACCGCTAACTAATACTACTACCGTCATCTTTAAACTTACCAATCACTCCACTAACTCGACTATTCACATTTTGTAGCATTCGACCCTGTCGAGAAACATCTTGCCGTGTCGCATAGGCTTGTCTAATAAAGTATATAATTAAGCAATCATATATAAGAATTACACAAAAGGTATGGAATCACAGTACCATACCCCCCACACACTCACTAAACCCCAACAACAGCAGCACGACAATAATCAAGACAATATAAGAAAAAGGCTTACTCTAGAATCATATCTGTCATACGATGTGTACCCTCAATACGGTTACGCTCTGATAGGTAATAATCTGATCCGTCCCCATTTGCCGTATTATACATCCTAATTTCATCCTGTACTTGATCCATCAAACTCGCCTTGTCCTGTGCTGCCTTCATATTTGTCTTTTCAAATCGCACAAGTAATTAGGTATACATTGCATTCCTCATCCACACAAGCACGTATCTTAAAGAAATACCTTGACTCTCCGAAACTCCTTGTTATAGTCATACATTATATCTTTATGCCGCTCCAACATGTGTGTCATGGATGGATTCGTCGGTGTCGCGCTAGGTCGTTCCAACACCTCACCCATCGATGCAATCACCGAATTAAGCTAAGATAACGTATCCCCACGTGGTGCCTTTTTTGTCAGCCTATATAGGGATACCTCTGCATGTTGTACCTACACACACACAGATAGAATAAAGAACCATAAAGTACCTTTTTTAATAACTCTTCGATTTCTAATTCTTGGCTTGGTTTGCCCATGGGTAAAGCATCGCCACCAGGGCCAGTTGATCGAGATGCTACAGTAGCCCCCAATTTGGACAAAGACGCCAACTTGAGTTCGATTTCGTTTTCAACTTGTCGTGCTTGGCGTCGTAAGTGATCCCATGATAAAGGAGAAGACGTCTGTGATGATGGCAGTACCGACAAATCACCATCGTTATCATCGTCTTGTTCTTGTTGTGAAGTAAGTGGCGTTAATGAAGGCGAAGAAGGCATGGGTAATGCTGTGCTTGTCGCTCCTCCTCCTCCGGCTGACATCGTTGCTCGATTCATTATAATTATACGAAGGAAGGCTCAAGAAAAAAGAATGAACCACTGGGCCTGGCTACGTATAAAGTTTCTCTCCGACTGAATTTTCAAGGTGATCGTGTCAGATGCTTACTTCCTAGAGTCTTCTCGCTACTTCCTGTCCTTTCTTTCGTAAATGCAAGCAGAGTATAGGTTTAAAACTTACTTTCGTAAATATGCGCATAAACAATGTCTTTTAGCAGATGCATCAAGTAGCAGATCCTGCAAGTTATACTGCTAGCTACAGTATCATATACATTATAGCGCATGATAGGAACCGTTTACGGAGATGATCTGGTAATATATCAGTACGCTATTATGCTTTTATAAAATACTTGGTGGACGGACAAGCATTCACTGATCCGCTTGAGACTCTCTTTTTCTGTTTAGTGGACCATCCGTGTGGCGCTTGCTTTCTGCATTCTCTATAGTATGTATTATCTTTCATCTAGAGGATCCCCCTGTGGTCGCTGCTGAGCGAGATTTTGAGCGTTCTGTTCAGTAGGTCTCAGCTCGCTGACTGTATGATACCTCGAAAGATAAATGGAAGTCTTTGCTTTCTTTTAGTTAAAGCATGAGAAAGAAGTATGCTTCAAAAATAAATTTGCGGGTATAATGCCTATAATGTGAAAAATAAACGCTTACAGTAACTTTGGAAGGTTACCAGCGAATCTGTTGGCGCTATCGGGGGTTGACGTTATCGGGGTTGACGTTAACGGGGGTTGACTGTATATCACATCCACATGCAAAACCTCAAAGTACACTTCACACTTTCCATATTGTACTTACACTTAAACTTGTTGCTTTGAGAGCCAACGTGAATGGAAGAAGGACCACGTTAAGACGGGAGGTTGGATACCCTCTTCCCACTCACCACCATAAACATACAAGAGCGACATGATTACTGCGGCCGCGCGGTTATAACGAACACACATGCTACGCGGCATTTCAACCAGTTCATTCTATCCAATTCAGATCACTCTCTCAAGTTTATGACGCGCCGAGGTGTGTGGCTCCTCCAGGTCAGAAACTTTACTTTACAGTGAATGTATGAGATTCTGAGTAATGGGTATCGCATCGAGGAAACGTTCAAGATGATAACCGTCATTAACACGATATGAAGCTCATTTCAGATCCTTCATATTCTGAGAAGTGACATCGCTTTGAACACGCTGACTACATGTATCAACGTCTTCCACTATGCATCGAAACGGCCTTCACTCGACCTGTGAAACCGCTCACCATACATCTTTATGCATTCAAATCGATATAAAAAGGCTGTCCAGTGACCGCTCTCTTCGGTATAGTAATATTTCGATTTAGTGATGGATTTTTGGATTCCAAATCAAATTAAGCTTGGGACTTACCACTAATACGCTATTGCAATATGCAATAAAACCAATAGATACAGTATATCATTATATCGAGCGTACCAATAGTAAATAAATATTTATTATCAAACATAAAACAAATTTGACTTTATTCTTTCAAGAAGCATGTCATAAATATATGTTAAGTCAAAATAGTCTTCTAGCTACCAGAGAAAATAGAGTAATGACAGATCTTCTGTCTCCTTTAATATACCTGATGTCAGTGGATGCTCTACTGTACTGTAGATGAGAAACCAAACAGCGTTACATTACTACTATTTTGAACGTGCTAAAAAAGTAGTGATACTGGATATCGTATAATATTCAAAGTTACCTATAACTTGGATGGTCATTAAGGAAAGGGACAGTCTTTTTTTTTGCGTGTTACTGGCTCGCGCGTTTTTTTAGTGGTTCCCCGTTTAATTTAAACCTCAAAGGGAGTCAATAAAGTGTTGAAACTATATACTGAGAGTTGACACAAACGAGGATGATTCAAGCAGTGTTATATGCTTAAAACGGGGTATAGAAAAAAGTTGAAATAACTGAGGGTTTATCTTATTGAGAGTGAAATTAAACGGGGATATACTGTATATGCATCTAAACCAAATGAAAGCAAATACTGTAAAAAACTGACGATGATCTGTAAATAGCGTTATTGTAAGATTGCTAATTGATCGGCTTTTTGATGAAGGTTCAAATTTCATGGGTTTCTAACTATCGATGCAGGAGCCGCTTTCTGTATGCACTTTGTATATACAAGCATATTTTTCTCCCATTTATTATCATTTCAGTGCATTTGCCTCGGAGTAGGTGCCGCTTTTCCATTCACGAAATTTGATAAGCACACATGGTGTCATTGTTTACTGTCAAATCAACGTACATATGATAGTTTATTAGTAGGTGCACCAGCGACAAGAGGCTACATACACTCTCATACGATAACGATGCGTGGATCACATAGTCAGTCGTATCAAAAACGATACAGCTTAAACTTAAATGATGATGACGATGTGTATTTCTAATTTGTTGAGCTGTGTACAGTGTAACGTCACTCAGGGAACGGAAGCGACGAGCGTGTGAAGCGTAACAGATTCTCTAGTTACGAGAGGAAATATGTCGGTCGCAACCGACCGCAACCAGCTACCGTGGTGGCAAGATTTTATATGTATATGTTAACAGACAAGTATAAATGCTGATATATGTAATCGAATATGACAACATCGTGTTCTACAAAGTTAAAAGGCATTCACGCTTGATCTACATAAAAGTTGACAATGCGGGCTCAAAACGAAAAGCACAGACATGTTTTTAAAGGCGCTCCTGGGATGGCCGCTTTGCACCGTTGTGGTGCTTAAACTACATTAACACGTAAGACAATCTTTCTACGGTCCCTCATCACCGGCCGGTTTAAGATTCTTTTCCCTTCTTATCAATTAATAATAGACAAAATCTGATAGATGAGTCATTCGTCAGACGTACTCAGGAACAACGTTTGAAAGATGAGGAAAGTGCGGCGTTGGCGATATCAGGTATGTAAGCGAGAAAAGAAGGCTTCGACACGGATATATAAATATAGAATGATGACGATAGCATGTAATACAGTACATCACACACAACTTAAAGTTCGCTCTTAAAAGAGAGATTGGAGTTGCTACTAGTAGTAGTCGTAGTAAATAGTAGTAGCAGTAGTACAGCGACACACAACAATATAACCAAATTCTGTTTTTTTTTCCAAGTTCGTTCAACCAGTAACGATTTTTAGAAAAAGCGAAAATAAAGGGCTACATACAATGAGAATGACGAAAGGACTGTAGTGGGGCGTAAGAAAGTTGTAAGTATGCAGTGGTATGCGATGACGTTGTTATGTAGAAGTAGTAGTAGTAGTAGTAGGGGAGTTAGTAGTAAGTAGATGATAGTTGTAGTAGAGATTGGAAGGATTTTATGAGCTGGCGTTGGGTGTGAAGGCGAGAGTATGGGTTATAAAGGAAATGGAGAGAAAATGGATAAAATAAAACAAAATGATGGAGGTAAAAAAACAACAACCATGCTGTTTTTCTTTCCTTTTGTATAATATAAATTACAGAGTTGAAAGAAAGGATACAATAGAGAAATATTGTTAGTCTTTCTTTTCTTGTTCTTTTGAGTCAAGTTTCGCAAGAACATCTTCAGTCGCTGGTTCCGGTGATTTGTTCGCCACTTCTTTTTGGTCTTTTTGAAGCTGCTGCTTATCTCCTTGTGACAAATCCTTGTCTTTTGATGACTTTGGCGTTGGCTCGTTTTTTTGCTTGGGTTTTTGCTGAGATGATTGCTCGTCATCTTTGGGCGCTGTTTCTTCTTCTTGTTCTAATTTTCTGTCATGTTGCTGCTCAACAGTAGATGCCGCAGCTGATGCAACAACCGAGGCTTGAGTCGATGAAGCCGCTGACGCCGCAGCACTCATCTGAGCAGCCTTGTGAGCAAGCATGGCAATGATTGCGGCGCCCAATCCAGAGCCGTCGCGAGCTAATGATAGCTTGACCTTGTAGACGATGTAGGGTCCAAACATATCTTTAAGTGCCTGCATCATGTTGGACTCGAATCCGGGGTAATGTTCAAACAAAGAGCCATCAATCCCGATGGTACATCCAGCGCTAACGAGACTGCTCTGCTTTAAGACGGCCGCTAAACCGCATGCTGACAGTCGTGCTGCACGTCGTCCGACAACTTGACAGATTTTTTTGACAAGCTGTCGATCCATCAAGGTTGTTGACGGCACACTGAGGACGTCTTCCAAGATGTGGCGAGTTTCTTGTAAGTCTGGCGTTGAGTCCATTTCGATAGAGGACATGTATGCTGTGTCAAAGCAGTATGGCTTGTTCAGGTCGTTGGATGAATAGCCTCTGAACAGAATCTGGCGGTCGACCAAATGTACAATGACGTTGCGTGAAATTTCGCCGAGATACATGCCGGAAATCATCTTTTCAAATATCTGTTGTCGTGGGTGATGCGATTCACGGTCTAGTTTGTTGTCATGGATCGTCATTGGCAAACAGATGCGTTCGCAGTCGAAGGCTCCCCATTCTGTGTTGATGACCATTTCGTCCGAGAGTGTCTCACCGCCGTCCCATTTTTTGATGCCTTTCAGTTTTTCATAGTAGCCTATATGGCAACACAGGGTCCAAAATGGAAACGATAAGAAATGTATAAAATGACTTGATTATTCTTCTGCTATATAGAAACCATGCTGTCTACAAGTAGACAGGTTAACGTACATGCATTAGTGCCAGTGCCGAGGATCACACCAATTGCCGTCTCGGGTATGCTGTACGCCAGCGCCATCAGCGTCCCCACAGTGTCATTTACGATCTGCATAGTGTCCAAAAAGGGAAAGAGACCCGCGGGTTAGACATTTCTGAAGGCATATCGTCCAATCAGCTGGTGTGTTTAAAAAAGACATCTTACCGCCGCAATATTCACAGGCACCTGTTTACGTAAGAAAGCCTGCTGCAACATTTCGACCACGTCGTTGTGCACGGCATTTGTGCAACTGTAACCCTTCGTCCACTGCTTCAACACGCCTCGGTTGAGACCTGTTTGGAAGCACGGGAAAGAAAACGTAAAACCGAGCTGATATTCATCGATCTCTCCGTTCTCGCTAGTAGAATCACTTAAACTGCTGATAAAGGCATCTACACAATCGGCGATGAAGTCGCATAAATCGCGGAAATCGCCTTCTTTTAATGGGATAGGGACTTTGTATTTCTGCTGATGGATTTTGAACTCTTTGTTGCCGCAAAGATCAACTTCGCATACTCGCAAAAACGTTCCGCCCAAGTCGAGTGCCAGGTACCGGCCCTTTTCCTCGCCTGTAGGACGTCCACTTACAAAGGTTGGGATCATTGCGACTATATACATGTGCCATTGTTACATATTTTTGTTGTCGTTGTAGTTGTTCGCGCGCGTGTGTAAAAATGTTTTAATTTAGTAAATAACATAAGCAAGCAATTTAAGCATGATTTTATTGCATATAGGAAGTTGTAGAAAAAGGAAAAAAAGATTGCTGAGCAACCGTAGTAACAGGGGGAATAGGAGACAAAGCTTCTCGTATTACCTGTGGCGCCTTCGCGGTCCAAGCCTTTTTGCATTTCTTTCTTGAGCTGTTCGGATATCATTTTCATCTGAGTCAACGAGACTTCAAACGTCCGTTCAAGCTCGTCCATGATGGCTGCCGTCTCGTCTGAATTCTTCGGTGGCCCATCCGCTACGTCAGTCGTTTTACGGATGCCGTTGCCGTTGACGCTGGTTGGCGAAAGTTTTCGTGACCGAAATCGATGTAGGAGCGACCGCATTTTATGCTGCAAGCTTTTTGACGGTCGAGGAGTGGGAGTGATAGCGGTATTGGCGATGGTGGAAGCGAAAAAATAAAAGCGAAAATAGAGATGGGTTTGGAAGGGGGTTTACTGTAAGAATAGAAAGAGAAAAGAGAGAAACCGTTAAAGCTGAGCCAGCGGCTTTACGTCGTGTGTATACGAAAAGAAGAAGAGAAGAGAAGGAGATGAAGGGAAAAGAAGCCAAGTCTATATATAGTTTGGAGGGGGAACTTCTAATATTGTACTTCTGTATGTATACAAATCTCACAGGTTGTGTTACTGTCAACAACTTGTTGATGAAGCGATCGTGAGTGCTGTGTTGCGAGAGAGGTGGGAAAGAGAAACGCGCATGTGTGTGTATCGCTGCTCTTCGGCCGCCCCGGGGGGTTGCGGGTCATGCTTTCATTCCAAGGATTACCGCTTGGTCCCGAGAAGGGGTTTGGGTTAGAAGCTAAGAATCACCCATCAGGGGAAAGTAAGCAAAACACTTTTCCCGAATTGATGTTTTTAGGCTTTTCACAGATATTAAGGGACGATGCACTCTCTCTTCGTTGGATCATTAAAGGAAAAGATGTTATGGTTACGAGCTGGCACGTCAAGGCTCGTTATATCCTTCTGGTTAAGCTTACTTAAATGTCAATACGATACAAAACAAAACAATAACACGGCTATTGTTCTTATGATAGCACAAGTAGTGGCGAGGAGGGAGAGAAATATCTTACCTGATCCATCCCGCAACGTGGTACAGCAGCGTCTATTCAGTTTCCCGTTTTGGTTGCTGCCCTTCCCCACTTCACGTAGCACATGCAGTCTTAAAGCTCAGGTCGTTAAGTACAGTAATCAAGAAGAGCGTGTACGGTACACATATACTAAGCTATTACTATCATCGCTTATGGATTGTAATAATATATGCTGTTATGTAAATAATTGCAAATTTCATCTTTAGAAAAGACACAATGATGTGAAAGATAAGTCGTCTCATGATCTAACACTACATACAGTACGTCTAAACGAATGCAAAAAACGAGGAAAGAAAGTATGATAGCATGTGTTTATTATGCTCTCTTATTAGAGTCTACCACATTCTGTAGTATCATCTATGACTCAGCTATTATAGCTACATATCAAGCTTTAGAGTTTTCTTTTTGCTTGTACTCGCTCAGTCGGTACTAGTATGGATGTACCAGTAAATTCCGCTTGTTCTCAGTTATCATTTCGTAGTATGTAAGGATATTATATTTTACGATCGGGAAAGTCTGGAATAATAAAAGCATTACTGTACTAGATACGAGCAGCGAGCGAATCGACAAGAAAACCATGTCATAAAATATAGTTGTGATTGATGTATATAGTAGCATTTCTAGAATAAATCACGTCGACTTTCCAATATTAGAAACATTTTAATCCAAATTGAGAGAACGGTTTGTGAGAGCTGTATTGGACATATGATGGAGCCATCTCCACCACTTGCCGCTGCAGGGTTTTTGTGGACAATGAGAGGGAAGAGTAAGTAGTTGTAGTGATTGTCGGGACTTCTTTTTTTGATCATGATAGGGAAAACGACCCTGGGAATCAAGAACATCCCAGAAAGCGGGTGCTACCCTCTTTTCACAGTGCTTGCTCACATAAGCAAATTTTGATTCGTCTGGATCCATTGATTTTCCTCTCCCCCTCGCTTTCTTGTCACGCTAAATAAAGTAGTAAACCAACGAGTAAAATTAAACACAAAGGGTGACCCTTGTTGTATCTAAATGATGTGCATCATGATCTATGCCATGTATTTACGGGACTTTCCTGGCGTGTGAAAAAGAATTATTTCCGACATCGTTTGATAAAAGAGGAAGTCTCGATATGTACATACTTTAGCAGTATTTCAACGAGCATATCAAGAATAATGATATTTTCGTACATATTGATCCACTTGTTTTTGAAATTGGGAAATAAGGAACATGATCACTACACATACAAACTACTTATAAAAATAGTAACAGTTTGGCTTAATATAGACCTAGCTGGTAACAGTCAGCTAACTTTTCTCTTGATAATGCTCAACATATATCTATGCATGGGTCATAAGAAACTACTCTTTCACGTACTGTTAGCGGGGGTACGAGATATACTACTACTGTACGTGACCCAATCTATCTAAATGCACTTTGTTTATCTGTAAAGATAGCGGGCTGCCAAAGCTGACTAACTGCAAGCAGAGCATGTCCAAAGCTTCTGATGATAATTACTCGATCACAAAATGCAGTAGTGGATATTAGTTTCTCAGAGGTATTCAAAACACGAGCAGCTGTCCAGTTTAAATAAGATTGATCCTAGTTCTTTACCATGTCGTAACTATATGGATATGTTTTTTTGCCCGTGCCTGAGATCCACTTTCACAATCACAAAGGCAACTTAATGGCTCAGTAACGTGTATAACTGGTAAAGAACAAGACAAATTGGGGGGCGATTCATTTTTTGTCGACTGAGGGAACGATAAGTCTATTGTCTCTGCAGAACTTTTTGCAACTATCATAAAAGCATTTGGCTTAGCTCGTTCTGTGTACATACAAACCAAGAAAGCGATTGGATAGTAGCCAGATTTATCAAGAAGATGTAGTAAACTGCTTTCTCTTTCTTTCATGCTCAGCAGCTAATACTGTACATAGAAGCTGACGCCCATAAGTTGGATGAACAATAATACACTACCACTCCCCCACCTTTGCAGAGCTCTTTTTTTATACTTTATTAGTAGAGATTATACGTTGGTGGTAACCTTTGAAGGTATGAAAAAAAATTCGCATTACAATCCTTACTGCTGCTTTATATGCAGCATAACTGCATCCCTACCATACGACAAAGGTCCATTGTTTCCAACGAACAAAGCAGAGAAACAGGTTCTTAGTTTTTTCACCAACGCTACTACATTTGAAGCAAGTCTCTACTTGTGGCTGTATTACTGTCATTCATTGTATCGTATCCTTTACAAAAAGCAACATATAAGCTATCTTAATACCATTTGGAAGTGATTACAGCTATAGTTTGAGGATTATAGCTATCATACTGCCTTCGCAAACTACCAAAACAATGCCTTTAAAAATGAAGAGCAAAACCCACATAGCAATCAATAGTAAAAGCAATACTCTTAAGGAGGCAAACTACCAACGCCAACCTATACATCACCAGTCAAGGTAACAAGCAATCAATAGAGCAGTTTCCAGGCAACATCTCTACTCTTATGACTATCGACGGTTCTCACGAGCAACAATGCTATTTAATGATTGCCATTGGTACATTCCTCTATAAGGTCTTAGAGCCATCTCCTTGTGTGTGAATTTTTTGTTTGCATTAACAGCTCCGCAAGGCTAAAAGACAAAAAGAAAATAGCCCTGTTTCCCTTGTTCATTCCGACCAAATACAATGAACCGAACGTTCTTACGGTATGCTCGAAACAACATTAATGGATGGACAAAAGTAGTTGCGCCAAGCTTAAGATATATCTGATATCAGTTGTTCTATTTCCAAAAAGTCAAGTACCGGCTGCTTCGCGTGCATTTGTGCGTCGACCTGCATTACGCGCCACGACCCATAATACTAACCCTACGTCATCGTGTCGCCGTCTATACGCAACTGCCAACAATAACAATAAAACAGCTCAGCGATCCTCTTTGATTTCACGACAAACTGCAAAGGAATGGAAAGAATTGAGTACTCCTCAGAAGGGTATGTTCTTTCATCAAAGACAAACACAGAAAAAAAAACACTGTATGCGCCGCGTTGCGCATGGGTGGCTGACAGAAGAAATATGACTACTAGTGGTTGCTGCTTCCAAGGTGACGGTCGACCTTGGTGTCATTCTCACAGGTTTGGCACTGACTTCTGTGTTGCTCTACTTTGTTGGATCTGAGCTCTTTGGATCGGATAGTACAACGGCCATATTTTCAGATGCTGTCGATCGTATCCGTGTTCATCCAGAGGTAATTTGTCTGACTTGGCCCCCACACTTCCTACCCCACCTATCTCCTCTTTTACAATCCTATGACCTAGTTGTAACATCCGTTGGGTCACTTTTAACAGCTATCTGAACTGCTGGGCGCACCAATTAAAGGCCATGGCGAACCGAGCCGAAACAGAATGAAGAGAAACAGACGTATCCATCATCAGATTGTGAACGATGCTCAGGGCAACCCTCATTTGTTTATGCGATTCTATGTTGAAGGACCCAATGGAGAAGGTACCGCCATGTTGGAGATGATCAAGGTAACGTGTAGATTCAGCTTGTGTCAATAGCAGGGACAGACGAATATTAATGTATGTACACATACTACACAGGATGACAAGGGCAGCTGGCAATACAAACAATTGTTCTGCGATGTACCCGGTCAAGGATACCCTTCGCGTCGCTACTTTGTGGAGGATAATAGATCTTGAATAAATAAACAAAAAGGCTGGTCAGCAGGGATGACCGTATAAATAAGAAAAGGTGGTTTTATAAAAAGACTATAGTATGATAATATAATGTGTGTAGAAAAAAAGAATCAAAGCAAAAAAAAAAGGGAGAGAATAAGTGAAGAGGATGAGAGTGGGTGAGAGAGAGACAGACTGAAGACAGAGGGACAGCGAGGGAAACGAAGAGTTACATACTACGATCCTCCCCTCACACAGAGTTCACTGCTAGATATCACACGCTGGCGTGTATCACAAAAAAGTCGATCGATTACTTGTTGAAGGTGAAGCCTCGCTTCTTGGCAGATTTTTCAGGGGTGATGGGTCGGCCAGATTCAAGACGACGTCTCTTTTCTTCCAGATCCAACCGCTGCTTTTCGAGTGCCTCCTTCATTTGCTTGTGGCGGGCGTACAGCTGCATGAAATAATGGAAAAAGTTAAAGTAAATTATGGAGGCACAAAGTCAAAACGATAGAAATTTTTTTTACCTCTTCCTCCGAATTCTTCAACTTGGACTCCTTCTCCTGCACCTTGGCCTGGAACACAGCACGCATCTCGGCCTCCATCTTGGAAAGCTTCTGTTCGTGTGCAACACGCTCCTCCTCCATCTTCTGTACAGGATTGACCTCCTTAAATACCGTGGGGTCCTGCTGGATACCCATGGCGGTCAGCTTTTCGGTACGGTAGTTCTCATACAGCACATCGTTGGTATATTCCTTGAGCTCCTCCATGTGCGTGCGGATCAACATTTGTCGCAACTTTACGAAATCGCAGTGCTCTTCGTTGTCGACTTCGATAACACCCCAGGGGTATTTACGACCACGCACACGCTTGCCCTCGACCTCAAACTCCTTGTCCGAACCGACAACAGCGAAAGGAATCTTGGACATGATTTCGCGGTTTTCCGAAATCGTCTCCTCATCGTCGTACTCGTATGCAGGAGCCTGATAGATCTGGATCTTGTGGTAGTTGATGTCAGCCAAGATGCGCTGCTTGAAGGCAAACACTTCTTCTTCGGTCAAGGTGTCCGCCTTGGCAATGACAGGGATCAGGTTGACGCGGGTATGAAGACGACGCATGAATTCAATATCCAATGGCTTCAATGCGTGACCCGTTGGGGCGATAAAGTAAAGACAGGCGTGGATGCGGTTGTCCACCATGCGGCGACGGTTGACGCGGTTTTCCTGCTCAAGATACGCGTCGAAACGAGATTCAATGCTGTCCAGGATAGGCTTCCAGCTAGATAGTTATTGTAATTTCTTTAGCATTTTTTTTTTGTTCTTGTTGTCAAACGCCCCACGACCTTCCGTCTGACACTTTTTTATCCCATCGCCTTCGTTGCTCACAGGAGAGAGACAGTAGAGATAAACCAACTTGGTCCTGTCCAGTGTCAGAAAGTTTACCTTTGCTCGTTGTTGACAAAGTCACCGAAACCTGGGGAATCGACAACAGTCAAGCGCAACTTGACGCCGTTTTCCTCGATATCAGACGTGATGGACTGGATTTCGACCGTCTGGGGCGTTTCGTGCGTAGGTTCGACGTTTTCCTTGGGCGGGTAAAGGGCAGTGTTGAAAAGGGTGTTGACCAACGTTGATTTACCCAAACCAGACTCACCTGTAGCAAGCACACAATACTTGGGTTATTATCCACTTTTCCTTTTTCCAATGGGTAAAACTAAAATATTAACATACCAACAACCATGCAGGTGAACTGGAAACCCTTTTTCACCGACTTGCGGTGGACTTGGTTGGGAAGGTTGGCGAAACCAACATAGCCTGCAAGTTTCTTGCGGACAACAGTAATCTACATGGACCGAAAAAGGAGAAAGAGATGGTGAGCCAATGAGTGTGGTCCTTGGAGTCTACACAATCGAGCAGATGATGATACTTACACCAGATGACGAACCGTTTGCTTGATCAGCTATGTACAATAAAGTGGTCAAATTGTCAGGCTCTACAAGATGATGCTTTGGAATTATATATTTCTATTATATTCTTACAGGACATTATTATATTGCGGCAAAATTATAGAAAGATGGTATAAAGAAGGAGGAAGTAATAAAGAGAGAGAGAGAGAGGACAATTTATAAAGGCTCTAGAGTGGATTTAGGAAGGGATGTGTAAAGGAGAGAGGGGACCTGCTTATTTGAAAAAGCGGGTAACTTTTTTTGTTTTGCAGGGACAAAGCTTTAGAAAGAAAGGTTGAAAAGGGGAGGAAGAGATATGAGAGCGAGGTTGCCCGGAGCGCGTTTTTTTACACTTTGCACAACCCCCCCCACCAGCATCCACACCATGAGAGCGCACGACATTAATGGCGATGAATGGGAATACGTGTGTAACCACAACTAATTTTAAAATGAAGAGCGACAGTGTATCAGGGAAACCACGTTCTCCCCGGTGTTGTGTATAACAAAGAAGATGTCAATCTTGTTTTGTTCTCGCGCAACCTTCCTGCTAAACTCATAAGGTGATCGTAGAGTCCAGAAAGAGTGGCGATGGCCGTCTCATGTACGGCCGTGGGCGATATTCGTTGTCGTCGTCATTGGCTGGAGCAACAATCGTAGGACACGACACATTGAGATGGCTGTAGTTGCTGTACAATGTATTATTAGGGTGCAGTAGTGGTGAGCACCGGTTCTCTAAATGGTGGATGATTTTTTTTTATCAGTATGCATGAGTAAACCGCAAGGAGAGAGGGGCTGCGTTTCTTTTACCTTTTCTCACATTGCAACCAGTCAAGGCGTTCTGTACGTGAGATGAAATCCAGCGAAACATGGACGCCAATGTTTTGTTGCGTTGCTGCTGCTGCTGCTCTTGAAATGGATCATGAACAGAAGGAGGAGGTGGAGATGCAGGTGCAGGAGAAGACCGGATCGAAAAGAGCGATGTTGAGGAGCAATTGGAAGGAGTAGAGGCTTGTACTTTTTTGTCAGGAGCTAGCATATCGTTAGAGCGTTTCTGGAGTAGCGTTTGTGTTACAGCCGGCATGAAGCAACAGCAGCAGTTGCTGGCATGGGTAGGGTGCAAGTAATCATGATAGTGGTGTTGCTTCTCGCGATACTCGGGGATGGTCGACTTCTTTTTGCTAATATTCTGGTTACTATCTGCTATGTGTTTATCGTCATCTATTTGAATTTGTTGCTGGTGTTGCCTTTGCCGTTGTACTGATAGTTCTAATTCTTCTTGCTGTCTCTTCTTCTCTTGCTGCCCGTGGTCTTGTTCCTGCTGCTGCTGCAGTTCTTCTTTCTGTTGCTCCTGGAGGACGCGTAGCTGTATGTGTCGTTTATGTTGCTCTTTTTTAACTTTTTGCAGTTGCAGCTGATGATGCAATTGATGTTCTTGCTGTTGTAATTGCTGTTGTACCCGTCGACGAGTTTCTGGTAAGGGTCGTTTCACAGATCGTCGAACTGTGTTTCGTCGTTGCAGATGACCTGGCATGCGGATGGGTGTCAATTTGGGTGGCTCGGGCAGTCGTAAGACCTTGACAGATACCCGCTTTGTCACGTCGTCTGTCTGGGTAATCATCAATGACTCGTGTGCAAAGACACATTCTGTACGAACGGTGTTCTCTGTCAAAGATGTTCCTCGAGCTGTCGTTGACGTCGGGTATTTGAATGGTTTCTTATGAAATCCAATAATGCCAGGCATCTTTATGAGTAATATAGTTTTGATAGATCGACACGTCAATAATGGATGTAAGAGGAAAGAGAAGAAAAGAGAAATAGAGAGGAGAAACCCACTATTGTGCTATATATATATATATAACCAATGACATCCATATAGAGAGTGTTTATATAAATATATATCCATTTCGCAGAATGTAAACCAAGTACAAGAAGAACAAAGAAACTGAATAGTTGGAAGAATGACAATGAAACGAACGGCCGGGACCTGCCGTATAACGTAGTGCATGAGTGGTGGTGACATAAATAACACACTGGGCAGCTCCGAAGTCAAGGGTTGTTCGGCATATAAGCACTCCAATATGGGTATAAACCCGTACTTGCTTCTCTCTTGGCCTTGAGTGTGATACATATCAAACTGTGTGTGTGTCTCTCTCTCTTGACTTAATAATTTTCAACCCTAATGCTCCTGCAGCCGAATTTGTTTTTTTCCCTTTTTCCTTTCATTTATATTCACTTTTCTGTTTCTTTCTTTAACCTTTCCTTTTCACTTTTCCTTTGCACAGACGATCGTTTTCAAACCCCATAAGCTCCACTAAGTACCTTTTTCCGTCCAATTCCTCGTACACTCACGCGCGCGTACATACGACATGTCCTACAACAACAACAACAACCAAAAGCCGTCCATTTACGATTCATTGCCCATGCTGGATTCATGGTATCAGAAGCAGCCCATCATGTCGCCTTCTGTACATCACCATTTCCCGAGCGCTGCTACTGCGACTTGTGTAGCTAGCGATCGCGCTTCAAACAGTCCAACGCAACAAAGACGTGCTCGTCGTCGCAATAACCATGCGGTCCAATTCTCGGTCGATCCACCCATGGTCCATTACGTGCGTCATTCGACACGAGCAGACGTTCATGACGAGGACGAGGATCAAGATAATGGTGACAGTAGCAGAGCAGCGCGGATCAATAGTGGTAAGTGACCCATTTATGGCAACCCGCGGTCTCTTTGTCCTACGATACACGTTGCACTAACAACTGCACCTACGCACGCACATCACACACCCTCTGCTTCATCTTACCCCTTAAAAAATGACCTCCTCCCCTTTCTCCTTGACCCCCTGCTCTTATTTTTCTATATAGTGAAATCGATCATGAAGAGCCTGCTATTTAAACATACTCGTCGTATAATAGCATGATAGCTATATATTATCACCACGAGTGGTACATACAACGAGTGACAGCCTCTACTCTTCCCATTTAGAACGATTTTGAAGATAATGTAATATACAACTGTACATTTTTTTTAATGCTTGATGCTATTCATGAATACGGATATCTACAGTTCGCCTCCAAACGATTATGCCGACGAAGCTTTCTTGCTGTCTCCTAGCTGCTTGTTATAGCTCAACAGCTATCGTAAGAAAAGCAAAAGTCAGTTTTAAAGTTGGCATGACAACAACATGTTGGGGAACACAACGATAACAACATGCCAAAAACAAAAACTTCATCGTTTCTCGTGTTACCTTTTTACGCATTTTCCGTTCACTGTCGGATGCTTTTAGTCGATGTGCTTGAAGAATCCGTACATTTCGTTCCAAATTATCCTGTATTGCCTGTTGTTCTTCGTATAATGCATCTATATTATTATCATTATGCCGAAACAAAGAAGGAAGTTGTTATGATGATGATGATATATATATCGTATAGTGTCTCCGCAACGTAAAAGTGACTGTACCTAATGGGTTTCCTTTTTTCTCGAGCTTTTCAAGTGCTGCCTTGGCTTTTTGCTGACGTCCATAACGCATCTCGTGCTTGATCTTTTTTATCCCCTTTTTGGTATCCGGTAATCGTAGTCTTTTCTTTTCCTGTTCCTCCTTTTGTTCTCGTTCACGTTGTATCTGTTGTTTCCGTTTGGCAACGCCATTCGATCCACTGCTGCCTTTGAGAATGAAATCAAGTGTTTGCTTTGCAAGTCGATTTGACATTATAGTTGAATAATTTATTTTCGTTAATGTGAATAATGTGGATTAAAAAGAAGCTATATCGAATTCCGGCAAACTGTGCCCTTGGTGTGGCTTCGCCTGATCCAAAAAAGGAAACAGATACTTAATGCATCGATTTTCAAGCAAGGAGTATCAAAACACTTTTTTAACTTGTCTTTAGATTGATATAATTCTAGCATGACAGCTTCTTTATACTCTTGCGAATATGAACAAGCGTCTTTTGTAGTTTGGGTAGCAATTGAGGGTGATATGAAATGCAGTTACATTTGGAAAGGCTCATGATGATGCTTACAAGATGCGTTTTTTGTTATGCTCATTATTAAAAAGCTATCTAGATGTTCAAGCAGAAGCTACAGTAGATTGCGTCATTTCCTATGCTGTTCAATAATAATATTGTATTCTCTGCAGAAACTATCCGTGAACATGAACAATGAAGAATCGCGACGGTCTATAATACGTACATAGGTATAGCCAATTCGTTTTGATTATCACCTACATCTTCAGTAACCTTTTGTTACACTACAGTTGTTTTTGAATGGATATAGCTTGGTAATATGACAAAACTTCTGCCAGCCACTAGATATTCTATTCTATGTCATTATGTCAATTTTGGTAAATGTTTTTTATAGAGAGTATATTTTGCACCAAACAAGATGTGCAAGTTCATTCTATTGAGGACGGTTGTTTTCGAAGTACCAATATAAAGGTCCGAATAAAGGCACATCATCTAAAAGATAGTGTTGACGATGACGAACAGACGCTTCTAAAGGAAGGAGGCAGACAAGAGAAACCTGTTAAGCAGCAATAACAACAACAACATCATCCAGCCACCTATAATGCTATTGTACTGACCGGCTGTAACAATGACTGCAATTCGAGAATACTTGGGTGATAAATGGATCTTGGTTTAAGCAATCGGTCTTTTTTAAACCGTGCCTAAATTCGATCCGATTATGTTAGGCATTCTCCCACGCTTCTAGAACTATGATCAACTTTCTATTGGGATTGCCATCACTCGATCTTTTATCAGTCGATCTTATATCGCGTGCATCGCAGATCGCCTATTCACTACCTAATGCCAAACAAAGATTGCTACAGGTACTTTTTGCTCTGTTGTAAAAAAAAGGGAAGGCATGCTCAGGGTGAATCCGAACCTCGAACTCCATGACTGTGATGGGTTTGCAGAAGGCAGAAACTAAACTCCATGTTGTTGCGTATAGTATAATGGTTTCACTGGTGATCGCGACTTTTTAGAAAGTCTGGCGACGTTTTTGACAAAAGCATACAATGACACAGTAAAGGTGTAAGTTTGGCAGAATAATAAGCTGAGCACAGTAAAATGTGGGGGAGTAAGGTACACAGTAACAGCTAAACTGCCTCACAACCCCCCCCCCGGTGACTTTTAGGGAACACCTGTGTTCGTCTCCAGGGGCATCCTTGATGCTTGAGCATATGCTTACGATGCTGACAAGACCCCAGACGGTTACCCGGTTTGCGTTCTTCCAAAACCCCACATACCATTTCGTGTTCAGAATATTTCAAGAATGCGGGTTTTCGACGGATCAATTTGTCGGTATTCCAGAGGACTGCGACGGACTTGACGTGGATTATTTGGAAACCTTTATCAAAGAACATTTTGAACATGATGATGGCAGTAGTACCCGCGACAACAGCCATGGTGACTTTTATGACGCGGTGCTGTATTGTGTGCCCACCCATGCCAATCCCTCCTCCTCCATCTTATCCAAAGAACGGCGGGAAAAGCTCGTGACGCTCGCAAAACAGTATAACGTTCTGATTATATGCGACGATGTGTACGATCTTTTAACGTATCAAGGCGTCGCTCCGCAACGTTTAGTCGCTTATGATTTCGCATCAAAGTCCGACCGACCCGTAGTCATTAGCAATTGTTCTTTCTCAAAAATCTTGGCACCTGGTCTTCGAGTGGGTTGGGTCGAGGCCCAAGAAGCATTGGTGAAGCGTCTTGGCTTGAGGTAAGAGAGAAGAACGCTAAAAAAGGAGGGATGGCGAATACTTGTTCTTGCTGCTACATTTCAATCAAAGATAAGAGTTTAAGATGACGTACCCAAACAAACCAACCGTTATCTTGATAGTGGATCTTATGTATCTGGAAGCAGTCCTTGCAATTTTTGTAAGTGTTTCAAAGGAGGAGGAGGGGGGAAGAAGGGTTACCTGCAAGATGTTTGAACTAATTCGTTTTACGATGGGGTGTAGCAAGTGTCATTGTATCGCAGACACTATGCACCAGTGATCCACAAGTCAGTTTGCAGGCAAACATTGAGCGTTTGAGACTAGTGCTTTACGAACGACTCGTCGAGGGAATTTGGATGCCATACCAAAAACATTTAGCACCGCTTGGATGCTCCGCGACGTTACCAAAGGGTGGATACTTTTTGTGGTTGCGTTTGCCTACAGGGGTCAACTGTTCTCTGTTAAATCAAATCATTACCGAGCATCAAGTAGATATCGAGCTGGGTACTGGCAACCTCTTTGCCACTCCTCGATCCGAACACTCGGATGAATTTTCAGATTGTCTGCGGCTCTGTTTTGCGCATTACCCTGTCCAGGATTTACAGGCTGGCATGAAATTGCTGGAAAAGGTGATTCGGCTAGCGAAGGACACACTAGACTAAAAACGAACTGTCAAAACTCCTCCAACACAGTACCTGTACACCTAGAAGAAAACACCCTTTATACTCGAGTAAAGAAGTTAGCGTATGTGCACCATGGAACAAACAGCGAGTGGGTGGTGGGGGTACTTGTTTATCTGATGTATGTTCCATATGGATGAAGGATAGGCTGGTCCTTCTCCTGGTTGCTATGAACAGAACCGTGGAAAAGAGGATTATGAAATGTAACCATGGCGGAATCTCGCATGCACGTGTGCGGACTATGAACCCCCCGGGCAGATCTCTTTAAATGCGGGACGACCGATCCCACGGTTCCACCAGTGCATCTCCTTCTTCTATCAATTTATCGAACGCCTCTACATATACTATGACAAACAGCAAGCTGCCTTCATTTGACGAGCTTCCCATCAAGCCCGAATACCCTCCTCATTCTGCATGGGGGGTGTGGGGTGAAGACGATAACCTCGGCACTCTTAACCTTCTGACCGAAGACGTCGTAACCGAGGTAATGAATTTGCATTTTTGTATGTGTTGCATCATGCTGCTGCTGTATACCGTGCTTTATTGGGCAGCAACGCCTGGCACTGTTCCTCTATTTTGGTAGCACAGTCTCAATCCGCATGTACATTGCTATAATTTACAGGCAGGCAAATGCATCAAGAAGGGCAAGGTCTTCCCATTGAACTGGGAGCTGGAAAAACCCAATCCTCCCTTGTTTGGCCGTCAAGCCATCAAGCACAACCTGCACCCACATACCCCGGATAACATTTCCTTTGACGACTCGTACGATAACTTTAATCCCCAGTCCTCTACCCAGTGGGATGGTCTTTGCCATGTTTCCCACGTGCCCACCGCAACATTTTACAACGGTATCAAGCCCGAAGAAATCATCAGTCGCGACTCCGGTCGTCTTGGTATCCACCATATGGCACGTCGCGGTATCGCTGGTCGAGCCGTGCTGTTGGATTACGCCCGCTGGGCCGAAAAGCACAGACCTGATTTCAACCCACTTGTTCGCATGGAAGTCTCTGTCGACGAGCTCAAGCAGGTCGCTGAAGCCCAAGGCGTTACTTTCAAGCAAGGTGATATCCTTCTGGTTCGCGTCGGATGGATGGCGGCCTACGAGAAGGAGGGCCATCGTCTGGCGGAAATGATGGATTTGAAGCATCCCGAATGTGCTGGTGTCAAGGCTTGTGAAGAAACTTTCAGATGGATTTGGGAAAACCATTTTGCTGCGGTCGCCTGTGACAACTTCCCCTTTGAAGCGTTCCCACCCAACTGGGTAGAGTCTTGTCGTAAGTGCCATGTCCTTACTTTCTGAAGTATAGACTATTTCTATAAGAATAGGGCTACGATATCTCATTCAAGAGGGAGGGTTACTCATGTATGTATGTTTCTTTTTTCACTACAACATTAGACGTCCAATTTTTGGGCGGTTGGGGTATGCCAATGTAAGTATTCCATAGCCTTGCTTTTGTCCTTTTGAGGAGCTTCTCCACACAGTTTATTACTCACTAAAAGTTCAAAATATAGCGGCGAAATGTTCTACCTGGAAAAACTTGCGGAAGACTCGGCCAAGGATGGTATCTACGAGTACTTTTTCACCAGCGCTCCTCTTAACAAATACCAGGGTGTTGCTTCTCCTCCCAATGCTATTTGCATCAAATAAATATAATCCTACTGCACGCGACTTTCACTCTTCTAATTTTACTACTGTAATAACTTTAAAATACGTAATAAAGTACAAAACCTCCATGATTACAAATTTACGCAACTGGCATATAGCAGACGCACACGGTTCATATATGTTTACGAATAATTTTCCCATATTCGGGCTTTCTTTCGTTGTGCTACATATTTCAGTAAGGTTTTGTCATGCAGAACTATTTGGACTGGTGCCTTTTGGGCAACATGTGGTCTCTTCCTGGGGATACTATACATTTCTGATGAAGGGACTATAAATGTGTGGCGAACAATATTATACGGGAGTGTATATGCAGGGTACAGTATAGTTGGAAGGAGAAGGAACAGGGCCAATGGTATTGTTGTGTTGGAGTAAGTGGTAATGGTGGTAACTGCAGGGCTTCTTCCGGAGCTGGTGCGTCGTCGTCGTTGTTGTATAACTACCAACAGGATGATTTGAGCCGTCTATCTCCTGGAGGACGCAGACCAGTGCCGGCAGGGCCATTTGCCTTTGACCCAGGGTAGGCGGATATCAGAGTGCGGCGGATGATTCAATGATGTCGTCGACCGCCTGATTGTTGGGTGCTAGGTCAGGTACGTATCTGGCCAAATGCGCCTGTAAGCTCTTGAATTCAGACGTAGCAATGGGCAGTATGAGGAATGTTCTCTTTTAGCTTCCTTGGCCCCACAGCGACTAACTTTTTTTAAGCGGCTATGAGGGGAGCCAGTGCATATGCCATTGCCCTAAGCGGTGACTGTCTCGAGAAAATACTGTCCAATACTGAATGAGGTCAACTATATGGGTGGTTCGAAGGCAACTAATCGCTTTGCACTTGCTGGCTCGGATAAGCAATTTGTCGTCCCGATTTAGCCTTATTGTCCAGTTTACAGGTTCATCTGCATTGTTCGCATCCGTTTCTTGTTTTAATAAAACCGGAGCACCGGGTCGTCGTACGATGTCGGGTTTTTCTATTGTTTGTCGCAACCTTTGAATCCTAAGAGTGTCAGTTCAAGCGAACGAGCCATACTTGACACTGGTAGTTCACGTAATCGGACAGAAAACTGGAATTGGTATATACGTGATCGCAGTTGTGTTGAGGATAATGTAGAACGGCCCGGAAACTACTGTATGTTCTGGTAGTATGGCTTAGCGCCAATTTATTGCAACCATTGTATGTGTGTTGTGTAGTTTGCCTCTCTGTTTTAGATGTTAAAGCGTAACAGCTAGGCCATATTCCAGCACCGGATGGATGAGGATACAGTTACGCACGCAGCGCTGGCCGGAGACCGATTTCGTACTGGTAAACTCCCAGCTGGCGGAACAGGGCCATAGTGCCTGTTGCTTTTGTGGTGTGTAATTCACCAAAGATCAAATATTACTAATACGGTTGAATGGTATTCCAAGGTATCGGAATTCTCCCGCTTTCGGTATTGATGTGCTGTAGAGATGACATATTACAGTATGTACGGGATAGAAAAGGCGCCACATAGAAGTATGATACTGTATTGGCGGGAGTAATATAAAGATAAATTGCAAGAATATATGATCTAGGAGTTCAACTTGTTTCTATTGTCGCTTGATACAGTATGTACGAGATCAGTATTGGCGTGATAATCTTTGTTCCGTGAAAGCCATGTATTTCTTCCATCTCCATTGCCGAGAAGTCCTTTTCTGCTGCATCAGGTGGTACTTGCGGGTCGTCTTCTGCCGGCAACATGTATAAATTATTTAAAATACTACGTCCCTCTTTCTTTCTTCTTTTTTCTCTATGTGTGCGTCTTTTGTCTTGCCTCATGTAGTGCTGCGAGTCAAAGGCATTTAAGACGACAATCAAGTACATGGCCCAGCAATCTTTTATTCGGCTAGCTCTCAAATCCTCTTACCAGACCAGCAGTAAGAGCACAGTTCATACGTACTTGACAACCGACCACGTACTAAGATATGATACCCTTTACGACAATGAATAAAAGCACGCCTTTTATCCAATTTGCCATACACTACGCTACTTGGGTCTTCCCTTCAACCCCATGCAGTTATCGCTACACGCATAAGTAATCCGATCCCTTTTGATTTTGCTATGTGAATACTCGGTTATAATTCGGTTTTTTCGGGCTGATTCTTGAGACGGTTCGGAACTGTTCTCACGTACACTCTACTCGGCTCGGATCTGGCTGAAAACCGACCCGTCTCGACGCTTGAGGATCCTTTAGTCCAGCTAAAGTAAATTTAAAAATTAGTGCGCTGAAAGGAAAGGGCATCCTTCTTTTCCTTCATGTTGTAATACAAGTCTTTCCACGTGGAATTACGTTCAAAAATGCTCAGCATACTAGACCTATGGTGCATTAATCATCTTGGTCATCATACATCTATCGTTGTATAAACGTTTACAAAAATGGATGTGACTCAAGAGTAGTCTTCTTTACACCTATTTCCTTGGCACTGAAATGAATCATCTTCGCTATTGTAGAAGAGTAGTAGGGATTGAGGTTGGTATTTTGCCCAACATCTAGGGTTTGAACACTGTGAGTATAGCTGATTGGCGATAACTGGCGAGGTTAGTTTCAAAGAATATGCAAAAAGATAAGCACTTTGAAAAGGGTGGGGAACTCATATCATAGCAGTAGCAAATGGCGATCTATAAAACAATACTTAATATTGATCAAATGCATTGTCTTAATGTAACTTCATTCTCTGCTGTAGTATTCAGTGCAAGACAGGAAGCTGTTTGTACCATACATATGCAGTTTTATTGAACGGAGGGATACAGAAATATAGTAGTCTGCAGGCTGTAGAAATTTAAAGACGTCCCTTCTATACTGGTCACTGTGAATTTATGATGAAACACTGAAAAACTTAACTATTGTTTTTGTAAATGTATTACATCATGGGTAACACTTTTATGTGTTTTCATACTAAATTAGGAGCTAAAAGAAACAATTTTTGTGTCAAGCTCTTAAAGCCACAAATCTTCCCTCATCATCACGACTTATTCTGTTTGAAATAGTTGACATTAAGAAGTCACTGTTTTGATATCATATCCATTACAGAAACACCCAGCAGTATGTATGGTTTGAAGTGTGACTAGAAGAGAAAGAAAGTGCACAGGAAACGTAACTCTTCAGGAGACAGTGAGTGAAGGTGAGCCGGCGCTTTATAAAACAAAACATTTAATTATTGTACACTTGCGCTCTTGTAACTTAAAAAGGTCAATTGCTATAAAAGGTTTCTTCCCGGTCATCCCTTTTGCTGCTGCCTTTTTTACAGCCACAAACAAAATTTGTTTGGATTCCCACGGACGTTGTTTGTATTTTGAATCTGGCACTATTAAAAATGATAGCATATGTCCAACAGCTTATGTCTCCTACTAGCAATTAAACAAGTGGATTTGTAGACTCTCGTTTGTCACGCATAACTTCTTAAAGTTTTGTGGTTATATCGTCATTAAAATTAGAAAAAGAGATAGGCGGCATGTGGATACTTTTCTGTGTGCGCACAAATGCATGAATTCAGCATTATTGACGATCCGAATATCTTGTATGACAGAGGGCACCCTTTCGTGCAACGGGTGCGGCACTCACACGTAACATATATAACTGCACCTTCTTCTTTTAGTTCTGTCTTTGTTTAGTATGTGATTGCTTTTAAGCTCTGTATTAACACGCTTGGCTTCTCCTAGTTAAAGAAGGTCTTTGAAAATGCTATCTATCATCCGAGCTCAACGTCATTGTTGCTATAGCAAGTTTATCAGAACCCACCAAAATATTCAACTGGGTACATACCTAACGCGTTGCTTAGAAAAAACCCTCCATGCTTCATGTAGTTTGCGGTAGCACAAACTCAGAGTTACCCGGTCAGCGGGGCTGACGGTTGTCATTTCGCTATGATGTTATAGTGTGCACACATACGTACGTACAGCAATTTTTACGCTTCAAGCTCGACGACATTGGATTTTAATTAATGCGTCGTGTTGAACGGGGAGCTGTTTAGAAGTGCCGCAGCATCGGGTACTGCATGCTAATATACGAAGTTCCATTTGTAGACCGGGACAATTGTCGTACGCGATGAAGATGTGCAAAGTAAACATGTCATGTAGCGCGCCCAAAATATAAATGCGTATATCGGAAAACAGCACGTACATGTGATTTTAATCATTTGTTTAGACTTCAATTCTTTTTTGACATTCTACTTGATATGACTCTATATAAAAAGCGCATTCAAGAGAGAAAGATGTAATTTTGAACAAAAGTACTGATAAAGTGAAGCAAGGAGGAGAATGGCATGATAATGATGCCAACCAGTTGTATACAGCTAATAAATAATAATGTGGATAAAAGTACATAATAATAACTAGTTTAGAAAATCCGTTCAACGTAGTAATTATATACTATTCGAACAAACCATCGTACAAAACACAAAGCACTCGCTTATATTTAATGATGTGGTACTAATTTACAGGCATATAATAGTAGAACTTACTGTGATACTGCTCACTAGTGTAATTAATTGAATGCTTATCATTGTTTGATGCTATGGTATTGAAGCTATGTAGCAAGGTTATTAAGTTTGAAGTGAAGATTGTACGGTAAGGGTGTTTATGTGCTTAGCAGATGAAATCGTGCATGTCTCAATAGTTTCCAGGTAAGGCGCACGGGCTTACTTGCTTTCCTTTTTACACAGCCTACGACGTATAAACTAAGCCTTACTGCAAAGAGAAGGAAAGAAAGAGAGGTAATTGCAGTGGGCTGTAGTGTACATACTAGCGGGGAAGGCCGATGATTCAAATAGCCTCCTTCCCAATATTAGTGGGCACAGCATGAAATGTATACGCTGCAAGTAAATCGTTTAGCCCTTGGGACATCAGCAAAACCAGACTCCCATTTGGATGTGTTAGCAAATCCCAAAGAGAAGAAAGAAAGGTGGTGGCTATACACACAGTAGTAATGGTAGTAGTAATAGAAGTAGCAATAGCAGTAGTAAAAGTAATGAGAGAGGACAACTCAGACTTTGGTTGATTGGAACACAGAGAGAGAAAGAGAGTTTTTTTATGTTCGCGACTTTCTCTTTTGGCCCTGTTCTCTCTTTCTCTTTCCAGACCACTGCACTCTTCTTTTTTCTCTTCTTCTTTCTAGTGTTATACCTTGTTGTTGCCGTATCTTTTTCCTCACTCTTACTCTATATCTTTGTTCGTTTCGAAATAAGGGAGGCTGGAAGAAGTAGTTGGGTAGATACTAAAGTAATATAACCAGAACTCTCGACGAAAAGTACGACAACAGCAACAGCAATAAATAACGACGAAAACGGTACACATAACACACGATCGGCATGCAAAAATGGAGGAATCAGCGTTAGGCATTACAGATTCAGGAGAGTCATCTCAGCCCATTCAGCAGCAGCCAAGCGGACCGAAAAGAAACAAAATCAGTCGCGCGTGTGACGAATGTCGCAAGCGAAAGGTAAAGATCAAAAAAGAAGAGAGGGGGAGGAGAAGAGGGACGCAATATGTAGATTACCCATTTATTGGCTGCATATATGTTGTTTGTGTTTTCTCGTCAACGACTCGCCAAGTTTCACTGAGACTGGATCTTGACAACTCAGCGGAGAAGCACAGGCTATTTTTTTTTTTTGCGAGGAACAGGATGGAGAGGGGCGTTGTTGGGGGAGAAAGAGAGAACGGAAAGAGAGTTTGGAGAAAAGATAAACATTTTCTTGTGCTGTGTGAACTCTCGGTGACTGAACTTTGTGCAAAACAACCGGAGTAGGTCCGCTGCGATGGGGCCCAACCTTGTCTGCGTTGTCAAAAGTCTCGGTCGGAATGTGTCTTTGTCAAGGTCACCCCAAAACGAGGTCCTCCCAAGCAGTATGTCGAAACGCTGGAGCCACGGCTGCGAACTCTAGAGCAAGTTATTAGAGCCTTGTCGCTAGAAACGCCCGCGCATGATCTGGGCCAGTGGTCTTTATCAGAAAAGTCTGTTGTTCACAAAAGCTCCTGTGAGTTTATGTCTAGTAAGTCGTCCTAATCTTTGCTTGTGTGTTAATAAGTCCTTTGGCAACTTATACTTGCTGCTTCTTAAGCTGATCCTATACCTTCCGCGTCTTCGTCATCATCCTTTCTTACATCTGGCTCGGCTCCAACGCCCACTTCACTAACACCCCAAATGGAAACAATGAGCGTTGGCTCAACCGGTCAAGCAGTTTATGTCAATGATTGCATCACTCGCGTCGATCGGATACCCAGCATTTACGACGACTTGTCCAGTGGTAGTAAGAGCAGCAACACTACCCCGTCGTTATCTTTGTCTAGCGGCGAACTTATCCATGAGCCAGCGCAGCCGAAACTCCACCCGCAGACTCTAGCAAGCACGACCATCCAAAACGACCTAATTAACCTGTATTTTACTCATGTACATCCCTACTTGCCGATCATCCACAAGACAACATTTTACTGCCAACTGAAATCCGCTCCATGTATACTATTATTAAATGCAATGTATGCTGTGGCAGCACGGTGGCATCAACCAACACGAGACGCGAGCGATGGACATCCAATTGGGTGGCGCTACTATCAAGCGGCTTTTAGTTTGATTGACATCTACACTGATACCCCACGGCTATCCACGATCCAAGCTTTGTTACTGCTGGTCAAGTATCAGGAGCATGTACGACGATCCGGCTTCTTTTGGCGAACCCGACAGTACTTTCAGATTATTATACGCATGTCACGGGATCTTGGCATTGCCAAATCCATCCCAACGAGTTTCCAGATGGATTTGACGGTAACAGAGCAACGAAAACGCACCTTTTGGGCAGTATATGCTTATGACGTATTGATGAGGTATGCTTTATTGAAACGGAAATAAAAGAGTGACACACCGATACATAGAGAGAAAGAGCACATCACTTACACACCTACACACGGGTTACTTTCTGTTGATGCTGATAACGTGTTCATTATACGTAGCACTGAGCTTGGGACCGATCCACATTTTGAAGATGCCGAATGTACAGCAGAGTATCCTACCTTACTGGTCGACGAGGTGCAAACGGATGATCAGGAAGTGCTGCTGAATTTCCACTGGATGGCCAAACTTGTTCACTTGCATGGGAGTATATTGTACTTTGCACGACAAAAATACATGGGCAACAACAACGCTGGACGTGGTAGTCGGCCGATGACGATGGCAGCAGTGACGACGACAAAATCCAAGGATGACTTTACAAATGTCTTCAGGACGCTGCAACTGCGACTAGATGACATGGCTACCAGTATGACCAGTGTCCTCAACAAATCTAACCAGACGGGCTCGTATGCATCATCATTTCAGTATATGCTCCTCCATTTAAGCACGATCCTGCTTCACCGACCTTATGCACTTGATTATGAGTCGAGTGTGTCGCAAGAACGATGTACCGATTCAGCTTCTGCCATTACACACATTGCAGAGACGTTGTTGAATACCGGCGGAGTTGAGAGCATGTATTATCCGATACGAGGCATCCAACATACCATCCATTGCCTTTCGGCAGCTATCACTGTACACAAGTGCCTTGCAGGTATACAAGGCCATCAGGAAGCATGTCGAAAATCACTTGCAGTGATGCATCGGTTATTGGAAAGCACACCAGCAGCAGACGTGGACGTGAACTGGACTCCAGAACCATTCTTTGGCAATACATCTCTCCAACAACAGCAACAACAACAGCAACAGCAGCAGCAGCAGCAACAGCAGTGGTCATCAGCATCATTGGGAAATCTTGCTTCATTAAATCCATCTGCGTCACGCTCATCACCAATACTTGTAGGCTCAGTATCCTCAAATAATGACATGATGCGGACCAAATCCAGACGTACAAGTCTTCAGTCCTTACAAACCATGGGAGGAGGAAGCAAGCGTCGATCAAGAGCAGGATCTAATTTAGGTACAAATGGTGGTGGCAGCCCTTCACCAACTGGTACACGGAATCCAGATCGTACATTGCGCTCGATGGTCTCCAATCACCGATTATCTATGCCCATTCTGGGATACTCTATGCCTCAGCAACAAACACAGCCACAACCACAACCGTTGCAGCAGCAGCAAGTACCTTCACCACCGCCCCAACAGGTACAACAACCGCAACCGCAGACTCAACAGCAACAGCAGCCAATATCGCCGGTTAGTTACCCACAGCCTCCATCCCCTACTGCTACTGGGTTTTATTCATCGTCTTCATCGGATATGTATGCCATGACTGCAAATAAGCCGAGCCCATTCTACAAGCAGGCTTTGCGCAGTAGTTCAGTTGCCGCCGCTGCAGCTGCCCAGCAACAGCAGCAGTACTATGGCGGAGCGCCAACGCGAACGGCATCGACACCCCATGTGAATCGTGTATCAGCCAGTCAACGTCGACATACCATCTCTGGTGGTGCTTATCAAGGACAACCTCCATACCCTCAACAACAACAGTATATACAACAGCATCAGCAACAGCTCACATACATTGATCCATATCAACAACAACAGCAACATCTTCCGCCTGCTTCTCAGCATGGGCAACAACAGGACCCGATGATGACTATGGGTAATGATGGCAGTGGTGGGCTTGTATACCAACAGCAGCAACAACAGCAACATCAGCCAATGTTGTTGGATAACCCAGGATTCCCAATGGATCCTGCAACACTGGAGCCACCCGCAGAGTCCATGATGGAACTACTGAATCAAACAATGTGATTCGCCCCACAAAATTTAAAAGCTGAAGCAAGGAGGGAGTGAGGAGGGGTTGGCTTTCGAAAACCAAGGGTGATGTTTTGAGTATGTGTCTCTGTATTGTAATCTAAAAGAATATCTATAGCTTGGCGGTGTGTATCTCTTCCCTCTTGTTATATATACTCTCCACACACGCCCATTTGTCTTATCTCCATTTTGTGATCCAAACAAAAGAAAAACACTTCGATTGATCGTACGTTTCTTGCATATTGCATATTGCATACAAAAACATTTACATATTTGCGGGAAAATAAGATTTATCATACAGATGTATTGAGGGGGATGAGTTTATATGTGTGTGTATACATTTCTACCACACTCAGCAAAAGGCATAATCGTGTTATGTATAAGGAGTTGCATATATACTGTCTTACAACGATTTTTCTTTTTCGACTCCGTTGTAGATGGTTCCGCGGAAGAAGTGTAAGGAAAGAATAAATAGGATGTATGATTGATTGGCGGTGGTGGCGATGGTATAGAAGATGATGATGAATAGATGGCTTTTTTTCTTGCGCTTGGTTGTTGGTTGATTGATTGTCAACGACGGCAGCTGGTCACAGAAGAACGTCGTCGCTGAGAACGGTTAGGATGCAGCAGCTTTGCCTTTTGTTTCAAACACCAATCAACAAACTTGGTACGACCAGAAGGACTAGAAACGTCTGTTGAAGCACGATACACGACCGCCGTAGCCGTCGGTGTTGCTGTATTGCTTGCTGCTGAAAGAACACGTTGTTGGCATGACGGCGATCGAGACATTGGATGAATTGACGGCGATCGAGAAAACTGTCGTTTTTTTACGTGCGGACTCCGCTTGAGTGTGCATAAGGTTGTAGTAGTGCCAGCGCCAGACGATGCGGGTCGGCTGCTGTTCCTCCGTAGCGACGACGATTTTCGACTTGCTTGTTGTGTTAGCGACGATGACGCTGCTGTAGTGGTAGTAACGGTTGCGGTGACATGAATGTCATAGTAATCAAAGTGTTCTTTGAATCTTGATCCACGGACCATGATGATTTGATGTTTAATTTTGTACGTATATGGGTTGATGCAATCGCAGTCGTAGTTGTTATAGGTGTTCTAGTAGTAGCGACAGAGGACTATGACAATGAAGAGAGAAGAGAGTGCCGATCAGAATGTGAAAGCTTTTAAATATCGGAAATAGTTGCACAATTGCGTGGAAGACCACAACAACAGGATGGGCCGCAGCTATTTATATTGTAATTGACCTCGGAAACATGCACAGACTATGCTGTTGTTGAGTTTGTTGCGGATAACAAGACAGTTTTGGATGCGCAAAGCTGCTTTGAGTTTTCGTACTCCTCCCCTCACTTTAGTTTTTTTATGCAAATGCCCATTTTTGGATAAGTCACTTGTCTTTTTTTAACCCTGGAATATATGCGACACGCATTACGTATAAAAGAACCGGTTGAATGCTCGGAAAACACAACAGCAAGCCCAAACACATCATCAGGCAGGCAATCTTGGCAATACCTGTCACGGGAATTATAGCAATAAACATAATTTGCGCATGCAGGCTGCGAGGTGCTTTTGTAAACATTTACTACTATTATCATGATTCAGTAAGTCAGTCCTATCTACATACTTCGTACCACCACCATTTCTTACACATTCTCTCATATATCTGCAGGAATGTTTTTGTTTCTTCTTCTTCCAGATTACGAACAAAAAACAGGCCACTTTCACACGCGTTGAAGCATTTTGTGCATAGACTCTCTTTTTCCTATATATCATCACAACAGCTATGATACTGCTACTGCTGTCATACCACCTGAAGAGCAAAACCTTGGTGATATGTGGTTCACATACAGCGAAGAAGGCTTACTTTAAGGCTACAAGGATCACATTTGGGGTGCTGTTCTTGTACTTCATGTTGATCCTGCTATTGCTTATCATCATTACAACTGTTTGTATGACCTTATATAATATGTAGACGAAACCCGTAACCTTTTTCCTGAGAAAGATGAAGTCACCAATGATAAGCAGAAATGTTTATTGCTGTCTAGTGCCGTAAAAAATCAACCGCGTATAATATTATTGTTGTATATACTAAGTATAGAAACAACAACTGACAACTGAGCGTATGTTTCATGTAGCATACGTACATTATACAGTTCTTCGTCAACAAACATTAATTTGGTAAGCCACCACGTACATAAAGTACTTGATAACTCGTTCTCTCTTGGCCTCCTCCTTCCGTCACTTCCCATGAGATAATAATATCATGAAAAATTGTCATTGGTTCTAATGTAAATTGTACGGCTATCATGATATGTATGCAAACATGTCGATCATTCACGTAATAAACTTTGTCTCCTGAAAAGCTTTTTTTGGAAATAATTATTCATCACATTGATGTATCATATGTCTAAATTAGTTTGCAGGAACAGAAATATATATCATATCCCCGATGTTATTTCTACCGGAAATTAGCAATATATGTTTCTCGTCATGAGAGCTGATTAACTAATAAGCCTGGAGTGACAATTATGACGCATCGCAAGTGAAAGAGAAAAAGGCGAACAAGTATACAGTGCGTATATTTTAAACAGAGAGTAGTAATGCAGGCACAGTTCCTGTTATCTTCAGGCGAGCGCATTGCAAATGCTCACATATGAGTACGTATGTACTTCAACATCGAAATATAGTAGTAGCCCGCCAAGAAGGAAAAAAACGATCGACGACAGTATCTCTGGGATTCTCTTCTTCTACTGCATAGCCCTATCAACAATTTTCCTGTCTATATTTTAATCGTGATGGTGGTAGGCGTTTCAATATGAGAGTGATGAAATTGAAGCTTATCTTTTTGTTGACAACGAAGTAATCGTTGCGCTGGGCTTACTGCGTAGATTCATCGATCCCAATTTCCGCAGTTGTACCGTACTACATGGTGAAAAGTAAAAGAAGAGGCACACGTAGATCTCACTTTCAATGATGTATGTGCGATGATGTCAATACAGCTGTCTTGACCTTGAATTTATGCTTTGGAATAAAGCTTTGAATTTCTTTTGTTTCAAATGCATAATTGAGACGTTGTTGTTCTTTTTCTTTACTGGTCATGACCCTGAATTTTATAAAGATGGAAGAGCATGTGAAAGTAAATTTCAAGTGAGTACTTGCCGATTTTTTACGAAACACGAAAATCCAGTCTATTTTTCTTCTGTAACGCGTACTAAAAATATAATAAGCAGTCAAAACTCAAAAGCCCACAATAGAAATGACTTTTCCGTCATTTGTACTTTAACACGGCGGCAATGCAGTTTTCACTTAGAATACATACGACCAACGACGATTATTTTCGACTTCCATTATAACACTGTATACACAGAGCATTAAGCTCAAATATAGGCATTATGTGTAGTATGTATAAAAAGGTCATGCGATCTCTGATTGCTAATAATGTTGTCACTATTAGCGTCAACGACAACAATGGAACCACTAAATGCGGATTGAGAGAAAATATCAAGAGTTTGCACGTAGCCGCAGTTGTGATAATGGTAGCAACATCAGTATCAGTTATGGCTGCCAAGGAAGCTTTTCCTCCTACGAATACTGGAGTACTTTTGTCATTCATATGTTGTATGTACTGACGACATGTCAAGTATATTTTTTGTTTATCATTGCACGCCTGTGCGTACAAAACGTCTGCTCTTTCTTGCGTCATCGCTTCACTGATAATATTAAACATACTTAAGACTGGCCGGCTCCATCTTCATTCGCTGTAAAGCGTCTTTTCTCCATAATTCGACGAGCTTGTTTGAATCGCACATGTTATTGTATTCACCTTTTCGATAAGTCTATGTATCTTTGCATTTTAAAAGTTGTGTACAGATTTCATGAAATACCACACACTTATTGTTGTATATCAAGCATCTCCTTTTTGAGATCGACCATATCAAATCTTGGCGAAAGCCTTTTTTATATATCCCAGTGTCGTGGGTGGCCTGTTAAAAATTAATAAATTTAAAGACTGGCAAGACGGCTTGGCAAATAATTCAATCATGCCGTTACAAATTAAAAGAGCGATGTTCCGTCCCTCGCTCGAAATAAGCTCATTGTTCACGGTGGAAACACTTCGTTTTTGAAGAACAGATGGTCAAGTTGGATTGACATATTCTCTTGGTGACAGAAATCGTTGTCGTCGCAATGGATCTTAGCTTGTCGCAGCGACCAAAGTATATAGCAAGTAAGCCCAAGATAAATCGATGGTTATAAGGGATTGGGTATTCAGAACAGGTATGTATGATCTTCTTCCCACATTCCTCGTTTGTTTTAAAAGAACTCTCTCTCTTTACCTTATGACAAGTGGTGAAACGTGTATATGCAGAGTGATACGGACACAGCGTCATCGTTCCTAAATTATCAACCTGATTCCCCGAACAGTAGTTTATTTCTTTGTTTTAGCTTTCTAGGACAGGAGTACAACAGTAGAGAGCGTCTAGATCGATCTCGGCTTGCGTAATGATGATACTGGGCGTATGAAGCAAATAACAGATTGAATTTCTTAATAAAGTTAAATAAGAGTTTAAATCATCGTGATGGTAGGAAGAAAATCGCTGAGATGAATGTATCCATCTTATAGCAATGCAAAAATCTCACGTAGAAACGAGAAATCCTCCGAAACTGGAAAAACAAACTAATGGGAATCTAACCACATGTTGTGCGAGAATCTCCTCGGAATATCCTTTTTCGTTCTTGTCAAACTTTTTTCATAATGCCTTTTTTGACAGTCGCACGTCACCATTGTATTGGCAGCAGCAGAAGGAGCAGGAAACAGCAAGAACAGTATTATTATAATTATTTACTCAGCACGTTCAACACCGTCAATAGGAGTTCGACGAGTCGTCGACATGCCGCATCATTCGTATGGCGCAGCAGCAACAGTGCTCGCTACTATACGACGGATGCCACCACAGCAACAGCAGCACCGAGCAGCACCAGTAGAAATGATAGTCATAAGTCAAGAAAATGGATTCGACGAGGATTATGGACTTTAAGCGGCGTTGCCGCCACTGGTGCCGCAGTTTACTATTTGATTCAAGACGTTGAATATATTGGTGTCGCTCGAGGCGCACATAAAGCCGTACCATCTTTGGCACTGCATCCAAATACAGGCGGCAATAAAGACTTGCCTATCGTAACCCATCAATTGGATGACGACAATCCAGAGGCCGTGAAAAAGCTGACCAAGCCGCGTATTGTAGTTTTGGGCGGTGGATGGGGCGCTGTTGCCGCACTTCAACAACTCAATCCAGACGACTACAACGTGACCCTAGTTAGCGATAACAATTATTTTCTATTCACGCCGCTTCTCCCAAGCGCTACAGTAGTAAGTATTTAACTCAATAGTATCCTGTAGTAGTAGACAAAGAGACACCGTGGTTCACAGCCAGATAAATGGTTAATATGAATTTTTATCATTATATACGATATAGGGAACACTAGAGATGCGATCTTTGTTAGAATCGCTAAGAAAGATAGTAGCAAGGGTCCATGGTCACTTTCTAGAGGGCACAGCGGTAGACGTTGATCTGAACAACAAATATGTAGAGGTAATCGGCGCTGACGGCGAAGATAAAGGCAAACGATTCTATGTTCCATATGACAAGCTGTTGATTGCCGTTGGATCGACGAGTATCACACATGGCGTAGAAGGCTTGGAGCATACTTTCCGATTAAAAACAATTCAAGATGCCATGGCTGTTAGAAGAACCGTAACACGGAATGTTGAACAGGCTTCGTTACCGACAACATCGCCAGAAGAGCGTAAACGGCTGCTTAGCTTTGTTATTTGTGGAGGCGGACCAACGGGTGTTGAGTTTGCAGCGGAAATTTATGACTGGATGAACGAAGATCTGGTAAAATGGGTACGTAAAAAATTGGTTTTCCTTTCTTCACGCAAACCCATTCGCATCTACTATGAGATTAGGGAAGGGGAAAGTAAAAAGAGTTCGAGTATCTTCTGCATTAATATACGGAATTGGTTAATAACAACTACTTTGGATTTTTTCAGTTTCCAAAAATTCTCCGTGAAGATATATCGGTTACCATCATCCAATCCAGAGACCATATTCTAAACACATTCGATGTCAAGATCAGCGAGTATGCAGAGCGCAAATTCTCGCGCGAAGGCATCAATCTTATTACAAACGCACGTGTCTTACGAATCCTGAAAGATAAAGTCGTCTACAGGAACAAAGATGCAGAGGGTGACAAGGTTGGCTTTGGTGAAGTTCCGTATGGCCTTTGCATGTGGTCAACTGGCATCGGTATGTTGTATTACTATCTATATTAGTGGTAATAATTACGAGTTATCGATACTAACGGATTGTTTGTTTTCACTTCGAATTAAAGCAATGACACCCTTCGCTTTGATGTTGGCTGAAAAACTAGGAAAGCAAGTCCATCAGCGTGCTATACAAACCGATGCATACTGCAGAGTGCTTGGTCTCTCAGACGGATCTATTTTCGCGATAGGCGACTGTGCTACCATCAAGAATCAGAAATTGTTGGACCACATTATGGAACTTTTTGAAAACGCTGATCAGTATGCATAATACCTCTTCATGTTGCTCTGCTCTCAGACCATCATCATCATCGTCATTACATCTTTCTTCTTTTCCTGTTTTTATTAATATCTATATTGTAGGGACAAGGATGGAAGCTTGACGCTTGACGAGTTTGCCAGTTCAGTGGAGGAAATGCGTACTAGATTCCCTTTAACGAAACAGCATCTTGGCGAACTTGTTCACATGTTCAAAAAATACGACGCCGATAATAGTGGCACGTTAGAAGTTCAAGAAATGCATACTTTGCTGAGTGATATCGACAAGAAAATGACGCAATTGCCTGCGGTAAGTTCGCTCTCATATATATTTTCAAAGGGGCAAGATAAACGGGTGATGGACAGTATATTCAAACGATAGCGAAGGAAACGATTGGAACAAGAAAAAAGCTCACATGACAAATTTTAATGCAACAATGAAAACGAAAAAACAAAACAATGCATGTAATTTATGACAGACGGCGCAAGTGGCCAGTCAGCAAGGTGCCTACGTCGGTCGACTGCTAAACCAGCTAGCCAAAGATGAAAATGATGTCGATAAGGTGGTTGGGCCCTTCCAGTACCGGCACTTGGGCTCGCTCGCCTACCTGGGTAATACGGCAGTCGGCGAGTTTGGATGGGGATACAAGATGATTGGTGGTTTGTATGCTCAGTACTTGTGGCGATCTGTTTATTGGTCCAAGCAGGTGAGAAAGCTTATTCATCTAGCACAAGATGGGTGAGAGTCATCGAGGTACTAAGGGTACGCTTTTTCTGAACAACAACGTAATATGTAGGTGAGCTTGCGGACGCGGATCAATTTAAGCATTGACTGGTCCAGAAACGCCATGTTCGGACGAGACATTACGACAGTGTAAAATTTGGTTTATTGTTCAGCAGCCATAGTAGCAGTACCACTAGTAGAGCGTGTCGGGTGCGATGACGAAAGGCAACAAGGCGCATTGTATACATAAAAGGGAGGTCTGCTTAGTGGAACAAATATAGAATTCGGGGTTAAATTGCATGTGTGTGCCTCGGAAATCCTCATCTGTGCAAGAAAGTCGACTGTCTTTGTTGTCGCAGTCGTCGTTTACGTCGTTCGTGCTACGCTAATAATTTTGGGGGATGTGTGAAATCCGATCACGCGTTTGATTGGTGATGCTAGGGGGGGATGTTAATTATGCCTCTTTTACAGCACCAGAACAAGCAGCACCACGCTTCGCTCTTGCTTTTTTTGCTTCTTCTCTCGCTCTCTGCTTTGTCCTGCTGGTTGAGAAGCGTCCATGCGGTGCTAATCCGTAAATATAATATCATTCTTTTCTGGCTCCTCTCTTCTCTCTTCTCTCGTTTTTCCGTATGTCATCCTTATCCTTCTGCAGCAACAATAACAACAACAACAAATTGTCGCAGCTTTTGCCTCTCCTCCCCCTCCTCCGGTAGCACTTGTGCCTCTCCTTTCTCTCTCTTCCGCACTTTCACTTTTAACTTCCTTTCTTATACTTTTATATTTGCCTCACACACACACCATTCCCCGCACGCATACATACACATCAGTTGCGTAGCAACCCTCATTTTAAATAACCTAGCAATAATCCCTTCATAGCAACACATACACTACCTTAACAACCGTAACCACGACAATCACAACCCTCCGCTTGTGTCTGGCCATACATGTCACTGAACCGTTCGCGTGCTCGTTGGTCTCCGCCACCACCACCACCGCTACCGGGCAGTGGTAGTACTGGTGCTGGTGCAGGCGGAGGTGACATTGTTCCTACATCGATTGAGCAATCACTTCAAGATTGGCTGTCTCGAAGCATTTCTGACAATTCGCCGATCTTGGACACAAAGTGCTGTCGCTGTTGTGGCCTACCAAACTGTGATAACTTTGAGACCTTGGCCAATACTGTAAGGAAACTGGAAGGGGATGCTCGTTTAGCTGCTGGTAGGTCTCTCTTCTTTTTGCTCTTCTTCGTTTACTATGATTCCCTTGTCTTCCCTTATGCCTTCTACATCTACTTCTCCTCTTTCTCCTCTACTTTCTCCTCTCCTTTTCTCCCTTTTATGGTACTGATGCAGGGAAAGAAATTGGACAGAGTCTACTTCACAAGCATGAGAACTATGTCGTCGAATCGAATCAAGTTAAAGCAGATTTGGAACAACAAGTACGTGCTTTTATGCACACTCTATATACTTTTTCTCGTTGTGTTTGTGCTATGTGAGAATGAAAAAAAAGGGAGAGTAAGAGAGACAAAGAGAGAGAGATTGGTGATACTCACAGTTTGTTTGTGTAACCTTTCAAAAATTGACTAGCTGGATGAAGCACGCGAAAAAGCACGACAACTCGAGCAATTGTTGGAGGATGCTGATTGTACTCGACAAGAACTTTTGGAAGAGCATAGCAAATCGACTTGGGAGTGGCAGAAAACGCAAAAGGTATCTCTTACCCATATAGCAGTGAAGGAAGTTGGAGGAGGGGAACTTGAAAGCGTCACCATGTTTTATTTCTATTTTGCTGACACAACATTACTTATAATCAGACTTTGCGAGAAACAGCCGCTGATCTTGAAGTCGCTAATGCCCGCTGTGCACAGCTGATAAACGAGCTCAAGGCAGAGACGATGGAAGTCGATAAATTACGTATTTTCAAATTTATGGTTCGCCAAGCCGACGTGCGCGAAGAAAATCTACGTGCAAAGGTACACGCAAATATTTATTTCTGACAGCTACATTCTACAAACATAAATCTGACACATGTCTTTCATGGTACTTACATGCAACCGACAATAGCTGGAGGACACAAAGCAGGAACTAGCCATTGCGAGAAAAGCGGAATTGACCTTGGAGTCCAAACATAGGAAGCTCAAATCAAGATATGGTAATTGGATATACGTTTATATTTATTATTTAAGTATATAATTAGACAGCTCCTCCTTTTGATATGCTGCAACAAGGCGACTAAATTCATTCTATTCAAATAAGAAACTGTATGCAGCGCGTACGAAAGGTTAAAGCTCAATCAGCAGGAGTTTGGTAGTACGGATAGCCTGACGTGGCTCCGTGAATCCAATGAAAAGCTTCGAAGAGATGTACTAAAGGTTAGTGAGAAATAAACATTATAATGCACTACATACAACACACACACATATCTATGCAGATATGTGTGCCTCTGCATGTACGATGTGTGTACACATACATTGTACTAACAATTAAATGTTATTGTAAATTGCTATTATAAATATAGCTCACAACAAGGTCGTCGACATCTGCAGTCGACCTGCAGCACCAACAGCCGCACTTCATCACGTTGATCAAGGAACTCGCGCTAGCCAATAACAAGCTCAAAACTGACCTTCTGGAATGTCGCGAACTGTTGTCCGAAACACGGCACGAAGTCATCACCCTGAACTGTCGAATCGAAGACTTGGAGAAGGATAACAACAATAACAGCAGCGACTATCATAATATGAACAAGCAGCGGCACCAATGGCCTGATAAACATGAACGATTTCTCAGTACATCGGCTCCTCAGGATGGTATGGATGACGACGATTTCAATAGAATGAAATGGCTGCAACCATCGCCACCAGAGCCGCTGCAACGGAAACAGTTGTTACAATCACAAAAGAGCACCGGCACTAACAGTGGCACCAGCGGCAGCAGTAAACCAGGTGGTGGCAAGTCTTTACGCACGCGACGTGCTACTTCTTCATTGGTTTCTCCACCAAAAGATTTGCCTGCTATCTCCCCTTCACCGACGGCATCCACATCAACACCTACCGCGAATGCTGCTACAGCGATCACACCCACAGCATCCATCGTGCATCACCACTACCATTATCATATGCAACATCAACAACAGCAGCATCAGGAGAGTTCTGCTGTTGTACCCCGATCATATGACTCTAGTCAGGATGATGATGATACACTTGCACCATTACAAGAGGCTCCATCGCCACGGAAAATAGCTGATAATATGCAGCAGCAAATTACGGCGGTATGTAAAATACCGCACAAGCACCGCGTTTCAATTTTTAAATAGATTATGTTTTTATGTAAACAATAACAACAGAATGAAAAGTGAAAGAAGGATACTAATAGCATATAACACTGATTTTCTCATGTAGAGTCCCGAAGAAAATAGCATGCTAGTACTTCCGCCCATGAAGAATTCTGTATCCTTTTCATCGCAAGCAACGAGCAACAACAGTGTGTTAGCAGAGGATGACGCGACGACGGCAGGAGCCGTTATCTTGGAGGAAGAGCAAGACGGCACACCGTTTCATCTGCTGAAAGCACATGTCACGCAAACGCTGCAGCGGTTACGAGCCACAGACATCCGTGCATTGAATAGACGTCTAAAACGAGCCTTTGATATATTGGAATTGAGCACCATGAGTAACTCGATCATCGATAACGTGCTCGTGGATGTCGAGGCTCTAAGAATACGATTTGCATGGCTGGATGATGAGGAACGGAAAGCAGCTGTGGATGAGGAAGAGGAGCCGTGGCGACATGACGTATCCATGCAAGAGTTCTTCCCGACGCTGCAGGTCATGCAGGATATGCTTCAAGAGATCGGACAGCTACGTAGCACCATGAACGATCTGCAGGTCGAGTACGTCAAGAAGGTTGAAGAAAGCGGCATGCGGGCTGAACAAGAGGTTATTCGAAAACGCGAGATCCGTCGTGCTGCAACAACTGGCCCATTGTCAACATCAGCAGCAACAAATCAGCAGCCTAATATAGTAGCTTGGTTAACCAGCGTGTTTTTCCAACGTCCACATCCCGATGTGGCAGCAGATGAGACTAAAAAGCTGATGAGGTCCGTATCGCATGATTCTATCTTGGAGCAGCAGCAGCAGCAACAGCAACAAAGCAATAGTGAACGGAAAACGATACGACATAAACGTAGTGATATTGACCGCTACGGGCCTCCATCGAGCTATCCTCGTGTTGCTTCATCTGCAGAAAAACGAGCAGCCAACAAACCCTATAGTAGTGGTGCTGTTGGTAGCAGCAGCAGCAGTAGTACAAGTCAGCCTCGACCCATTCCGTACCCAAAGCTTCGAGCCTCACGAAGCGCTGGAGGTTCCGTTCGTCGGAGCAGGTCGATGCAAGCACCTGCGCTCGAGTATGCTGCTGTCAAACGGAAAAAGAGCCTGGGACTCAATACGTCCATGGTCGACCTTGGCACTTCTCCAGATATCGATGTCGATTGGAAGGTCGGCAGTGCCTTTGGTGCTACAACAAGTTGGCTTGGCAACAAATAACATAATGTCTTTACTTTCTTCTTCTTCCTTATTATCCTTTTTTAGTATATAGTCTAAACCCCATATTTAATTCACGAGCATACCTCTTTGTAAATGTATAAATCAAAATGAAACAAACAAATTTTTTTGTGTGTATAATTTCGTTTCCTTCGGCCCGAAGTGCAGTTTAGTCAAGTGACAACGTGATTATCTATTGATGCATGAGTGTTCCATAAGCGGCGTCTGAACCGCACGTTCTTTTTTCTTCTTTACTCTTACTGGCGACCACTACCTACCTCGTTCGCCTTCCCTCCCCCCAATGGAGCAAAACGCACCAGAGCAACACGCAATTCAGCCGGGTTCGGGTGAATTCGCGCACTTATTTCCACCCGTGGCATTAAGTGAGCGAAATGCTACCAAGGAATCCTCTAGTAATAGCACAACAACAACTAAAGCGCCTTCTCGCTTCGCTGCTGGAGGCGTCGACTATGTCATTGTCTTTAAATTCCCAACACGGGGTCAAGAACGCGAAAAGTTGCAATCCAATGCTCAAGAACAGCTCGACATTCTGACAACTAAACTAAGCCGTGTTGGTTTAAGATATCAAGTTCAACCCGGACGTACGCAAGACACATTGTTGATTCTGATCGCGTGTCCAACTCACGTTTTGGAAGAAGAACTCAAACGCGAGCGGTCAGTGTTTATGTGTATACATTCAATACTTCAGTACCTATCTACAAGCAATCGGGCTGTTGGGACTAAAGAGGGAGAAATGTACTATATAGGATACGCGATTTTCTGCTCGGTATACGCGTTAGCGAGTTTGATAATGAGAAAGAGGAGACAAAGGATATGTTTGCTGCCAACGTACACGAGTTAACAGAAGCGGAACGACTTCGAGTTGTGTATGAAATGTTAACTGAGCCAGAAACTGAAGGTGGTGCCAACATTTCTCCCGAAGTGGATCTATTTGTGGATGGCATTATCCCTTTGCATAACGATGAGTTTAACAAGGTAAGATATTGTACTCGTACTACCATAGTTGAGGTCCCCCTCATTGTTGCTCGGTTTAAATAGAGTATGATATTAGCCACTGTATCAGCTTCTTTCTAAAGTGATATGACTTACTTTTTGGCAAAAAAATCAACTAGGAATGGATCCATACATGGTCCAAAAAATCGTTAATCGATGATCAAGACTTGACCAATATTCGCAACCATTTTGGTGAAAAGGTAATAGTTACATCATTTCAAAGATATATCAATTAATCCGCGTGACCTATCTTTTTCCTGGGAAAAGCTTCACTAACTTTCATCTCAAACCATGACCACGTATACGCGTGATATAATAGATTGCTTTCTACTTTGCATTTGTACAAAACTATTTGCTATGGCTAGGCACACCTACTGTTATTGGTGTTTTGATCACCGTGGCGGGAGCCAAGAGCCTGAGCATTTGGTACTCATTAGCAATGCTTATCTGGTCTGTGGTATATATCGAAATGTGGAAACGGAGAGAGCAAGCCCTGGCATTACAATGGGGTGTACGAAACTGTTCCAAGCACGAGAAACGACGTCTTGAGTTTAAAGGAGATCGTTTGGTCAAGGATGAAGTGACTGGAGAACAGGAACCCTACTGTCCCGCATGGAAAATATTTGTACGACGTGCCATGTCATTCCCGGGTGTTGCTCTCGGCGCCTTTTTGCTGAGTATTATCGTTGCCTGTGTGATTGTATTGCAACTTTTTCTACATGAATATTATACCGGTCCATTCCGTCAAGTTTTGGTAAGCGGTGCTCTTATTTTTTGGGTTCCATTCTATAGTCTCAAGTAATAATATTATTGTCATTGATCTATAGCACTATACACCGACGATCGGCTATGTTCTCCTCATTCCAACCATGTCTGGTATCTATGGCTCTTGGGTCAAGATATTGAATAACTGGGAGATGCACAAGACAGAATCGTCATGGGAATATCACTACACACAAAAGATCTTTGTTGCCAATTTCTTGGTGGCCTATCTTTCACTGGTAAATATACTAGAAGGAGAAATAGCGTGAGAGGGGAGAGAGACACGGATATCTACCTTACGATAGGCAGATATATAGAACGCCCGTTAACTTGGCCTTTTGATTTTTCGATATCAGTTTGTTATCGGATGGATTTATATTCCTTTTGGGGATCATGTACTACCTTATTTGACCGAGCTCAACATCAGCCACAGCCATACAAAGGTCGACTTCAACCGACTTCGTGGACAGCTCATTTATTTCATTGTCACAGGCCAACTTATTGGATTTGCAACTGAAATGGTACTTCCATATGCTATGGGACGCATACTGCCCAAGGTAAAAAATATGACGAGCAAAGAAGACAAGGATGACAAGAACAACGGAGTGGAACAAAGTGGAAAAGGTGATTTGCAAGCCAAATTTATGAAGAAGGTGTATCATGAAGTGGATTTGCCTGAGTATAACATTTATACGGACTTTGTTGAAATGGTTATTCAGGTACGCATATATTTCTTTTATGACATTGTGAAAAAGAAGACATATAGAACGATGTGGATTTCACAGTAACATCGAACATCTGATATCTTTTTCACTAAATTTCTTTTTGCACTCGTTATGGTTTCTCAGTTTGGCTATGTAAGCATGTTCTCAACAGTATGGCCATTGACTGCCCTTTGCTGTATGGTGAACAATTGGATTGAGCTGCGTGGCGATGCAGTCAAAATCTGTAAATACACTCGACGTCCAGTTCCGCTTCGTTCCGAAGGCGTTGGACCGTGGATTGGCAACATGGTAATATCTAATCAAGTGTATATATGGTTAGAGAATGGTAAATATACGAATGTATTAACAATACACGATTCTTCGGTATTGTCTTAGGAAACATTGACCTGGTTATCATCCGTTACCATGGCGTCATTCGCATACTTGTTCCATCCATCAACCAACATCCATTCGCCGTATACACCCGTTTTCACCATCCTGGCCGTCTTGTTGTCCGAGCACCTCTATGTCATTATCCGCTTGGTAGTTCGATCCACTTTGAATGCATTGCCGAGTTGGTCAGATACTATGATTCGCAAGGGCGAATTTAAAATGAAAAAAGTATGGCTACAGCGATTAATGGGTTCAGCTGTTGGCCAGCAGCAGCAACAAAAGAGAGCAACGATTGGGGATGAAGAGTTGGTGTTTGATGATAATGATCTATCGGCCAAGTCGGTTTGGGATTCTTCTTCTTCATCATCAATGGATGCTGCACAATTTATCCGTAATGCATTCAAAAAAGAATAGCGAATAAACGGAATCTTACATAATTCAAGGTCATTAGTATTGTTTTCGTTGTTCACATACATACTTTATTTATTTAAGTTTTTGGGCGCTGATACATCTAGTATGATTAAAGTAGCACATTAAGAGAAGATACGGTAAAAGTGCTTCGCCTAATAGTAAGATAGATATACATTGTTCTTGTTGAGCCTTCCTCGCTTATTGTGAAACCGTGAAAAGAGTCGTTCTCCTGCATTTGCTAGCTGTTGCACATTATACAATGAAAACGTTCTCTATAAATGTTACGTCTCTTTACTAGCCCACTTTTTCTTTGCAGTGTTCCTCTCTTCCACATTATCTCTTTCGTTTCCAACACTTCACCAACATCATTTCACACTGATCATTCTTTAATTATCTCGCAGTAACTTTTTTTGTGCCATACAATTGCTCCAAAAACAAGCAGATAAGGATGTATCATACATACTATCTCAACTCTCTTTAAACTAATGTAGCGCTATAAATGAGCCTACGGTTATGGACACTTCCCGGTAAGAAAATAGGGGATAACACTATATAATGTACATCACCTGCGAGAGTAGACAGTATGCTCTTCTCAATTCCTCATGGAGATGGCATAGACGTACGGGATCGTATTATACTCGGATGCCGCGTGGTCCATTTTATAAAAAATCTTCCAGTGTTAGCGCCACAAAAATCAGATTTATGCCTTGCAGACATGCTCGAGCATCTGACATGCTAGTAGCCCGTGGCTCACAAGTAAATGAAGGATACAATGCGTTGTCTTATTCATGGAGTTAGTCTCGAGACGTTGTGATGGCATCGGATACCCGGATGAGCGTGCGCGTCGATGAAGACAAGTGTAAGATTGTTTTGCCCTCTAAAACGACATAATGAAAACTACGAGGACGAAACCATATCCCTCGCAGAATAAAGCAAGTCAAGTTTGAAGCCATCATACAGCAAATATTCAAAGACCTTGGGAACAACAAGAAGAGATATCCGCCGGATTCTATATCAAGTGCATTAAGGCACCAGCAATATGTACTTTGGCGCGTATGAATGGAAAGAAAATATTGATTACTGAGTAAATTACTCATCGTAGTCAAGTCAAGTAGAGGTGCGACTATTGCTGGTCATACCGTCATATCATGGCACTGGAATATCTAATGTGCACACATACTCTTCATCCGATATCCTGCCGTGGCAAATCCGCTCATCTTCTTTTTTTATACATGTGCTGTGTAACATGAAACTATTTTGGGTGAAATATTCAACCGGCAGTTTAGTGCGTACATGGCAGGAGAGAGCAAGTTATAATTATCCCCTCTTTCCAGCTATTACTGACTCTTCTCTTCTCTTTCTTGTTTTCTACTCTATCTTATATTAACTACGTTTCTCTTTTCTCTCTCATTTGAGAGCCCATTTCCCTTCTTTTTTTCTTCAATTCTTTCTAATTTCGCCTAGTGCCTTTCCTTTTGTATTTCCTGCATTCACCACAAATACCTCTTTAGAATCCCGTCATCTATTTTTATAATAATTCCTCAATATGACCATTGAGCCAGCGCCACCCAATCAACCGTACCTGAACGCATTTCTGGTAATGACTATTATTTTCTGGTGAAATATCTGTACTGTTTTTCTCAGGAGGAAGCAAGGAAACGAAAATAAGGGGGGAGGGAGAAGGGGGATTCGTTTTAGTTATATTTGAAGTTGACACCACTTTTAATATGTTCCTCCGGTTCTAGACCGAAAGACCCAAGGATGGTATCGAAGTAATACAAGGACGCCTTCGCAAGGCACTCAAATTGAACGAAGAGCTGGCCGAATATTTTAGAGAGAGGTATCTAGCATAGCCTTCTCTTTTACATAGCATGCGGTAACCATTTTGGTTATTAAAACACTTATCTATTGATAATAGAGCCCATGTCGAAGACCTTTATGCAAAAAACCTAGCAAAAATATCTAAAAAACATTTTGTCACGGACAAATCTGCCTTGGGGTAAGAAACTGATACGGAAGCCATCGAGAAAAAAAACACGACTGATTCGGTTAATGCTATACTCCAAAAGGCAGATGCAGCCGATATGGGAGATGCTTCAAAATGAATTGACCGAAATATACACGATCCATGCTGTCATGTCGCTCAAAATTACCGAAGACGTTGAACGTCCTTTGCGATCTGCTATTCAAAACGATAATGAATACGCTGCCGTAAAATCTGTAATATATCAGCTTAAAAAACTGAATGGAAGATATCAATTTTGGCTAATTGATTGTTTTTTAAAAGATGGATGCGTCGCTACAGCGGTTAAGCAAGGATTATGAAGAACGTCTTGCTCGATTAAATAAGGTAGAATGTTAATTTTATTGAAGTTTATCTATCGCTACTAAACGTGTCAAATAAACTGTATTATAGCACAAGAAAGCCGCGACAAGACCAGGAGGCGGTAAAGCAGAGTCAAAAGTGGCCGATTCAACTAAAGGACTAGAAGGAGTCAAGTCGCAATGGATGCAAACGGGTCCAGAGTATATTCAGGTACAGACAAGAAAAATCGATCTAAAGAGGCTATATGTGTACAAACAAAGTGCTTACATACGTGTGTTATATGAAGAAACATCAAGCAGTGGATGAGCATCGCTGGGACAATCTGCGAACAGTAGTGCAAAAGTTTGAAGTATTGCAAAACGATCAACTCCTTAAACGCATCGAGGTACTACCTATTCATAATAGGAAACGGCGGATGAGACAAAACAGTTACTGAAAACATGATCAATTGGAATGAAAAAACAGGTAGCCAACAACGTACTTACAGCAGCAAGCAACTTTAACATTGAAGACGAGATCAACGCATTTTGCTCATCACGACCCGCCAATGGATTGAAAAAAGCCCTTTCGACACAGCAAATACAGCAACAGCCACAACAGCAGCAACCATCCGTCTCACACTCAGAGCAATCCATTGCGTCCCTGGGATCTTCATCGACTACCACAGCACATGGTGACGTCTTGTCTGTACCGACTACTATGACGAATAACAACAACGTCCCTGACAACCTTGAAGCACCTGTACCCGTACCTAGTGTGTCTGAGAAAAGCAACCGCAGTGGCCGCAAGATGGGCAAAGAGCGCAAATTTTTGTCCACCCTTGTCTCAATCCGACGCAAAACCAAGAATGATCATGGCGGCAGCACTAATAACGGCTATATGAATGCAGATCTTGCGCCGCCTGTCATGCATCACACTGACCAGCATAGTCATTCCAGTTTCAGCGCCTTGGATGAAGAAAACGGCAGTCATGTCTCGTCCATGTCTCCGAGCAATGATGGTGGTTCAACCATGTCGCCAGCGCCTACTTCGCCCACATCAGTGGATCAGCCTGCTGCTGGTTCGTTGAAGAAAGCACCCAGTTTCTCGGGAAGTTTTGCAAGCAGTCAGCATCAGCAACCGGTATGACATTGGATGATGAAGCGTCCATTCTGTGCAACGTGTTGATTGGGAAAACTCATAATGTGGTTTGTTTCTGTTGGTATGGATTTCCTATGTAGCCCAAGGTGTTGCTGGATGCTGAAGGCTACACAATCCCGCCGCCCGATCGCGCAGCATGGCCCGGTGACAGCATTGTCTCCTCCTTGCATGACGATGACTTTGGCTCCGACAGCGGCAGGTTAGTAAAATTAAATTGGGAACTTCACTTTTGATTTTCTTCTGCATTCCATGTAACCTTGCGGGGGGTGTATCGTAAGCAGTAAGCACCCAGAAAGATGGGAGAAACTAAGAAATTAAGCAACATGTTAGCTTGTTTAGCAATCAACAGAAGCTCAAAGTGGACATCAAGAATGAGGCTATGAAGGAAGAAGATGCGACTCATGCGGCCGTTGCTTTAACTCGCGTGTCGTCCATGCTCAAGGAAAAGAGTCCCACAGCTTCGGGTAGACGAAGGGGTCGTCGTGATACGCAACAGAGAAACACACGCTTATTGGATCCTGTGCAAGAAATCAAGCCACCAGTCTCTACTACTGCATCATCGCCTTCGCCCTTATCCGTTGCATCTTCTCCGTTTGAAGATGAAGTAAATAGCAGTAGTGCTGGTAATAGAGTACAGTTACATGACGCACCTGTACAACTTGAAGATCCTTCTGTCTCTGTCTTTGATGATCAAAACAACGGTGTCCAGCTCCATGATGCACCTGTTCTGGATGAGCAACAGCAAGAACAACGACAACAACAAGGGTCGGTCGCAGCGGCATCCATGCCGGTGGTACCATCACCGACGATGACGCCGTTTACTTCAGCACAACCGACCATCAGGGTGCAGATTACCGAAAGCATACACTGTCTCATGAAGGGCGGCGCGATAGTACGGTCGGCCGTATTAGGTGAGGTCAAGATCGCTTATCGTGGGCCCGTGGATACCATGGGACGCTCAGTATGTTTCCGACTCGAACACGTGGATCAGCTGGAGCGGATCGCACCCAACACGGGTTACATCAGCCCAATGAATGAAGGCGAGAAAGGACAGAATGGGGTATACAAGCTGGACACAAACATGTTTAACCTAGCAGGCGACAGTCCGGTCCCGTGTATCAAGTATCAAGTCAAGCAATCGTCAAGTGATAACAATGATGACAATGACGACATGGTGCTGCCGCCGCAGCCTTTGGTAGCACCTATCCAAGTCAAGCCCATGTGGAAATGCGAAGCCGAACAAACCCTGTTACTAGTCAAATATCAAAAGGCAGACACCGAGCTGGCTTCCCACTTGCACGGTGTCTTCTTTATGACGACTGTCAGTGGCAATGTACAAAATGTCCAGAGCGTGCCGGGCGGTCAGTGGATGGTGGACCAGGATAAGATGGTGTGGCCCATGGGCGAATGGAATAGCCACGACGAACGCGTGCTGCGTGCAAAGTTTACGACCAAGGAACAAGGCACGCCACAGGCCCTGCAAATCCGGTTCGAGGCAAAGGACCGACTCGTGTCGACGGTGGATGTTGCCAGCAGTAGTTCAAACGGTGACGGTCAGGAGGATGGATCGATGGCGATCTGGGCCAATGTCGAGTCCACAGAAAAATCTATACGTACTGGCAAGTATATTGCAGAACAATAAAAAACAAAGAAAAATTATTATCATTATTACCATTATTATTACTGTTGTTTGCTGTATCACCATAAAAAGGCGTGGATCCAACTAATTTATCTCCCAGTGATTGTCACAGTGAAATGAAGAAAGTAGAAAGAATAAGGAGTAAAGATTAAAGCAAAGCTTCTTTCTATAGGCATGTGAAAGTGTTTATGAGAAGTCTTTGCGTAAGTTGTTGAGAAACAAAGAAGCTCGTCGGCAAGTGTGTCACGGGGCCCCACCACCAAACTTTATACCTCTTTTTTTTTTGTAACGACCAGCACAAGCCCACAAACATACACGTTATATACACACAGACCTATACCACCCACACGCACAGCAGAGTAGTGAGAGATATCCTTCTCTTTTCTTCTTCTTCTTCTTCTACTTTCCTCCTCCCATTCAATTCCCATTTGGCTCAACAGTCCCTATCCCTCTTTCTTTTGTTCTCTTCAGCCCCCAGTCCTCAACCTTCTTCTTTCCCTCATCGTCTCTCTCATGTCCATTTGGCAGCCACAACAACAAGGCTTGAACGATCTGATACTACTACTCCGCGATGCCGCTCGTCCCGAAAGCCGAGATCAACTGCTAGTGCAGCAGGTAGACACTCCCTATTCCTGTTAGGCAGGAACCACCATTACCTCGAGAGACGGAAAAAGAAAGGAAAGGGTGGTTGGAACTATGCTGTTGAACTCTCCTGTCTATTTGTTCTTGTATATAGAAACTCGCATCATTCAACGAGATACCAGACTATAACTCGTACCTTGTGCATATCTTGACAAAAATGCCTCAAGTAGAATCGTACCCACGGGCTATTGCAGGGCACTTGCTCAAGAACAATATACGCTCGTACTTTAACAATATCCCACTACCCGTGCTAGATCATGTCAAGCACTGCTGCACCGAAGCGCTGAACACGCCCGATGTGGATGTGGATGTGCGCAGGACCATTGCGTCGAGTATTGCTGCGATCGTCACGCGAGGTCAGGCACATAACTGGCCCCATATTCTGCAAGTCTTGGTAGAAAAGTTAGATAGTCCCGACCCGGTCACTGTTGAGGTAAAACTATAAATCTAATAAATAGTTTGTGTACTGTGTGTGTCCATGCGTGCGTAATGTTTGTGCTTGTGTCTTATGGGGTCCAAACGGGAAAAAATAATATCAAAGCCTAAATGCGCGTATGACGTTGTTTTTTTTCGTTTAGATGGCATTTGACGCACTGGCCATGATCTGCGAAGACGCGGCCAGGGACCTGGACCAGGAAATGGATGGCGTACGACCACTGGCCTTTATGATCCCCAAGTTCATCCAATTCTTTTACAACCCCGATGCAAAACTCCGGGCCACTGCCATTACCGCAACATCCCAGTTCATCATGCTACAAAGCGAATCCTTCCTGGCAAACATGGACACGTACCTGCGAGGTCTATTCGCGCGCGCAACAGACGAAAGCTCGCGTGTGCGACAAGAGATATGTCGGTCGCTAGTGATGGTTTTGGAAGCTAATCCAGAAGCCCTGACACCCTACATTGACGCGGTGATTAATTACATGATCTTCTGTACCCGTGACGAAAACGAGCAGGTAGCACTGGAGGCGTGCGATTTCTGGATTCAATTTTCGAATCTGGATGAAATGCATGAGCGATTGTTACCCTATCTGCCTCGGATTGTGCCTGAGCTATTGAAAAGAATGGTTTACTCGGATACGGATTTGCTAATGCTCGGTGGCGATGAGAATGACGCACATATTCCGGATAATGAGATGGATATAAGGCCAAGGCATTCACGAAGACATCGAGGACCGATGGCTGCTAGTACACCAAACCCGCAGCAGCAATCGGGAACGGGTGGGGCTGGAGAAGATGGATCCGCTACGATTGAGGATGAAGGCCACCATGAGAACAACCATGACGATCCTGTTACGACTAATGATGATGATGATAACGATAACGATAATGATGAAGACGATGACGACGACGACGATGAGGATTTTGACGATGACGAGTTTTACTCAGAATGGACTTTGCGAAAATGCAGTGCGGCTGCGTTAGATGTGCTGTCAACGACATATAATCGCCATGTTGTCGTTGTATTGCTGCCACTATTAAATCACAACTTGTTCAGCCAAGATTGGCGAGAACGAGAGAGTGGCATTCTGGCGCTAGGAGCTGCTGCAGAAGGTATATCAAATATTCTGCTGCACAAATGTGTTATATTTGTGTGTATGGTAACTCAATCGTTTTGTAAATTTTGTAAAAGGTGGTTTGGAGGATATTGCACCACATTTACCGGACATGATGCCTTACCTGATTCAAAGTCTTAACGATCCAAAGGTACAGTAATGAAAGAATATTAGAGAGCAAAAGGAACATGTTCCTCATCACACGGCAATAAAATGATGGAACTTTTTATATAGCCACTCATTCGATCCATCACTTGCTGGGCGCTCGGTCGATTTTCACGGTGGTGCGTTGAGCAAGCTACAATACCCGGAGGACGAGGAGCGTTCTTTGAGCCGGTTTTATTCAACTTGTTACAGCGGATTCTTGACAAGAACAAACGCGTACAAGAAGCAGCATGTTCTGCTTTTGCTACGTTGGAAGAAGAAGCTACAATCGAACTAGTACCTTACTTGGAGCCGATCCTCATTAATTTAACGACTGCGTTTAATACATACCAACACAAGAATCTACTTATTCTATACGACGCGCTCGGCACGTTGGCCGAATCTGTCGGTGCGGCATTAAATCAGCCGCGCTGTTTGATGTTGATGATGCCGCCCCTGATCGCCAAATGGAATAAGCTTTCTGATCAAGATACTGACTTGTTCCCTTTGCTGGAGGTATGCATGCCATTGTTCAATAGCTTCGAATCACTGCCCAAGATGGTCAAGGATTTAGTATAATTAAGTGATAACAGAGAATTTAACTGTTGCCACGTCAACCTGCTACATCTGCTGATTGTTAGTGCCTTTCATCAGTCACCGCAGCTTTGGGAACAGTGTTTGCACCGTATGCCGAACCTGTATTTACACGATGTGTCAAACTCGTTTCCACAACATTGCACCAAATATTTATGGCTGACCAAAATCCAGACGAGTTCGATCCTCCAGATGTAGAATTCATGGTTGTGTCGCTCGATCTGCTATCTGGCCTCGTGCAAGGATTAGGCCAACTGATCGAGCCGCTTGTGGCCAACTCGGATCCTCCATTACTGTCTCTTTTGGCTGTGTGCATTCATGACCCTGTCACTGAAGTACTCCAAGCAACCTATGCCCTTATTGGCGACTTGGCTATGGCCTGTTTTGAACGTTTACGAAGCTATTTACCGCCCATTGTGCCTGAACTCATTGAACAAATTGGGCCCGATCCAGCGCTCGTCAGTGTCTCCAACAATGCAGTCTGGGCCGTTGGCGAAATCGCTATCCGATGGGGCCAAGACATGCAACCTTTTGTCGAACCACTCCTCCAACGTCTGTTCCCTTTACTCGTCATTCCCGGAGTTATGGAATCTTTACAAGAAAATGCAACGATCACCATTGGCCGGCTCGGCTATGGCTGTCCTGATATACTTGCTCGCCACTTGCCACAATTTATAGGACCGTGGTTGGAAAAATTCATCATGTTGCGGGAGAACGATGAAAAGGATACGGCGTTTCAAGGCTTATGTACAGTGATTAAAGTAAACCCTCAAGGGATTGTCGATGTAAGTATATTTCTAGCTTTAATTCAGCTTTACGTTTAAGTGATTGAAGAAAAAAGAGACGACTTATGATGACTTTCTATAAAAACCTTAGCAATTCAATACCCTTTTCGAAATAATTGCTCAATATCAACGTCCATCTCCACCCTTATCAAAAACATTAAGCGAGGTACGTCCATTTACCGTAATCGTATAAATCTTAGAAAAAACTTGTCGGCAATGGCGATAAAGTAAATACAAGAAGTCGCTAACCATATATCTAACACTACAGATCCTGATGGGATACAAAAATATGTTGAATGAGGAACAGTGGAAACAAGCTTGGGGTGGACTAACTGCTGAAACGCAGCAAACACTTTCACACAAATATGGTGCTTAAGAAAGCTTCTGTTCTCAGCAGTTGATCGAATTACAAACGGCAGGTGTAGCAAAGAAGAAGAACAAAAGGAATGCTATGTAATAAAGAGCGAGCATGCCAATGTTCATCCTCTTTACTCAGCTGTCAAAAAAACTGATTTTTATACCCCACACTTTCCCAGATTTTTATATAAAACAATATTCCAAACACTCTGGCCCTCTTCCTCTGTCGCAATAATCAATAACACATCTGTATCATCTAACCATTTGTGTAATGAATTAGTAGTAGTACTATATTTGTACATTGTAGAACATACCGCTTTTCCTTTATTTATAATAAAGGTCATAGGATGTCCATGTGCCTTTGTTACATAGCTACCTTCTAGTGACATTCATGATGCTACTAGCTTTATACAGCAGGATATAATTTCAATCTATTCACAATGATATGATATATAACTGTGTCAAAAACAAACTCTATATAACAATAATCTCAGAGACGGCGTTGAAAGATACTATAAATCGACTGCTTTCGAACAGGTATTTTGCGGCAAGCGTTGGATTTGATTCACAAAGGATGTATATATAGATATTTAAAAAAAGCCTTCAAAGACATATAACTTCTGTTGCATATAAAACACTACATATTACTGCTATTTAACAGGTCGTTTCCACACATAATTCGTAAACGTACTGACACTAGGAGAGTCGTAGACCACGAATTTCTTGTTGGTGTTACTAGAGTTACCCATAAGCGCCGCAATACCTGCATCCGTTATGCGTTGATTATCATTAAATGGTCATCCTATCGCAAGTCATCAACCTATTCAAGAAGCTCAAGCGCGGCATCACTTCAATTTTAAAATTGTGATTCTACCGCTGGTCGCCGTCTCTTTAAGTCTATCTGCATACGTCATCATTCCATCATCAGTGATCCCATCGCGGCGTGCTTCCATGACACAAATATGCAGGATTTGTAACCGTGGATGCTCGCAGCATAAGCGAATAAATTCTTGATCCGATATTGGTGGCACATGGAGCTGTATTTGCTCAAGCTTGGAATTGCCGACGCAAAGAACTTCCAAGTTGTCATATATCCCCGCAGTTAGGCAGAGAAGCTTCTGTAACTGTTTCAAGGTATGATACTGATTGCTGATATTAGCTAATTGACTTGTATCGGTGATGAACACCGTAAGTAAATCGCAATTTGCTCGAGTTAGCCTTGATGTCATTAAAGAATCGAGTCCAAGTATCGCTTCCACTGCCGTTGTAACGCTAGTAAAGACCAGAGATTTTAATTTGAGAGATGATGGTCGTTTTTCACAAGAAGTTGGCGTTCAACTTGTTGTAAGGGTCAGTATTGAGAAGGAGTAACTGTTCCAGCTGTGATTGCTACCTTGATCATATCGGCATAAAATCCTCTATGTAGCTCATCCTGCCTTCGGCTAGACGACATCAATCGTTGAAGAGCGCCATTACTGATACTACTAACACTAACACTACTGCTGCCGTCCATAGGCATTTTCTGCATCTCATCATCGATGTTGTCGATGGCCGTGGGACGCTTTGACAGTTGTAGGTAATTGGTGAACTCTTCCTCCGCTTGCTTTGAGCTCTCATTTCACCAGATGTTGCGGACAGAAGGGCATAGCTTGCAACATGAGTCTTGCTTTAAAAACATAAAGCACTGCCTATCATATCGCTTTGTTCTGTTATTCACACGAATTCGACATGGGGACAAAGGCACAGCACATAGCATATGCGATTGTCGAAATGGAATGCTTTGTCCAGGGGGAAATTGATCCGGTTGCTGTTGTCAAGTTGCTGTCGTAATCTAAATTGTCTTGATTCAATTTGTATACAAGTTAGCAAATAATGCCAGCGCTCGGATGCACAGAGAGATGGTAAAGTATCCATTAGCATCTAACAGTGAGATATGGCAAGGATGGGCATTGATGTACATTTCGGTCAAGGTATCAGCAAACAGAGCAATATCAAGCATTTTGATTTTATCGCTCGCTGCGAGACGGCCCTTCGTCTTCTTGTTTGTGATTTTTGTAATCATCATGATGAATACAAACGTATTTGTGCACGTGATTTGATAAGGTACAATAATTATATATCCAAGAAACGATATGGTTACATAAGGAAACCAATGTCACAATATCTAGTGAGTACGCGTATGCACATACCAATAGATTTTATACCAACACAGTTTCGGTCACGATGCTTTTTCCATAGTAGCAAATGCGCTGTGGAAAATAGCGGAAATGCTCTTGACATGTGGACACACATATTGCAGCATGCCGATGCTGACTTTCTGGTTTTAGAAGGAGTATCCTCTGCTGGACTGACTGTCTGATCCTGTTAAAGAAAGAACGCGTAAATTGCGAGCAGTTCAGAACAGCGATGGCATGCGCGCATGCACTCCAAGCAATCTTTTTAGCCAAAATATGAGATGATGGAATAAACGGTTTCAATTGGTAAGAGAAATTATCACTAGCAACACGCATAATCAGCTTAATGCGTTGTTAGCACTAGTAAATACAGTAAAGAGGCATTTCTTCAAGTACTCCCTTTGTATTGTGTCAATGATAGCATAACATACACTCTACGATAGGTGAAACATATTTAAGCAATTATTATTTATTTAATATAAAAATGCGTGGTTTTTACAAATGAGAGGAATGCTATTATGGGTTATATACAAGAGATGTAGTTGACATATCGATGCGGGATGTTCTTACAATAGGATTTCCGATACGAAGTACTTCCCTCTAGAGACCAGAGGGCAACCAGAAACCTCGATCCTTCTTTTGTTGCGTGGTTCTTTGTCACTGCTAAAACTACTGATGCTGCTGCTGCTGCTACCGCTGCAATAACCAAGGAACGTCTTGACACCCAGATCTGTTATGCTGTTGTCGTAGGTAATACGTAGTAACGTTAACGTATCAATTCGTCCTAGACGTTCGAGAACAGCATCCGTCACGCTGTCAAAGCCAGTCAGCTGCAAAAAATTAATCTTGCGTTTTTTAAGCATTTCTGCACATTTGATCATTCCAGCCTCAGTCAGATCTTTTGGGTACGTGTTGAGCCCGCCTAGCCCCAACTGTTGTAACCGCGGCAATTGACATACATGGAGCAAGCCTTGATCCGAAAGGGGTATGCCAGAAAGATTCACAATTTGCAGCTCCGTGTTGTGAAGCAAGTCAAGTTTGCTGCAAGTACCTCGGTAACCTGAGTAGTTGTTTGTCCAATACAGGTCAATCCGCTGTAACCGTTTTAAGGTGCTGATAGCCTCGACAACGTTATCGAGCTCTTCTAATTCGTCAAACCACAGCTCCATTCCCAGACTCTCGATCTGCGGATGGCTTTGGAGAATCTGAACCCACTCCGGACCAGTCATATCAATTCCAAATATTTCCAATGACACTAGTTGCGGAAAGTAGAAGTGGGCATGAGCCATGGCTAGGAAACCCGTTAAACGTGCCTCCCAGCTTTCGAGATGTAAATCTTCCAACCAGAGTCGTGACTTTTCGAGTATTGGGAATATCGCGTTCAGTTCTTCTTGATCTTCTCCACGGTATAGAAGTTGACGTACGGTGCCCGGCTGCTGTTGCTGTTCTAGTTGTTGCTGTTGTCGTCGTCGTCGGTCGATTATGATTTTCTTCTTTTTCCTGTCGTTATCGGTGCCATTATCAACTGTAGCATTGCTGTTATTGGGGTTCTTTTGCGATTGCAATAGCCACTTTTCCGCTAATTTTTCCTCTGGATCGACGTGAACGTTGAAAATGATATGATGTACACGTGGACAAAGGTTGAAAACGACATGGATGTTGTTCGATGGCGGATTGGATAAAGTGAATCTGCTAACGTCGGACGTTATCAGCAAATACTGGAGTTCTGGACAGCGGTGGAGAATTGGTTGGATTCGGGTGTCAAAATTCAGAGCATTGTCCAGATGCAAATAAACCAGGTGGGTATTACTGTTGTTGTTGTTGTTGTCGAGCGTTGCCGCAGAAGAAAGTACACCAAAACTACTCCTTCTCCTCTTGCGTTGACCCACCTCGGTATTAGACAGGTTTTGGTAGCCGCTGTTGTTAAATGTTACGGAAAGATGTGTCAATGCCGGTAGGGTATCGAGTAGCATCGTCAACGAAACGTCGCAAGGATGAGAGGTGATAGATAACTGGGTCAACGTGGGAGCAAATAATGTAATAACAACTGGTAATCTGATGCTATCGTTGGTGGTAGGTCGTTTGTTCCGTTTCAATGTAGGCTTGTGGTTATTTATCTCTATTTTGTCGCCCAAAGATGTTAGCTGCTTTGGTATGTGGATCCATCTACATCCCCACTTATTGTAGTTATACTGACCGAGACATTTTATCTCGCACCTCTGTGTATATAGCCGTTCCAAAACGCTGCGTGTATCTTGAAAGCAAATAGAAACGTCTTTGACGTGCGGACCAAGACATTGTAATAATGCAATGTTACTTTGCAGCCAGCAGCACGAAATAGCATTGCCGTCATTGTCGTAACCGGCGGAAGACGAGGAAACTTTGAGCTGATGCCAGACGCGCGTGGTAAACGAAGGTATCAAATCATACCAGCGACGACATACTTCCATGCATTCAATACACTCCTTTTGGTCCAGATATGAGAAAATATCGGTAACGGTTTCTGCTGGAAAGACATGAGTGAAATCCGGCATGGTCTTCTTTTTTTTAAAGAAAAGGAAGGGCAAGAAGTTAAGAAACGAAATTGAACCCAGTCAAACTGCTGCTGCTGCTGCTTTAGGCTCTTGTTTCTTTGTGTAACAAAATCTGCTGCTCGCAAATCAGAACAAGTGGCTGGGTTTCTTATTGTTTCAAATGAATTATCAACACCCATACTGGCTAAGCTAAGCAGTATAAGTAATTAAACTTCTACACGCTCGCATCCCAGTTGCCGAAAAAGCTACTACTACAAATCTCTTATAGTACAATATGAGTGTAGCTACAGCTATATGGCTATGATAAATGATAAACTTAAGATTCAAGTGTTTTCATTTGTATATTTGAAAAATGAGATTCCTGTCAGAGCATCAATAAAACTTTGTTTCATTATTCTATTTACAAAAAAACTTATTTGTACGGTGGTAATTGGCGACAACTATTCATACATTTTATATAAAACAACTTAAATAGTTTAAATGTTAGCAGCCATTATAATAAGTCGACAATTCTTCGCATAGTGTTGATAGTCAGACATTTTTTACGCACTTACTTCAAAGTACTCATGTACATCCATAGTACAAATATGAACCGCTATTTAATACCATATTGCATATATATGCCTCAATCTTTTCAGTACTTTAACATCGCCCCGTTGTACTTACTTCATATATTTTTACCCAACATTTTTACCTCATGTCCTGTAAGGTGGATTTAGGTTAAGCTATCGATGGCAAGCTAGTACACACTGTACAATCCTTTAAATTGATGTACATTAATATTTTATATACAATTTTAGGAGGTATGATAAAAGACAGGTGAAGTCTGGCATTTTTTTAAAGCATCGAAAACAAAAAAGTAAAGAGTAAAGAGTCACTGTGTCGTCAGATGGGCGCCGTTTTCATCCTCAATAAAAGCATAGAGACAGGAAGCGAATTTTGTATCAATGGAACACATATTTCATGATAAAGGCGATGTGCTTATATCCGTCTGTTATTACCATGCTCTTTACCCTTTTCCGCGATTCTTACGCACCTTATGATGTCTTTACTATGGAAGAAATAAAAAAAAGACGCGCTAAACCATCGAGTTCTTATTATATGGTGCTGTTTATCCATCAACATCGCTTAAACATCGCTTTAACCAAGCAGTACTTATAGTAGCAGTATTTCAGTGATAGATATACTACGTTCTCTTACGCACTGTACATTTACATTACGAACTCCACTTTTATGAACAATATACCATACATAGTTTTAGTATGGTTTACTTAGCTAACACACCTGTATGTCTTTAACGAGATATGTATATCGTACATATATGTACTATATGTATACTTTTCGTATGGTCTTACAGAATAAACCAAATATTCATACTGCAACATATTCGCGTGTTGTATTTCAAAGTGCGTACATAATGTTTTGGTATAGCAGCTGGTAGTGACAAATGGTCTCGTTTGGTTTTGCCATGTCATAGTCTATAAAGCCTTAAGACCTTTAAATTTTGTACATGAAACAAGTATTGGATAGCTTCACTAGTGCTTATTCTTAAAGTTGATATGGATCAAACAAGAACAGTAGTTGATTGGCGACATAGAAGAACGCTTGGTTTTGCCGAAGTCTATCTCTGACTGAACGAAATCCATCTTTGCGGAAGCCTTGGTCGGAGCGAAGAATAACTGGAAGTCTATCATATTGTTACAGACATTTTGTTAAGCTTTCTTTCATCCCACATTTGGCAGGTATAGTCTGGAATGTGAGTCCCTTACAAACAAAAGTATACAATCTTTAAAAGCACATGCTATACTAAATATTCTTCGTATAGAAAGAATCCTAGGAGAGAAGTTTGCATAACTAATTAGCTACATTGGACGAACTGAGCCAAACAACCGTGACAGTAAAATTGGCTTCCTTTTCATGTTGAAGTTTGATGTAGCGATACCAGAGAGCTTGTATTACAGCCAAGCATCATGATGTCATTCGCTGTATTGCCCTATTGAACCACCAAGCACTAACGCATGAGAAACATGAGCAAAGGCACGTTTTAGGATTTTGTTTGTCGATTTTAATCCAATATTATAGCGATTAAAAGAGAAAAGTGCACATAAGTGAAAATGTGATAATATAGAAGACACACAACACTGTAATGATATTTACTTAAAATACAGTATATGAAGGGATGAACAGAGATTATGATAATAAAATAATCGTACAGTAATCTATCTATAGAACGGTTAAAGATTGCTCCCGTACAAGCGAGGCATACTCCCCGTTTAGTTCCAAAAGTTCCCAATGGGTTCCTTGCTCTACTACTCGACCATCCTTGACAACACAAATTATATCGGCATGCTGGATAGTTGAGAGACGATGTGCGATTGTAATGGTCGTGCGGCCACCTTCACCAACGATATTGTCAATGGCTTCCTGGACAAGCTTTTCAGATTCAGAATCAAGCGCGGAAGTAGCCTCATCCAATAAAAGAACCTTGGGTTTACGAATCAATGCACGAGCAATCGCAATACGCTGCTTTTGACCACCAGACAATTGCGAGCCCTTGTCACCGACCCGTGTATCATAGCGATCCGGCAATTCCGAGATAAACTTGTGGATATTAGCGGCGCGGCAGGCTTCTTCAACCTGGTCTTGGGTAACAACGTGATCTTCGTCAACGCCAAACCGGATATTCTCGCCGATCGTCATGTCAAACAGAACAGGCTCTTGACCAACCAAAGCCATGTGGCTGCGCAGGTTACTTAAAGTAAATCCTTTGACATTATGATGGTCCAGACTCACAGTACCCATCGTAGGATCGTACCAGCGTTGAAGCATACCAATCGTGGTTGATTTTCCGCAACCTGATGGACCGACCAGAGCAATCATTTGACCCGCTTTTCCTCGCAGGTTAAATCCACCTTCGAAAATGGGCTCCTTGCGTGTTGGGTAGCAAAAGCCAATTTTATCAAACGAAATATCGCCTGAAACGCCTGAAGTAGCCATTTCAATGCCTTCAAGATCAGGATCAACCTGTGATTGTCGCTCAAGTATTTCGAAAACACTAATAGCAGCAGTTTTGGCCTTGACGAACGTAACCGTAAATACACTGGAGCGACCCACGCCTGTCATCGAAATCATGAGCGTCAGCAAGCAAATAAACAGGGCATCGAATGCAAGTCTTCCTTCTTGCATAAAAATAACACCAGATGAATAGGCAACCGCGGCAACATAGAGGGAGAAACCTTGCGACAATGCATATCCGAAAGAAGCGCGAAACGCCTTACGTCTGGCAAGCTGATGAGGCTTTTCCAAAGTTTTCGCATATTTCATCTCGAAGTGAGCTTGTTTTCCAAGTGCAGTAACAGTTCGGATTTCTCTGATGGCTTCACTTGTGATTACATTTCCGTGTTCATGTGCCTTCGCAACCTTGTCTTGAAAGCCCCTCTCTAGTCGAGCCCGATAGAAGCTGGCACCAATGAGGAGCGGTGACATTCCAATAACAATCAGCGAAAGAGTCCAATTATGTGCAAAGGCAATTGCCAGACCTAGTTAATTGCATAAACAATATTTCAGTATTTAAAGCTTCGACTCATTGCAACAATATTATGTAGAAAAATCTAGAACATATGATTAGTGGTACATACCACAAGCTGCAGTTGAAACGACCTGCATGAAATCACCAGGCACCCTGGTCACCATTTCGTTCATGGTCTTGGTGTCCACTGCAAGTTTGGAAGCTAGAGCACCAACACTGTTATCTTCGCGGTCGAAAAAGCCGACTTCTTGTTTTAAAAAGGCACGAAAAACCAATGCACGAAGCCGTGAAGTATAACGTGCATCCACTAATTCAAACATCCAGCTTTGAAGGCCATAACCGAGAAAGGCACCAACGGCAATTACAAGAAACATAATCGCATAAAAGTTAGCTCCCTCGACAGGACCGGGGGAAATCTCATCGCTGTCTTGCATCAGAGTCCAAATGCCTATGATAGGTTCGACAAATCAATACCGTTTGTCATATAATATACAGTTGCTTACATGTCAAGGTTGTTTAGCTTACATTTTCCAGTAATGAATGCGAACAAAGGATAGACTGCACCGGCGATTAAAGATCCAAAACAGCCAGCAAGCAAGTAAAGCCGTTCGGGTTTAATTTGCTGCCATATTTTGGCAATTGGAGCACCTTGCTGTTGCCGTAATTTAAGTTCTTGTTTGATCCTCCGTTCTTTGAGCTCGTAAGCATCAATAGACGTAGTGGTGCTTCTGCGAGCCAAATTAACATATGATGAGTAGACCACATCGTTAAGTCCTTGCTCAGCCGCTGCTCCTTGGCTTCTTCTGTCGCGCAGTTTGACATTTTCCAAAGACACCGTTTCGGAAACCTCGGACACATTATCTTGTTCGGTCTCAATTTGTTGTTTACGCACTAGCTCGGCATAAGCACCACCATGTTTTACGAGCTGACCGTGGGTACCTTGTTCAATAAGATCGCCTTGGTTCATAACCACGATAAGATCTGCATTGCGAATGGTAGAAAGACGATGCGCGACGACAATCGTTGTGCGGCCGCTGGAAGCAGCATCCAAAGCATGCTGTACGATACGTTCAGATTGTGTGTCCAGTGCTGATGTTGCCTAATAATATATGCTGAATGATTAGCTTTTCTATCACTCAATTTTCCTGAATAGAATGGGAAAATAAAGGCGGTTTACAAATGCAGGTGGTAGTACGTACTTCATCCAGCAAAAGGATAGGGGGGTTCTTGAGAATAGCCCGTGCAATGGCAATGCGCTGCTTTTGACCACCAGATAACATGCCACCGTGTTCACCTACCAATGTGTCATACCCCTCGGGCAGAGCGGATATAAAGGAGTGGCAGTTGGCTTTTTGACAAGCGGCTTCAATTTCATCTTGACCGACACGGTCTTCAACACCGAGAAGCAGGTTCTGACGGATTGTCATGTTAAACAGCACCGGTTCTTGGCTCACCACACCAATTTGAGAACGCAGCCATCGTATGTTTAGATCCTTGAGATCATGACCGTCCAAGAACACTTGTCCAGAGTCGGGGTCATAGAAACGCTGCAAGAGCTGAATAGTGGTACTTTTTCCAGAACCCGAAGCACCAACAAAAGCAACTGTCATACCCGGACTAATAGTGAGATTGAGGTTTTTGAGGATCGTGATATCCGGCCTCGTTGGATAACTGAACTTGATATCACGGAACTCGATACCAGCTGCAATTTTCTGTGGTTTCAGCCCTTCGTCAGAGTCCGTATCGATGGCTGGCACCCTGGAGATCGTTTCAAAGATCGTGTAAGCAGCTCCCCGGCCCGCCGCCAGCGCAGCTACTTGATCTGGCAATTTCATCAAAGAGATCGCACCCAAGATTAAACAGAAAAACGAGACCATAACAAGGATACCATCGCCGGTACCGTTGATTGCCAACGTCGAACCGTACCAAAATGCAAATGCGAAGATACCGTATAGCAGAAGCAGAAACGTACCGAAACCAGCCCCAAGAACGAGCGCACGACGAGTGCCGGCCTGGGATGTCTTCATCAGCTTGGTTTCGTATAGACGAGTGAATCGTTCTTGGAGGGTAAATGAGTAAACAGTTCGAATACCGGCCAAAGCTTGCTCTGCAATACTGCTTGCTTCAGCATACGCATTCTGAACTTCCTGAGTTTGTTGAGATAAAAGGCGGTCCATGAGCCAGCTAACGCCGAAGAGTACGGGCAATAATGCGAAGACAACGAGACCCATGCGCCAAGTAACGCAAATGCATTCCAAGAGACCCATCGTAGTAGCGGAAGCAGTGCTAATCATCTCACCGTATTTTTCGGATATCGCGTCTTGATAGTACTGTGTATCTGTTGCCAGGCGAGTTGTGAGAGAGCCGTCTTTCGATTGATCGAACCAAGCCATTTCTTGCCGCATGATAGCATGTACGTAAAGTTGACGCACACGACGAGTTTGATTTTCACCGGAGATGACCCAAAGACAGCTAGCAGTGTAAGAGAGCGCCATGACAAGAGTTCCAAGGGCAAGCAAGATACCTCCAGCCAGTGCCGCCATTCCGTTCAAGCTGTCGCCGCTTTCATAGCTTCCGATGGTTGAAGCGATTGTCAGACCAAAGACTACGATTGTGAGAGGTTGCAGGACACCCACAAAGATGGAACAAGCCATAGCCAAACCAAGCATCCACTTGTCTTTCCGGGTTGCGTAGCGAAACATCTTACGCATTGGAATTGTACGCACATTCGCATTTTTTGCCTTCTTCTTATCTTTTTCTGTTTCTTCGTGCGTTCGCATCGGAATTGCCTGCTGTGTTGCCTGTGCTGAAGTAACGGCAGCGCTTGATTTGATTGAATCTGTGTCGTTGCAGGGACTGTATTGGCGTGATGATGGTGACAAACTAAACGATGAAGATGGCATATGTTGCTATTGAATTAAAGATTTGAGGACCTCGATTTTTCGATCCGCTTATATATACTGCCTCGCATTTTGAATTCTACCAGTAGCCCGAAGCTCAGATCAGAGCTTGGCTTATTTGGTGCCAAGTATTTCGAGGCAAGATACTGATGCTGCACGGACAAACGTCCGAAGCTTCATGTAGTAGTGCACATTGCTATTACTGATAACTTATTGCTACTGCCTTATCATGACATACATTCAAAAAAGGCGGCCGCAGACACTAATTATAAAGAATGCGATATATAACTGAAAAGATTATCAAAGAAATTGCTTATTTTCTAATTGCTTTTTTCCCTATTGCTCTGCTATACATAGACCCGTATGCCAAAGATGCAACACACTGAAATGTCTCCTGCCACACACTGCTGAGGATAAAAATATGTGACTGAATGTTTTACTCCTTAATTTGACGTTACACACACGGTTCGTGCCAGCTCCTTTTACGGTCAATTCGGCACCGGGTCCGTAACCACATCTTCTATATATATTTTCTGGTAGACCTTTTAGTATGCGATACACAGTGAGAAAACGAAGAGAAGCCAGTATGGTAAGCCAATTATCGGGACTCAATCCATATTATTCTTAAGAGCCAAACCTCCTCATGCGCTTCAGAAGCCACGTAATCTGCATATTTTTCTGCATGTTACCTAGTTCTGCTAGGGATTGTAAGTCAGTAACATATTTATTATTACTGTAATTAATCCTATACATCATAAAAATATATCAATTCTACAGTATACTGATGACTTATAAGCTCAGAGAGGCAGTTGATGTACATTTGGAATACGCTCTTGTAAATAGCGAATAAGCCGTGATTGCCTTTGTCGCATTATTACAGGACCATGTAAATAAAGTGTGTGCAAGCCTGTGCAATCAGCAAGGTTTACGATAGCTTGGTCTGTAAGCGCTTTGCCACCAAATTCCAACATCGATAGTTGATTCAATTTGTCACGTAATAATTGAGTAAACACTGATATATCGAATGGAGTCACCTCGCGACCAGGGCAGTACAGATGAAGCTTTTCTAGGGCTCGCAGAGTTGAAATATAGTCTAGGAGCAGCGTGGTGGATGTCCCGTGGCAGCGATGGATGGCCAATTCTCGTAATGCGCGCTGCTGTAACATGAATTGCTTGAAACCTCGACCACGTATGTCGCACCGTGCTAGCCGTAAGCATGACAGTCGCTTCAGATTCACTAAAGCAGTAAATATATTATCGGCTAATACTGGTTCTTCTATGTCTTGTTCGAATGGTCGATAAATTTGTTCAAGAACGAGTATCTCGAGATTGGAATATCTTGCAATTATTCGAGGTAAATGATCGACCAGGAAATCGTGTGATGCGTGGGCTGCGTTGATATGCAGGTACGTCAGGTTTGGCAAAGGTATCGATGAGAAACGACACCAAGCTGTGGTCAACGCGTTGTCATCGTTAGGTCCGATGCACATGATTCGGAGTGTATTATTGTTCTTGGTCAATAATGAAAGTAACCTTTGGTTTGGTGAAAATAGTGGTTGAATTATTAAACTTTGCAATGTCGTCGGGTTGTCACTTGTGGGTGTACTCGCTGCTGGCATTGTCGATGGGATTTTGTATGTATGCTTAAATGCATTGACGTTTATAGCAACTGAAACTAGTTCTGGACAGTGATCTTCCATCGTTGAGAAGGTATTATTGATCTCCTCAACGGAGGTTGTTGTGAGGCACCGAAGATGTGGTGAATGTTGTAACAGCTGCGTAATCATATTGCTGGAAATCGGTAGTTTCTGAATAAGCTCTATGGTTGTAAGTTTTGTAGTATGTGGCAATGAAAAGTCGTCATCGATACTTGATTGTGCTTTGTAGCTGATGGTGGTGAGCTGTCGACAAATTTGTAACACTCGAGCCAGCGATATGTTTATCCCGGATGCGCAGGCAACATCAAGCATAAGTTTTTTAAGTTTAGGAGCAATGCTAGGTAAAGTATCGTATAATGTGGCAGTCAAATCCATGGTATCAGAACCGGCTATTACGTATGAAAATGTCAAGATACAAAACTTCAGGTAAGCATTCACTTCGCTCTTATAGCACGAGTTGTATTTATTCAATCTTTTAAAAAAATAACTCTTGTTCCAACTCACAGGTAATGTAAAGCGTAAGTGATTGCAGACTGGAAAATTCATGAGCTGATAATAGCAGGGGGTACCTGACAACGCGATCAGCTCTGCCGCCTAAGTACAATGTCTGTACGTGCTGCGAAATAACTGGTAACATTTTCTCGTATACTTCGATCCGTTCCTTGTCCAGTGAATAATATGCATGGATTTTTATGGTTCGCCAGGGGGCTGGGTATTGTTGGAGGCGATCGTACCACGCCTTGTGAACATCGAAACATGTTGCTAAATCAACATTATCCAGGTGCGTGAGAATTTCACACATGATATCGTACGGACTATCAGTAATGAAATCGACTGTGGAAGACAATGGCTTTAACGTGTCCCAACTCATATCCTGAGAAAAATTGTTAGAATTCGCTTCTCGTTTGAACCATCTTTTGAGGCATATTGTCCTTTTCAGTTTTATCGAGTAATAGACCTATCTGTCTGGTGGTGAGCTTACGTTATGTGCATCTGGTGGTGTCGGTAGAGTTTCTGACAAGTTCTTTGTATTGGGCCGCCAGAACTGGTAGTTTTGTTCAGACCTAGTTTCCATGGTTTTGAATTATTGGAGCAATGGAATAAAAAAAAGACAAAAAGACAAGAAAGTTTAGTAAATAGTATTCATATCGTAAGCGTTCCTGACTCACATTCTTTTGCTTTTTGCCTTGGCAACGGTTATCACGATTGGAACTGAAAATAATACATGTATTAGCGCATGAATCTTGTGCCTCTTACAAAACTTATGTATTCATAGCATCTTCCCTTAGTAAATGCAAAGTGTAGTGTTTTAAATCAGCGTAATTTATGGTGTTGATGAGTAAATTCTATCTAGCTACCGATTGACAGGTGTGTAATCTTTGTGAAAACGGTGCTGCGGCTATCATATGGAGTCTTGAAGTTTGACATTCTCAATCTTTATATGTACATAATGACGGTTTATTCATTCCATAAAGCAGAAATTTCCATACAAGGCAGAACATGTATATGCCTTTAAATAGGTATTTAATGGCTCTTGGAATGATTGAAAGTAATCAGATTTGAGGTATGCACAACTCGTGTTGACCAGATCCGCAAGCAGAGCATATCCAGGGAGAGGGTACTTTTGGTAAATATCGGTGTCATCCATCTGATACGTCTTTATATACAAGTGAAGTGGCGATATCGATGGCGGGACTATATTGTCCGGGGGAAACGCATTGCAGATGACGTCGAAACATTCGAAGAACTTCTCGCGTAGATCCGACGAGAGATGTTTTTTTGAGCAAAACGATACACTGAGCAATGTATATATTGCTCTTGAGATGAATTCAAACATGACTATTTGTACAGAGTTAAATATTAATTTCGTTTTCTCCTTTCATTTTCCCGCCTACCCTCCGTATCAGCTCCCCACCCATTGACTTACATGGTAATACGTCTTCATGCAAAGTAAACATCCGCGTCACTGTACGAAGCACCAATTCACAAGATCGTACTGTAGCACTAGATTTCGCCCGATTAAATAACAGCTTCTTTTCATCCTGACAAGTATTTCCGCCGTCCCCAACTATGCTGTTATCATCATCATTAGATGCTGCCTCGATATCCAGATCCAGTACAAATGCGTATATCCGGAATAGGATTGAATGGACGAATGAAAATACGATTGCCTTGGCTACTGAATTGTTCTGTTCAATTGCAGCCTCTGCATCCTCTGCATATAAATCGTCACATAGCCGCAAGCATGCAGGGAGTTCGCTCCACCAGTCTCGAATAGTAGTATCCAGCCGAACAAGAATATCGATAAAACGCTCAGGGTTGCTTGTCGAATCAGCAATATTTTTCATCTGGGTCTATGATGTTGTATAATAAAGCATACATGAGCGACACGCAAGGTTAAGACGGCTGTGAATATAAAGCGGAGGTTTGGCGTCAGGAGTAAGATTGAGACCTGTCGTAAGACTTACTGTAATGGCTGCCATATAAGGACTCGTAGAGAGCTGCAGTAAGCGATTGTGTGCTTCAATCAACACACTAGTAGTCGTGTCCTCTCCAGGCATAACTTCCAAATAGGCGACCTTCATATCCAGTTTGACAAGACCTTGACCAAACATTTTCGTATCAAGCATAAAAGATAGCAGCTGAAGCATGTTTTCAATATAGAAAAAATGGCGCTGTAGCAGAATCTTTTGCATGTCTAATGGTAGACAGGCATTGTGTTGTTGTCGTTGTGTTTTCTGATGAAGGTCACTCTCGAGGTCTTTGCAGAGACTGTATGCAACAGTGCTCCATCGTCGCGCTTCATTGAATCGTAAAAGTACAAATATCATAAAATGTTGTAGAAAGTTTATGACAACGATCGTCTCTATTTTACGTGCTGGATCATCAAACATATCGTAAAGGATCTTTTTGCATTTCGCATAAAGGTAATCGGCTAGTTCGCGTAGTTCCGTAGCAGAATGAGTGATAATTCGTTTCGAGGTGCAAAGGGTATGAATGCATACGGCCAGCGTAATCGGACAAGTAAGTGGGTCTTTTAGTTTACGATAATGTTCGCGAAAAGCGGGTATATGTAGGAAAATTCGTCGTGAGTTTTCGCGTTCGCAGTATGTGTTGATAAGGTGGTCAATGATGAATTGATAGTGCCTATGTAAGTATGATTGTAGTTGCGGTATTGTCTGTTGTTGTACGCGCCTGAGTGAAAGGTGCGACGATAATGATGATGATGGAGACCGTCCTTTTGTTTCGTTCAACCGAAAAATTATACGAAACGTACGTATAAGTATGTTATACGACATGCTGTCGAGATTGATTATCGACTTTTGAAATACCCCTTCAAACGGCGCGAGATATTCGAGAAAGGCGTGACTGTATTGTAAAAGCTCTTCGATGGTGTCGACTTTGGAATGTAGCTTGAGTAGTCCGTCTCTGATGCTCAGCTTCCATTCGAACTGCTTCGGTGGTTGCCTTGAAACTAAGCCTTTGTAATTCTCCATGGTTGCCTTTGTTGCTAAATTGTTGTTGTCGGCACTAGCCTTCTTCACGTCGTCGCTGATGTCGTTGCCGTCGTCGTTACGGTGATGAGTGTGATCGTCGTAGCTACCACCACTACTAGTAAGCTTTGAAAGATTTTGGGTGGTGTGTTCTAATCTCTGCATGTCGGTTTCCAACTGATCGATCTGATGGCTCCAGTATTTTATTGCCTTTACAGCAAACTCTTTCGGTAGGATGTCATCGTCGTTGTCACTATCGTAGATTTCTTCTGACGGAATGCATTTCAGGTTGAGCTTCGTGCAGCGAACACATACTGTTGCAGCCTTTGTTGGCCATATGCAACCTCGCTGTCGTCTTCTGCATGCTACAACCTTTGAATTAGACCAATATGCAAATGTCGACCCCTGAAATGCAATTAAACAAATAAAATTTATTTGCTATACCGTGACAGATTGGTTTACGGGAAGACATTAGTTGATAGCGCAGCTAATCTTCACCAGAGGCGAAAGAAGCCCGCCAGCCGTTTCTGGATTCTATGGAAACCCCGGGGATAAACTATCCGAGAATTTTTTTTAGCATGATCCTCTAAACTACGTCGATGTTGGGGCGCCAGGCCCTGAAGACTTCGGTCACGGCGGGTGACCTACTTCGCGGAGGTTGTTGGTTCGAATTTAGCTGCTTGGTTTCCCATCTCTATGGATTTGATGAAAGCTCTATAACTCGCTGTAATCCTATGACAAGTTCTGCATAGTCCTCCCTAGTGACTGGGTGTCCATAGTTAAATCATCGGTGTGCCATAAACCCTTGTATTGGCAGTTATTTATAATTGTATACTTTAATAAAAATGAATTCCGACCAGAAACTTCCCTACAATAACTACGTCAATGTTGAAGATAGACCAGAGTGCATCAACGGAACATAAAACTAGCACAAGTTCATTTTTTATAAATAGCAGCGCAAATAAGCTTCCCTTTATTCCATGAAAAAAAAATTACCATACAAAGCTGAATCGGTGAAACTAGCCAAATCACCATACATGGGCTGTTGGAAGGGGTAATTCTGGCCAGCCGTAAGCAAATCGGCAAGTAGCGCATATCCAGGAAGGGGATAATTTTGATAGATGTCAGTGTTGCTAAGCTGGAATGTTTGATAATAGGCAGCAAGCGGCGATATCGATGCAGGTACGATATTATCAGATGGAAACACCTTAAGCATGTTGCCATAACATTCTCTGAAATTTTCACGAAGATCGGTAGAAAAGGCACTCTTTGAACAGTTGGACACGGTAAGTAATGCGTATAACATTCTTGAAATGAACTCCAGCATGACTACATCAGAATTCTCTCTATTAATATGATTCCATCCTCCCATATACACTTGTGTTGATGATTACTACTTACATGGAAATATATCATCATGCAGAGTGAATATTCGTTTCACAGCGCCAATCAATAATTCACATGACTGTATTCTTGCACTTGACCTTGCACGGTTGTATAAATGTGTCTTTTCATTCAGAGGGGTCATGTCGTCACCATCGTCTTGTTCAAGTGCTGCTCTCCTTGATGGTATGTATTCCATTTCCAAAACAAAAGTGTATATCTTGAGCAATATTGAATGAACAAACGAAAATATGACTGCCTTAGGTATCGACTCGTTCTTTTCAACTGCATTCACTGCGTCGTTCCCATATAGGTCGTCACAGAGTCGCAGATGTGTTGGCAGTGCGGTCCACCAGTCTTGGATGGTGTTGTGTAGCTGTACTAAGATGTCCAAAGAAAGCTCTGGATCGCACGCCGTCGACATATCCATCTTTTTCATATGCGTCTAATAAGGATTATAAAACACCAAAATGTGAGGGATAAATATCAATGTGCGTAATGAAAAAAGAATCCCTGGACTTACAGTAACAGCTGTCATGTACGGATTCGTGCACAGTTTCAGTAATTGATTATGGGTTTCCAACAGTTCGTACGTAGCACAATCTTCGCCTGGCATCGGCTCCATGTATGTGACCTTCATTTCTTGCTTTGGAGAATTATTGATGTAGATACTTCCGTCCACCATACAATCTAGAAACTGGAGTGTGTTTTCGGCATAGAGAAGATGTCGTTTGAATAATGACCTTTGCATTTCGGGCGGGACATGTGTTTGCTGTCGTTGTTTGGGCTCAAGTGTATCTTTTCCAAATATGGCTTCCAGATCCTTGCAAAGGTTGTACGCGATTGTACTCCACCGTCGTGCTTCGTCGAACCGCAATAGAACGAATATGTCATAGTACTGTAATAGATTAATTGCGATAACCGTCTCTAAAATTCGCGTTGAATCATCGAACATGTCATACAGGATATCCTTGCATCTTGAATAAAAGAAATCGGCTATTTCGCGTCGTTCTGCCGCAGATTTGGAGATGACTCGCCGTGAAGTGCAAAGGGTGTGAATGCAAACGGCCAGCGTAATTGGACACTTTAATGGGTCTTTGAGGTTGTGGTAATGCTTGAGGAAGGCGGGTATGTGGAGAAAAAGTCGACGTGAATTTCCATAATTGGTGTATATAACGATAAGATGATCGATAATTGATCGGTAATGGATTTGTAGATACGATTGTCGCAGGGCACGTTTGGATTGGCACGATGATGGCTGGTGGTTTTGATGCTGACGATAAAGATGTATATCGCCGAGTAGGTTGTAGGATTTTGATCGTTCTTCCAATCTCCCGCTCATCGTATATACAAAGCAAAAAACTTGTAAAATCAAGCTGTGCGACATGTTTTTGATATTTATCAGCGACTTTCGGATCACACCCTCGTATGGTGCCAAATACTTGGTGAAAGCGAGACCGTATTGTAAAAGATCTTCGATAGTATCCACTCTGGAATGGAGCTTGAGCAATCCGTCTTTGATACTCAACTTCCATTCGTAATCCTTCTGTTGTCGTTTTTTGCTGTGTATGACACTTTTGCAGGTTGCTCGCGACTGGCTGCTGTCGGCAAGGTTATAATCGTCGTTGTCATGATTACGATTTACAAGATGACATGCGTTGACTTCTAGCTCTTGCATGCTACTTTCTAGTTGAGTGATTTGTTGTTGCCAGTATTCAATCGTTTTAGCAGCAAATTTATTTGATGAAACGTCATCGTCAATGTCGCTATCGTAGTCTTCTTCTAATGGAATGCATTTCAGGTTGTGCTTCGTGCAGCGAGCACATACTGTTGTGTTATTCGTTGACCATATGCAAGCACGTTGTCGTCTATTACATGCTAGTAAAATTTGATTAAATTAACTTACTAACTTTTCTTAAAATGGTGCACTGCATAATATGTAAAACAAATAAATACCATGGCAATTTTTTTTGATAATGCCGAACATGTAATATACCGTTTACAACAAGGTAAAACATTTAAAAAAAGTCCAACGTCTCGGTGTCTTCTCTCTCGATACCATGAAGAACACTCCGACGTTCGGTCACCATGTCGCCAAGCAACGAACGGATCAAAACCACTAAAACATCCCAACGCTTGGCAAGTAATACAGGGTAAAAGCCTAAACTGAAATTTGTGTAAGAGGTACGTTCGTAGACCCAGGTGATTGTTGCACCGCTTGATAATGTATGAAAGAATGAGAAAGTAAAATGTGCCCTATTTACAGTTGTACCCCGGTTTTTGCAACCGAGGGTTTCCCGTTTTTTTTTGCAAAAAGTGAGGATTTGCAAGTAACGGGGTAAACAATTCTGCTTCAAGTATACACTGGATAAGTCATCCTATTAACATTAGCCCATTGTTTATCTGTCAGAGATGATGTACGATACGTTCTTTGGGAATATTCATACAGCTCTAAATGTTACTACTTGCATATATAAGACCGTTCTTTCATTGAAGCTGTCTAGTGGTTTGATAATTATTAGCTCTTTTAAGCATGACAAAATCGTTCCACAAGTTCACATCCAAGCAAGAGGATCGAACGTACGACGAGCACTTGAGCGGGCGGTGGACCAAAGCGCTGATTCGCCTATTCCAGGGCCAACGTCGAAGGAAAAACAGGTTGCAATTGCAGGAGTTTTGAGCTTTTTGGATAATATCGATAACTACGACTTAAAGAAGTCTTTGCGTAGGATTCCAGAGAGTCTCAGGCAGCAATCATTCTCCCGACAATCTACCTTGATGACTTCTTCGATATGTAGTTAAAAGCTCCTTTGAGCAAACATTTTATTTCTATATCTATATGTAGTGTGTTCCCTTTTTCTTATATCTTCATCATTTCTTTTGTGGATTCAATCCAATCAGTGCTATATATGTGTCCCGATTCTACTGGCTCAACTACTAAATAATAATTTTTATGTATTTCGACAATAAATACATCTTCATATTTACATATTTATCTTGCAGTAACCGCATCATTTTATTCCTCATAATCCGCAACAGATGCTTCTTTCAATTGATATTGTAAAAATTGAAGCTGTTTTTACCCCGATAACATGCAAATCGTACAAACTCATTTGCAAGTTGCAAATTTGCGAAACTACCAAGTTTTTTTTGTGTTTTTCAAAAAAGTTGCAGATATACGAGGAATTGCAAAACCAGGGGTTGCAAAAACCGGGGTACAACTGTACCAGTGGGTGTGTTTACTTTAGACTTCTACTATGAATACATTGTCCCAATGTAGAACTTTCGTTGCTCGCTACAGTACTTGTAAGACTTTACGAGGTAGGATCTGTTGTAAACAACGTAAATATTGTATGTCAAAGATGTAAGCAGCCATAATTCAACCCACGCAATGATTTGAAACCTCATACAGTATGTAACTGTAAAATTACATTTCAGTTTTTATTATTGTTATCTCTTAATCCAAGTGTTATCTTTTAATCCAAGTCTATAGCAAAGTTATTCACTTGTACTAAATAAGCATTGCTGCTTAAGTCTAATATGTAAACATCGTCAAAGTAATGCTTTCCATCGTATCCTCCAAAGACGAACAGCCTGCTGTCGTATATGACCATTGTGTGATATCCTCGAGCGGTTGGTGCCTGTCCATACACTCTTCGTACCTCCCATGCCATAGTCACTACAATAAAAAAAAGCCAATTTCACAGTTAAATAATATGTTTTCTTCAATTATAGCTGAGAAACAACCTGAAGAACAAGCTACTTTACCGAAATTAAGCATCAACAGATCGTTACAATAATGCGTCCCATCGTGGCCTCCGCTGACAAACAGATAAGATCCAACGCACAGTGCAGAATGCGATAACCGGGGCACCTTAAGTTCCAAGTTGACAGAATACCAACGATATGACACTAGGTAGCATAGAAACGATGTTTTAGTTCTCTTCCTTTTTTTCAAGGAGCTGTGACAATCATTCTTTTGTATGGGACAATCCAGCAGCCTCGATAGTAAGCCAAATCACTTTTAAGAAAGACAATATACCTAAGTCCAGCAAGTGCACATCACCGAAACAAGTATGACCATCGCTTCCGCCATAAATGACCAACTTATCGCCCACCAGTGTACCACTATGATACCCTCTGGATGTTGGCTTCATACCACTTGTCTCAACCAACGACCAAATATTTTCCTTAATGTTGAAACAATACACATCATTGAGCGCATGGACGCCGTCGCCACCGCCAAATATGTATAAATTATTCTGCCAAATAACAGATACGTGGGCCCGCCGTGGTGATGGGTTTGGACCGGTAGTCTGTAATCTAGTCCACGTCATGGTGTTTGTATCCAGCACGAACAAGTGACTAAAATAATGCGGTCCATCGCCACCGCCAAACATGTATATTTTGGATTCCTGCTCATGAACAGTAGCGCTATGAGCACGACATGGTGGCGGTACTTCACCGTGTACTGCTGGCCTGGACCAAGTGAACGTGTCTTATATATTTATATATCGACAGACAACAAAGAAAGAATTAGAGTTATGGTTCCTGAAAAAAACATGGAGTAGCACGCTCAGCGGGGTTCCTTTTTTTTTTTTGGGAACGCTTGAGCTGAGTTGGAGAGGATGTAATACAGTACCTAAATCTAATGTATGAAGCTTTGCAAATCCACCCTTACTGTCCGTTCCACCAAAGACATACATGATGCCATTGATGACGACGCTTGTATGTGCTCGAATGCCTCGTGGCGAATGGCCATAAGTGGCTGCACGCGACCAATACATGGCAGGTGCTGGTGCTGCTGTCATGGTTGGAGCTGAAACGGGTACAGGTTCATGCGATTTCTTTGTTCGTCCCCGACGTGATGAGGAGGATTTATTGGTTGTGGTCATAGCAGAGGAAGAATGTTGGTGGTGGTGACGGTGGCTGTTGTGATGGTTATTACCCTCTAATAGAAGCATCAATTCAATCAATGTCTTCCAAGCTTCCTTTGCTTATCTCGCATTGTCATCGAATTGACTGTATGTGCTCAAACAAAAAATAACTAGAAGACACGTACGATCTTCGGATTGGCGTCGTTGTGAGGACGACCAGCTTAGCGACGGTGACAGCGGATTGGTACTACTAGTAGTAGTACTTTCGAGATAATCGCGCCTTTTTCGTTTGTTTTTTGTCGAGAGCAAGAAGTGTTAACTTGGCGTTTCTATGAAGTGTAAATGCGAAGCAAAAGTAATGCGAGGTTGTGATGGAGTACGTACTTTGTTGAAGAAAATGACAGAAGAGCGGATCCGTTAGTTGTAGATGAAGTCGATCGTTTTAATTTAGAGCCTATGGCCGTGGTTGACATCGATGATCGCAGCTGTTGTTCGTGATCTGGTTCGGAAGGACGCCGGTGTTCACGCTGTAGCTGTTGTGGCTGTGGCATTATCAACAGTATTGAATATGGTGACAGTGACAGTAATACTAAATAAAGGAAAGGAAAGGAAGTAAAGGGATTAAGAATAAAAACGAGTTAAAGGGACAAGAAGAAAGAGAGTAAGTGTATGGTTTTTTGGGTTAAACAATTCGCGTGATATAATTGCTGTTCATATGTTGTGCTGCCAAAATATACACACGCCAGAGTAGAGTCTTTTCAAAGAGGGTTTCATGGTTTGCCGATCGTGTGTATGTGTGATGCGCCCGCTCAATTCCTCCCAAAAAACCTTAAATATATTCTCAGCCTCAAGGAGCAGGAGAAAGGAGCCGGAAATCCATCCAAGAAAAGCAATTGTTCATCGGTTTGTGATACAAGCGCCTCCGGTTATATGGGTCTCTCCAAAGGTCTCTGGTCTTTTTTCTTTCCCGCCCTCGCCTGATGAGACTGATTAGCTGTGTCAATACTAAGTAAGGGGGATAGGCGAAGACGGTTCTATGATAGCAATTGGAAGAAGGAACATCATGGCGGAAACGAAATAACAGTTTGTTTTATTTATTGCTTGCATTATCAAAGCCAACACAACAAAGTGGGGAACAACAGATCGATATTAGCAACAACATTTCCTCCGGATGTTGCCCTTGTTGGTAACTCTTTGATGTATGACATAGTAGCAGCTGTTATACTGTTTATTACGCAGCAAGCACCGTATTACACGTCCTTCCTCCTCTTCACGCCATGATGGTGTAGAACAGCATCACATGCATATGTAAGCACATTTTCTATTCCCATTATTACTAGAGCAAATAGACACCAAATGTTGACAGCAGTACTATTACCAATTGTAATCTAAAATGATAAAAAGAACATCTCTCCTTTGAGGCATTGTTAAATTTTGGCGCATTTGATTGCTGTCGTGTTATGACTGTGTCACCTACATCAATTATAGAAGCCTACATCGACTATAGAAAAAGGTTGTACTGCTGTGCCTAATCTCTATTTTCGAAAAATGGATGTATATACACATGAGGCCCACGATCAGCAAGAATGATTACCTTCGCTGTTGTTGTACACTATATTGTGTGATACATACTACAAAAAGGGAAGGACTTGGAAGGTTTCCGTTGCATATACCTGAAGGATGTTGCTCCAATAAATATCTTGCAATAAACTTCTCCTTATACTAACACAGAGGTATGTACTTATGGATAGTGATGGTAAACAACGAAGTAAGTATGTATTACAAGCCGACTGTGCCGTCATGGAGCATTGCATTATGCCGTATGGTAACAAGTATTTCTGATTGAACGGGGTACGTAAATAATGTACAACATATACAATGCTGCACGGCGATCATCTTTATTCTTTCAACAGTAGTAATTAATCAAAATTCCATATACAAATCTTTTAAAAACGTGGCATTAAAAATTTACACCGGACCGAATGCATTCCGTTCAATATAAAGTAAGAACGTTGGATATGTAATGAGCGACTGTTATTTTCTTTTCTCAATGACTTATTACGACGATACTCCAAAACGAACAAAATAGACACAGTTATTCAGCAGGTTTGCTTATATTTTAAATACTGACAGTGGGTTTGCTGAACCACTTTCACAGCGGTTCCCTTTATATTTACCCCACCAATGAGTGTGGAGTTTTTTTATCCCTTTTCTATGACACCGTGTTACAACACTAACTCACCGCAAAAGAATAACTTGACAGTAGTGATGATGTTGGCCAGAAAGATTATTATTAACCATGGAACCGCTAGCATCTTCTACACATAACAGTGAATACATTTCTTTATTGTTTGCTTCCATTTGCAGCATGTCATCACTTTACATTGTTGTTGCCAGAAATAAGATTAGTAGTAACCATTAGTGTGTATGTAAAGCATTCCCCCTTCCACGCACCCCTTATTACTCAAGCAGCAGAGAAAATTGCTACGGTATTTCTAGTAACTTACTCTTAGCTTCGCCATAGTTATAATCATCATCATTATCCACTCTTCTTATAAATTCGTCTTTATTTCGAATGACGCCATCTGGAGTGCGCACCGTGATGTTTAACTGATTGTCTCCTCTTACCCCTCCCCACGATTTGCTAACGCAATCGCCCGAATGTAAACACCTCTTCCACACATATTAATAACCCTGTATTACAGGCGCGTCCACTCCATTAAATGCCACAATTAACGGCAGTGCCGTTGGCCGTGACCGGAGGTTTTGTGGGGTAGGGGAAGGACAATGGTAACCCAAAAGGTTAAGCACTCGTACAAAACTACATCTATTATCTGCGCTGATATAAGGACACACTCTTTTTTTCAGCTTACGTTTTTACAGTAATTATTGTGGGAAATAAACCGTCTCCAGGAAGATATATCCACTTGGCAATGACCCATTAACTGTTTTCGCAAGTGTGATCCAAAGCAGCTAAACCAAAGCTAGCTGGTTGTGTAAAACAGGATTTGTTGTCCTCCTGTCAATGGTATATCACAGTGTTAGTCACAATATTATTACGTCTACACACTAAGAAACAGCTTTTGCTGCTTGTTGATTAAAGTTGTTGCTTCGTTGTGTTTGTATACATGTTATGTGCTATAGTATGCATAAATTATAAGCGTGCGAAGAGACAGTTACTACCGTATGTGTCTCGTAGTGATATCAACACCACACCATAGATGATATTGCAGAGAAAAATATAGAAAGTCAATGATATTTATAGTATATGTAATTAGTAGCAACAAATGCTATTATTACCCATAAAAGATCTTTTCAGAATATTTATAGTTGGTATATGCTAAACAAATAACTGTTTGCTTTTGTCCTGTTTGACCCCCTACCCAATGTCGATCTTTTACGTGTACTGTACATATGATGATAATGCATATAATTGATTGGTCATAACTAGTCACACTCGACTTGACGTTCGACATCTATCCACTCCAGAATTGACACCAAAAAGAGGATCATTTGTAACGGGGAAAAGATTATAAGAAAGCTCTGAATGCGAGTGGCGCATGCATTGTCAAATGGCTTATTGGTATGTATAATCAGACAAGTAGATTAGAATATGCATACAAAGATTTTTTACCATTTCTAGCGACATCACACCTCAATGGCGTAGCATCATGTAATAAAAGGTACACAGAGAGCAGAAACAACGTATAAAACGCTTACACTAGTATTATGACTTTGAAAGCATGACAAGAAACGAGTATATGGCCGGTGGTATTACTCTCTGCTTACCGACACTGTTACTACTTTGCCGCACCGCTGTGTGTCGTTAGAAACACAGTACAGTAATGTGGTTCTTATAATGCAAAAAGGAAAAAGCAATATTGTGCCTATATTATTATGTGGTAAAGTTGTATGATAAACGTATGGATGCATGGCGGGTTATGCTTCAAATGCAAGCGTGTACCCATTCCTCGGTCTGTGTGTTTGTTCAGTAGATCATTTATTTTTTAAATCACACAGAAAATTTTCGATGATAGGAGAAGACCGATTGTCCCAAGGAAAGGCTACGACAAAGCTTGCCTACTCTGTACAAATAAATTGGATCCTCCTGGTAGTACATAGTATCATAGTTAAATCTTCAATAAGAAACACTCCCCTGTGAACGAAAAAGCACTGCGTCACTGTAAAAGATGATATTATCATGTATCATGATGCGGGTTGTGAAACGGAATGACTGCACGGCAACCACAAGGGTATCATATAAATGAAATACAAAGTAAACAGTCATTATTATATGACTACTACACGAGCAGTATTTTATAGAAAACATCAAAACTATCACAATCTCTTATAAAACGCTTTCACACTGATTCGAGTAGATTACAAGGATCGACTGATACGCTGTATCCGGAAAGGAACAAAAAGGGAGAGTTTAAATTTTATGCACCTCAAGGCTTTGTATATGCTTGTATAATCATATTGGATGGCGATCAATAATGATGCACCCTTGAGCTGTCGTGTATTGATGTCGTGTTCATCTCTTATATACTTATGTTAACCTTTCCCTATGAGGATATTGTTAGAAATATAGTGTGGTGTGGCGCCATGCCTGAAAACCCCCTATTGGAGATCTGTAGGGTGATAAGGTATACAAAAATAAGGAATCTGTGTGTAGGGTAATGCAATGAGAGTGATGTGGCGTTCTCTGCTGCTGTTGATGCGCTGCCGTTTAGTGTTTCTTCTGGCGCTGATTCGTTATCGTCGTGATACTCATCCTTGTGGCCAGCTGGTCTTTCATCTCATATATCCATTAGATATGCAGAAATACTCAACGTATTTTCATAT